ATATTATCAAATTACATTTTATCATTTCAAATGATTGATTCGCATGAAATATAAGGTTCCAAACGTCTGACCTGGCTGTCGAAATGTACTTTATAGAGACGTTGTTTCAAATTAATGTTTTCAATTTTCTTTGTTAAAATTAAAACAAAAAGGAAATATTTATTTATTATATTTAAATAAATAATATTATATTTGATGAGATGGAGAGAAATAAAAATTCATCTAATCAACGAAATTTATTCTATTAAGAAAGAAATAAGAAAAAAAATATTTGAAACTACACATAATATGAATCAAGCAGTTGGCACTCACCATTTACGGTTTGGCTAACTGCATTGATTAGAAAGAAAAAACAGTCAGAAGTCCACTTGAGGTGGAAGCAGAGATAGGTCACCAGCACTAATTTAGATTGCATGAAAGAGGAACTTAGTTTTTTTTCGATTCATTAAGCAAATGGAGCCATTTAATGTGAGTTTTTGATGTTCTTGGCCTGAAATTTGTCAATTTTATTTTTTCATTTCAATTTCATTAATTTTCTCATTTGTCTCTCGTGGAAATAATTCTATTACTTTTTTTTCCAATTTCCAATTTCCAATTTTTAATAGATTATTGAAGACGACTTTTTCCTTAAAATATTCATTAAAACATCATTTGAAATAAATTTTCACTTGGCTATTTGTTTTATTAACCATACTTGGACTGATAGCTTATAAGCAATATCCCACTTACAAATGTCATAATTTCTCATTAAATCTTGGTACTTCTAGGGATAATTCTGTTCGAAAATGATTATCTCTCGTGTGAAAAGGCTTTCATCCGAATAATTAGTAAAGAAAGTTAGTGAGAAACCAGAAATGGTGACTGCTATTAAAAATAAAATAAAATTGTTGCTATCGTAAAATAAGACAAACTTGAATAACAAGAGCGAGAATTATTTGTTAATTTTGCGCAGTAATTATCAATTAACTCTTCATTTTCCGGATTTTAGTTTGGAAAATTGATTTTTAAAAAAGGTGATTATTATTATTTGACAAGAAAAAGGAAACATACGTGTGGATTATTTGGCCGTTATTGAAGATATATGAAATTTTAACGAATTCATTGGGATTTGTCGACTGAACGTCGATGCTAAAGCATACTTTCGCAGACATACCGATTTTTTGCCAATGCACCGTGTATTTATGTCGCGTAAAATTTTTTACATGAAATGTTCCTTTATAAAGAACAACGTAGCGGAGAGATTTCGGATAATGCCAATGCTGAAATAAATAACGTCGTTGAAGTTGGAATGGAAAATAGCTCAAATCGAATTCGTCAATTTAGAAAAATTTAATCAAACTGAAGGAAAACCAAACAGAAGTGAAAAAAAAAATAAAAAATAAAATAAAATTCCGTACAGTAATTAATAATGGAAAATAATGGTCGGTGGTAAGATTGACACCGAAAATCGAGTACAATCGAGCAAGTTCGAATCCGGCCGAGCCGACGCACCACACTTCACACCACAACAAAGAGGAATAGAGCAGCTCTATGGGTCGTTGGTCGTCTCAGTTTGGAGCTGAGGCTGAGGCTCTAGCAGTAAACCTGTCCTTCACGAATTAGGTCGAATCACCCTAACGCTTTTCAATTAATGGAGCGAAGCAAATCAGAAATGCGAATGGAAAATTATAATTTACAAATTTATAGGAAAAAAAATGAAATATTTTCAACAATAACCTCATCGATAAGTTCGATAATTTTTCTTTTACCAATTTCAATGCAAAATTCGCGATTTTTTGGTAGTTGAAAAGGCATAATTGGTGGCAATTCATTTCCATAAAATTCTTTGAAAATTTTAGGTTTTTTTGAATGAATTAGTGGAAATTTACAAGAAATATTGCTGAAGGACCGTTGAAGAGCGGTGTGAAGCAGCGAACGTGCAATAGCATTGCACCGAAAGAGTTTTTCATCACGTCCCATCGATCAAATAAATCGGCGTAGAATGATTTTTCGTGAGATGCAAAGCCGGCGGATAATTATGGAGATGGTTGACTCGAATTCCGCCAAATTTTATTCAACTTTTAGTTTATTGATTCTTTAAAATTTTCGCTATTTTCTGCATGCTTCACTTGATATCCAATAATGCAGCAAGCAATAATATCGTCTTCTATATCCTCGTTGCCGCTTCTTCTAAATAGCCCGATTACATGCCTATGCCCGGTTTGGATGATTCCATCGGTTACTAGGAGAGGAGAGGTGCTCTCCACCAAAGAGACACAAGGAGAAGCACGGATCGCACCATCTCGACATCTTATACGCTTCAGTTTAAATACGACAACTAGTTCATTTAAAAGTAATTTCTTTAGTACCATTGTTGAGGAAATAGAGTTGAAACTTTATAAATCTTCGAGTCTATTCTATTTAAGCAGTTTCTAACGGCTTCTTTTGCCATTTAATTTTTGTATTCTTCGAACCATACTGGTTTTCTTCTGCATTAGAATTTCACTTTTTTGATAAATCTTTTTCGCTTTTTGCATTGCATATACAGAAATTATTCAAAAAACCACGATTTTTCTTATCAAAATAAGTTTCTGATAAGGCGGTGGCCTTAAAACGACTTTCTGATAGCGTTTCCCGGCCTCACTTTTTAGCACCTTGCGAAACGTTTGGAGTGTTTATTAGTCACATTAAATGTTTAGGAAATACTACCAAATCCGATAACTGCAAATTGTCCTATTTCTTGCAAATGGTTTAAAAATTAATTTGCGAATAATTAATCATTAATAAATCTATTGTGAAAAATATAAAATAAAAAATAATCAAAGTTTATTTTATGAAAAGCAAAGAAAACCAAAATACTATTATGTTATCATTCGTTATCACGTTGAATAGTATCTAATTTATCCGACTAAAACTGCTGATAACATTAAGCAAATAAAGAATCAGTGCTAAAGACTTCTGATTAAATTGTTCCACTGGCTATTAGTATGATAAGAAATCAATTTTTATCGAAGAGTCACTGAGCGATAATCTGAAAGTAGGCTGCCAGCATCACTCGGGTTTTCTAAACGGTAAGTTTATTCCTTTAGGAGGCACAAAACAGAATCCTGACGCTGCAGAAATAACTGTAGGGAACCACTCTGTCCTTTATCCTTTATTATTAAAATATTATGCAATCGAAAACTAGAATTCCAAATTGAGACTGGAATGAGCGACAGCCGATACGTGTCCCTCGTTTATCTCCTCGTTTATCGAATCAATTGCGTATTTAATGGTACTCGGGTAGGAGAGCGATTTGAACCCTTATAAACAGCCGCTAAGGATGAAAATCTCCACTGCAACTATGTCCCTCCTGCAGTCCAATTAAGACAAAATTTTTTTTGTCTTCCGTCTTTGCTGCACAGAAATTGTATTCGTAGCTTTTTCTTTGAAGCCAAATGTAATTTCAGACTCCTCTCAAAGTTCCATTTGCTTACCACTGCCGTGAAACCTGAAGCCATTTGAGTACCAAACCGCTTTAATTCGTTATCCTACAACAAAAATATAATGCTTCTAAATATTTAATATCATGTTTAAACCTTGGCAATGAGCCAATAGTGATAAATTTTTTATAAAAATTATCAAAGTTATTTAAATGATTTATTTTAAGAAAGCTTTTGCACGTCGGTCCAATATCCGATGCTTTGCGTTAGTTTATTTTCAAATTTATTTTTTATTTACTAAAAAATTTTTATTTTGTGAATGAAAATTAATCTTTGTTTTGTGAAAAAAATTAAGTTATTTAATAAAATTTATTTAAATAGTTAATTTGTTTGTGAAATAAAAAAAACCTTCAAAACAATATACGAATTGTTATAAAAATCCATTTTAATTTATTTTTAAATCAATAAAAATTCGCGCATTCTGCTTCTCTATGTTTAATGTTCTCTTTAAATCATCCCCATATATCCTTTAATATTTTATTAGATTTTCTTCCTTAGCACTGCTTGTTCTACTCTGAAGTCGTGAAATTGCGGTCAGTAATGCTTCGTCAGCTCCGTTTCTCCGACTCCAATTAATCAGGTCTAATTCGATATAATTCAATTGAATTTGCATGTCCATAGAAATAATTTGAACAAATTTTAACAGAAAAATGCGAAAGAAATTTGGAAAAATAAAAATCGATCTAATTCACGACTTCGTCTATTTCGATTTTATTGAATTATTTTTCTTTTCATCATTTTTTGTTTTAAGTTTTTCACCATAGCAACTGAAAACAATTTGGCTCCACAAAGGTGCAAAGAAAAATCCTCGCGATTCATCCGTACTTCTTTCGCCAATTTAATTACATATGAAAGGAAAATCAAATTTTCCAATGAAAATTTCTAACCTTGCTAACAGCTACCGAAAAGCAACTAACCAGAAATGGGTGAGCTCTAACCATGCTTTCCTTTTTGTTCGCTTACTTAATCTTAACAATTATTATTGCAACTTCTGGAATTGAATCTCATCTCCTCCTCAAAAAAAAACAAAAAAATTCCAAAACAAAAAAAAAAAGAAATTTTATTTTTTGAAATTCTATTTTTATTTCTTTTCATTATTTATAATTAATTCGTATAATTTTGAATAAAATATTAAAAGAAGTAAGAAATAAGAAAAGAAGTAAGAAAGGGGTAAGAAAGAAATAGAAAGGAAATTTGAATCGAATTAGCAGTAGCAAATTAAAAAATATAAATAAAAAGTAACATAAAAAGTAATATAAAAAATTATTGAAAATACTGTTTTTTTAAAAATAACCATAACTATAGATGAAGTTTTTAAGAAATTATTTTTGTATTCAACACAAAATCGACTGGAAATATTTCAAATTTTTTAGATGCAATATGTATACTTAATACTTAATTTAAATAAACGAAAATATTTAAGTGAAATTTCACATCACATATTATTTTCATCTGCTATATACGAGACAAGACAATAGCAATATTGCAATAATTTATCCTTAATCCTTTTTCTTATAATAATATTTCTAATCTTTCTTTATGTTTTATTTAGTGGAGTTTATATTTGAATCTTCAAATTTCGATAAACATTTCAGAAAACAAAGCTTGACGTGCGATGATTATCAATTTCTTCATCGTAGTACGATCCCGACTTATCATTTTCAAAAAAGTCTTCGAAGATTACCAATTCCAAAATTGGAATTGACGTGTCAAAGGTTTGTGGAATTTTGTATTTCATTGCGAAGTACTTAATATGGGTTCCTTTTGTTAACGTTTCATTTAAATAAATTTTACTTTTTTGATTCATGAAATTTAAAGATTTTTGGCTGCGGCCGAAGCAGTTCTTCCAAACGACAGATATTCCTCTTTAAAATTGGCTGTCGAAAATTTTGAGCGAACGGATGGTCAAGGTGTATTGTATGAAATTTACTGTATTAAATATATCTTATGGAATTATCATATACTTTTATAATACTTGGCGTCTGTTGTTTAGTGGATTTTACAGTTCTTCTTTCTACTTTTCCGCTTCTTTTTTAAACTGATTTTATTCTGCCAATTTCATCTTTATTCGCTAAACTGAATCTTTAAAATATAAATTATAATTAATAAACTTTAATAATCTCTGTAAAAGTCCAAAAATTAAATTAAATTCTATAATTCTATAGATTTTAGGTTCTATAGTTAGATTATACAGTTCATAATTAATAATATTCAGAATTGCAAAGAGATCTTCTTGCTTATGATAAGCAAAATAAACATACCAGTTATATATCAGAGCCATGGTTTGATAAATACCTTAAAGATCGTATTCCCTGTCCTATTAACTATAATCCGTTTATGATGTTTGCTCCAGATCCGCAAAATGAATTTAATAATCAGGTAAAATTTCATTCTTTTTTAGGAGAGAGAAGTTTTTGAGGGTTTTTTTCGAAAAAAAAGAAGTAAAATCTGCAAGATTTCAGTAATTCAATGTTAAATATTTTTAGTTGGTTCGTGCCACCAATTTTGTGATATCTTTTGGTCGTTTCAAACGATCGTTAGATGCGAACGTTTTATCACCTGAAGTTTTTCATTTAAACCCGAAAAAATCAGATACTAATTTTTTTAGAACTATTTGTCGGTGAGATTTCTTGTTTTTTATATCTTATATTTAATTCATCAACTTAATTAAATATGCCATGTTTTTCATTCACTGAATATTCTAACTTTATTATTTTAAATCTCTTTGGAGCATCAGGAGTGATGAAGAAATCCACTAAAAATGAGTTCGTGCCTTGATCTTATTTCATGGTTTTAATATGTCGTAATAAAAGAAGTTAGGACGAAGATTTTCACTATTGATATAATTTTTACTGTAGATTCAGGAAGAAAAGAGAATTTTAGAAATTTACCTGCGAACTTAAGTTGGTTTGGAGCCGTATTGTTTAAAGCATTCCCACTAGATATGAGCCAGTACAAAAATTTGTTTGGTGGAACTCGAATTCCGCAAGTGGGAAAGGATAAATTATATCATTGTGCTAATTCGAAAAGTTTTGTGGTTATACGCCATGGAAAATTTTATTCAGTTGATCTTTTCGATGATAAAGGTAATGTTTATAAATGTATTAATCGAGAATTTTAAATTTTTTTGGTTTTAAATCGTTATCTATAGAAATATGGATCATGAATTATGATTTTTAAATTTTTATATCAATTTTTCTTAAGAAATTCTTGCAAAATTGTTTTCTTTCTTGAAAATCACTGAAATTTTTAAATTTGTACTTTATTTTTAAAGGTTTACTGGTTTCTGCCGAGCAAGTTTATGCATGCATTGCTGCAATATTGAATGATTCAACATTGCTTAATGCTAATGAATGTATCGGGTCATTAACATGCTTGAATCGCGATAAGTGGGCTGAGGTAAGTAATATATGGAATTAATTAAGGCAATACTTGGAATTTTACTGAATTTTTATTTCAATATTTTTATTTTTAGATTCGTAATCAGTTATGTTCCGATGAAAGAAATGTGAAATCAATTACTGCAATAGATAATGCTTTGTTTGTTCTGTGTTTAGATTCTGTGCGATCTGAAGACCCCGATCAACTGGCAGAAAATTTTCTTACAGGCGGTGACGGATCAAACAGGTATACTATAAATTAATTACTAACATAGTTAAATTATTTTGAAAAAGAAATTTCAACCAAGTATAGGTCGTTTATATGAAATTTGTACTTTTTTAAATTATTTTAATACCTGAATACCGAATTTTAATAATACTTTTATTGTGATATGTGAATGGATGGAGGATAATTGGGCTGAAGTTTAGATTTATTGAATAGATTATTCAAAAATAGAAACTATTTTTCATAATAAAAGTAAACATAGAACCATTTAAATAAAGTGCTCAGTATATATACTATTTGCACAATTTTTTACTTTAGTTAAGTTCGAAATTTTTATTTCTGGTGGTTCGATAAATGTTTTCAATTAATCGTTGATGAATTTGGTCATGCAGCGATAAATTTTGAACATTCGTGGGGTGATGGCGTTGCTGTTTTGCGACTTTTGGAAGAAACATTCAAAGATACGAATGCAAACCATTTTGTAGCGCCTGGTCAGTCAGTTGATAGCAGAATAAATGTGAACAGTCACTTCCGACCTCTCGGTTAAATTTTTTTCTCGTGTGATCTTATAATTCGTTTTAAGGGAAGAGGAGCGATATTTACATTAAAACTTTATTAGAAAGATTAAGTGAAATTGGTAAAAAAAAGCTGGCAAAACTATTGCTTTTCATTAAGCCAATTAAAATTCGTAATGAAGGCATCAATTATCGTTTGTGGTTTAAGAAGCAATTTTTGTCAAAAACAAGTATAAATATGAATGTTATATTTATTTTTTGATTTTTTGTCTTTATTTTTCTTCGTTCATTCTATGAGATGACATTTATAGGCTTCGTACTGAGTAACTCTGTACGTGAAAAAATAACGACAGCGCAAGCTGAATACAAATCTTTATCATCAGCGCTTCATTTTGGACATTTTGAATACTTTGGTTTGAGTCGTAAATCTATAAAACTGGCAAATTTATCACCAGATGCAATTGCACAGCTTTCATTCCAACTGGCCTTTTATAAGCAATACGGAGAATTTGTACCAACATATGAATCATGTAGTACCGCAGCTTTTCTGAAGGTTTTCTCTATATTTTTGCTTAAATCGGTCATGGTGCTAATTTTATTTCCTATCAGATTTTCTCATTATTTATTTATTTTTTCAAACCTTCAACTTAGGGCAGAACCGAGTGTATAAGATCATTAACTGTTATCAGTCGTGATACCGTATTAGCAATTGAAAACGATGCGAATGGCCTGCTTAGAAAAATTCAAGAATGTTCCAGACAGCATTCAGAACTAGTTAAAAAAGCAGCGATGGGTATTTCATATTTACTTCGCTTAAAGCCTTTCTTTCATCTTTCTTTCACCATCATTATATATTTTCAATGAAAAATATTATAGGAGCAGGATTCGATCGGCATTTAATGGGATTATTTGTGACAGCAGAAAGGTTGGGGAAAACAATACCGGATCTCTTTTTGAATAATGATTTTGAATATATGAAGCATTTTATTTTGTCCACTTCAACACTTTCATCATCAGCAATTGCTCTCGGTGGATTCGGACCAGTGGTGCAGGATGGTTTCGGCATTGGTTATACTGTTACAGGAGCAAAAATAGGTGCAGCTATATCATCTTTTAAGGTAAATTTTGTGCTTATCTTTCTGTGAAGATTAAGATTGAAGTTTATGATTATTGCAAAATCATTCTTTTATTTCATTGCTTGGATCTGCTTAATTTTTTTTTAGGATAAACGCGATGCAAAATTATTTTCGAATTTAATTTTGGAGAGTTTGGATAGACTGAGGGATATAATAAACTCTGGGAAATAAATCATGATTTTACTTAATATTTTGGTATTAATATATGATTAAATTTTTGTAGGGCTTTTGCAGATATGTTTGTTTGCCTCATTTTTTTATATTACTATCTCATGGAATATTTTTTCTTTCGATGCCTTTGTTCTAAGTTCATTTCGGCATTTCACTTTATAGGTCATCTAAATTGTTTTGTTTTTGCTCAAAATGCATTTTGTAGATTAAGTTGCATAAGTATACCGAAAAAAAGTTCAGTTTTTTTGTTAATTTTTTATATTATATTGCTTTGCATATAGATATATACATATATTACAATACTAAATATTTCCTGGCATCCAAAAAATTTTAAGTATTCATTACTATTTTTATAATTCAAAAAATATTTCTCTAAAAATGCCATCTGCCGTTGTTGGTAACAATTATTTAAAGAAACAGTAATTTAAATAATTTTTACTTTTTTTTATTTGCTCTTCTTTAACTTCTTTTCTATTTTTATTTTTTATTTTTTTTATTTTTTAAAATTTTATTCTAAAATAATTTTAGAAATTTTCGAAATAAATTTAGAAATGTTGAATATTCATAGTTTTTCATAATTATTCACTTATGCAACTATTCAAAATTTCCATCTTTTTTTATTCAAAACCTTAAGAATTTAATATAAAGATATTAAAAATATTAAATATTAAATTCCCTTAATTTGTTAATTTTCATTTTATTTTCTACATTCTATATTTTTATAAGTTTTGTCAAAAGTTATTTCGTATTGTTAATATTATAATGACCTTTTATTAAAATATATTGTGGTACTTTTATTTACCTTTATTACCTTTATTTTTTTCAGTAAACAATTGGTCATAATTAATTATTTACATTAAATTTTTTTTGTATGAAAGATTGCCAGAAAAAATAAAAGTAAATAATAGCCAAATTATACGAAAATATTATCAATTCTAAGTCGAAATAATTATAAATAACGAAAAATAATAAATAAAATCTGACAATAATTATTAGTGAGTTAGTAGGCAGTAGTCATTTGCGGTTAGGCTTGTTCCGTTGGCTTTTAGTATAGTTAAAAACTTCTAACGAAGAGTTATTTGCTAGGAGTTGTGCAAGCTGGTGGAATGCAAGCACCACGCGGTTTTTTTTAAAGGTAGGTATATATATTCATGTCAAAGCAAGAGCGAACTATTAATTAACTGTTAATTAATTATAAATAATGAAAAGAATGAAAGAAAATAATAACGATGACGATTTGAACCATTCACTCGGTTACGCTGTCTCCAATTGCTGTGAATATGCGAATTTTAAAAATGAGGAAAATGGAAAGTGGTGAAATGGCGGTGAATTTTCCTCCTAAATTCTCTCAAACTGAGAGTTATTAAGATCGGTCTGAAATATTTTCGGGGCCGATTATTGTTGCCTTTGATAGGTCCTAAGAGCTGATTCGCAATCGCCAATTCCTCAACCTCCCTATTTTCGTTTTGTGGCCTCACCACTCACCTTATTTATTCCCTTTGCTATTCTTCATAGGGCCACTGCAAAAACGGGCAGTGAAGGGTGGAGTGCTTGGAAGGAGGATGCGACCCAAGGCCCTAAAGGAATTATTTCACGGGGAGCGAGGCTATTAATGTGGTAGACTTTTGCATCGTTGCAGATCGTACCGAAGCGATATTCGTTCGATACGGAAGAAAGGAAATTCGTCGTATAAAACAATTTTCTTCATTCTGCGATCTTCCTACAGAACTAAAATATTGAAAATATTTGAAACGAAACAAAAAGCCCATGTCCGCCGCAGGATTCGAACCTGCGCCCACCGAAGTGGACTGCGACCTGAACGCAGCGCCTTGGACCGCTCGGCCAGACGGACTACAATGATTTTCCTTTAGATTTCTATTTTTCTACGGCAAAAACGATTTTATATTTTATTCATTCAATTATTTTTCGATTTTATAGCAAATTTTTTAAAAATAGTTTACAGTTGTTTTTCAAAATTATATTTTGTATGTATTACATTTAATAATAATAATTCAATTAAAAAATGCAAAATGCTGTTTCGCCCAACTTTTTTACCAAAAATTCTTCCAAATCACTTAAATCTTTTACAACATTCACCGGTTTATTGACTAATGTAACGCAATGATTGCGAAAATATAGTGCTGCTAAAGATCGTGTTGGCAATAAGCCAATGTCGTAGTCCTTTAGATGAGCGGTTTGATTAAAATTTAAGAAAGGTGGTAAGGGTAAGCAGTAAAAAGTTACCGTTTCGACTGGGTGAGGCCAGTTTAGAAGTTTTTAATATAGAACAGGACAGGGGCACGGAACTGCAGGTGGGGTGCCAGTACCACCGGGGTTTTTCAATAATAGGTCGGGGGGGGGGGGGGGGGGGGGAGTGATGCCGAAATCTCAGGTGCTAATTTTGACCTTAATTATTTGATAGGCCAACTCTTTAAATTTCTTCGAGTTTCTTTTATTTTTATATTAATGTTCGATTTCTCTTGTTTCTTTCGTTCTTTATTCACGTCTTCATTACTAATGCTTTCTCAAATCCAATGAAATAGTACGGATATGAGAGAGCTCTTCTTCTAACCATCGCACCATTAGTGGTTAGGCTGCTCCAACGGCTACACGGATAAGACGCTTCCGCGTGGCGCGGTCTGATGCCATCGTTAGTAGCAATAGAAGCCATTCCTTTTTCCATCGTCTGAGTCCATATATTGCTGGTCCACCTTTACGTTTATAATCTTTCCTGACCGTATCAGTCCAAACGCCAACCATTACACGATTTAGCAAATAACGAAATATGCGTCAACTCGTGTGGTGGGCGATAAAGAACGTGTCCAAACCAGCGAAGGCGACACCTCTGTGATAAAATTATAAATGCAAGTGGTATTTGAACGAAGGTGGATACGATCATTTTATCTACTCGAGGAATCCGTAAAACTTAGACATGAGTGGTCAAAGATAACTTTAATATTCACAATTCTTATTGGCCATTGGCCAATTCTCATAGTCCTATAGCAAGATCGAGCGAATCACGGCATTATAGACGAGTGCTTTCGTTTTTATGGCGATTTCGCTACGATTCCATAAAGTTTTCATCAACCGAAAGAACATATTTGGCTACTGTTATCGCAAAATGACAAAAATTTATAATCGTATTAATATGCAACAGGGAGGGCGAACTTGACCAAAAATGGCCAGTGACTTACCTGTGTTCCAGGCAAAATGCTTAACTTATTGCCGAGTTATTTTTTTTATTCATTAATTTGTTAATATTTTTTAAAAGTTTTGCTTAATTTTCGGCAAATCTTGAAAATTAAGAAATATATATAATTTTTGAAGAAATCATGTTTTTAATATTTTTATTTTAGTAATTTTTTAAAATCTAAAATTTTATTTTGAATTATCTTTAAAGTTTTTACACCTTATTTACATTGTTTTAAAATTCGTTTTAATTATTTTAATTATTATGTTATAATTTTTTATTTGTCCTGTGATTAATTTATTCGATTTATTCAATCATCCTAATATTTTCTAAAGAATAAAAAAATTTTCCGGAAAATTGCTATTTGCTATCGTCCATGGTGCATTTATTTCTGAGAACCTAATAGAGTGGCATATGGCATATTTTTATCTTTTCATTTTCTATCCATATGGTAGATAAAAAATTATTCTTTGCGCTGTTTTTTCAGGAGTTTAACATCCTTATCAGTTTATCAGGAAGACAAGAGAATCATTTTCGACTTAATGGGATATTTTTTGTTGATATGAGGAATCTCAGACAAATCGTTTCAGTTTTCTCTCGCCGTTTTTTTTGCTCAAAAAAAGACGATGATAATATATTTCTTTCTGGCTGGCATATAATTCCTACTGGTTTGTTTTAAGTATTGTATTTTAAATTATGTGATTATATATGATATAAAATTTTTATCATAAGCTTTATTTTGTTAATTTCTTAACGCTTTTAGTTTCTTTCTAATGTGTAAGGTTTCTTTTATTTTCTTTGTTTTTTTGCTTATTTTATAATTATTAAAAATAGTAATATTATTATATATTGAAAATAACGCTTTGTCAATTTATATTATAAATATATATTTGGCAGGTAAAAGTGATCTGAGCGAACGAACACGTATGTCTTATCTATCAGGTGATATGATGGAAAATAATTTGGTTGGTATTAGAACTATCAGTCGGATAGGTTTTCGCTTATTCGATGGATCTTTTTTATATGGTCCGATAGCTGTTTTCCCAAAGGCTGCACTTTCATGGCGTGTTCTTTCTCCTGATCACATCAATGAAGAATCTATTGAATTTTTCACTTTATTAGAACCAAAGCTTGATGTTCTCATTGTTGGAGTGGGTGATCGGCAAAATATTGATCCAGTTCGAGCAAGAATTACTCGATTATTGTCAAAACATCGAATCGGTTTAGAAATTATGGATACTGTAAGGTTTTTTGGATATTTTTAATAAATTATACGCGATTAATTTTGAACTTGTTAGTTTAACAGTTTGTTTTTTATGTTATTCTCAAAGTATATTTCATAAAAATAAATAAATAAGGTAAGTCCTTTAAATTTATTCATTTTTATTGCAACATATGCATATATTTCATTGGTGGAAGTCGGTTTGAAGGCTGAAAAATTATGTATTAGGAATGTTTTTTGTTTATTTGCAGGAAGAAGCAATACCAACTTTCAACTATCTAAATTCCGAAAGGCGTTACGTTGCTGCAGCCTTATATCCACCAGATGATCTAATCGTAACAGATGAACAGCATGGTGAAGTATTGCAACTGTTAAAGAATTTCGATACTTTGGATGAAAATCCTTTCTTTCCCTCAGCGAGTTTATTAGAGGATAGGGCTAAGGTTACTATTCGAAAGTTGTGGTCCTCTGAAGAAGCCGAACAAATTGAAAAATTGTTGGATGAGAGGTATGAGGAGTACAAAGCTGCTGACGAAGAAAGAATATTGAAGTTAAAGGATAGATGATTAAGAACCAGATATGTAATAAATAATTTTACCAGTAATTTATGGTTAAATACATCTGAATCCAGTTGATAAGAATCCCATTTTCCTCGAAATTTCCGGAAAATGATTTAAGTAGACTGTTAATGGCAGATGTAGAAAAATGGTATAAATATCGCATGGAATTGTTTAAGTAGTTGGTAGTATCAGATTCAGAGATTAGATTGTCCGGAAAGTTCCTTGTGATTTTAAAGAAAAATTCGAAGACTATATGTATAAATTTGTCATACATAGGTAAATTTTCATGCAACAAAGATAAGTGGTTAGCGCTCACCATTTCCGGACCACTGTTCCCTCAGTGGCTGTCAACAGAAATTTTGGGAAGGAATCATTTGGGATTAGGAGAGTTGACAGCATCACCATGATCTCACTACCATTTTATAATTCATCTTTGATTTAATTTTTTTATCTTCCCACACTTTCTCGGTGGCAAATTTCTAAAAAAGTTATCGAGAAATATCAGACGCAGAAAGTTAAATATTTTCCTCCATCTTCAAAACAATAAATAGAATATATTAAATAATTCAGATAAAAGGTGAAAGAGAAGAAGGAAATCTTTCTTAATTAATTACCAGCCATTTTTAAATCGTAGTAGCCGTATATATGAACGCTATTTATTGAAAATCAGAAAGAACTTTCTAGATAAGAATTTCAAATAGTTTTAAGTTCGTTTTGAGTCGTCTTAGTGTCATCCCTTAGTTTATTATATTTTCACTTTGTGATGCCTTTATTATTAGTTGTTGTACAAAAAATTTGATAAAATTTGATATTTTCTTGGGAATATTGTTTTTCATGAGTTTATTTCATCAAATATTTCGAACACAACAATAATTTGTGGATTTTTTCAAAGCAAAGCTTGCATGTTATTTTTCATTAAGTAGCACCGTTATCTTTCTTAGTTGCAGCTTGTTTCCACTGTGGATGAAATCATGCGGTGAAATGCAATATTCACTGTCACAAGCAAGATCAACTGCGAAACATGGTGATCCTATGCAAGCAGCAATGGTTTATTTAGCTGTATTCCGGCATATGAAAGAAATGGATCGCTGTTGTCATTTTGATGAATACTGTGAAATTTTGAATGACCTAATGTTGAAGAACGAAGATTCCGAGAAGCTAATAACAATTTTAACACTTAGCAGGGAATTATTTCCAAATCATCCTTTGATTCTCAACATTTCTGCTAAATTTTTATTTTCTCTTAGTAAGTTTCTTCGTTTGGTCATTTTTTTTATTAATTTATTTTTGATATTTTTATGTAAAATGCTGCATTGAAATAAATCAGTTTTTAGTCCTTTATGGTTTTGCAAACTAAATGATAGAACACTGATAAACTTGGAATCCAGATTGTTATGTGGATGCGTTACAACTTGCACATCATGCGATTAAAGAAAGTGAAGGTCGAAATCGTATCGAGGCACTCGTTAATTTTGAAAATATCAAATCTAATATGTAATTTATTATTTATTAATTTATTTTCCAGTAATCGTATTTACATGCTATTCAAATCTGTTACTCTCAAATTTTTTTAAATTTAAATTTAGTTAAAGATTTTAATTTTGAAATTTCGAGTATAAATACTAATTTCTTTAAAATTTTTGATCATTTGATATTTCTATTTTTTTGTTATATTATTTTTTAATCAAGTATTGATAATAATCAATTAGTAACGATTAGTAATCAAGATAAAGATGAGAAATTTTATTCATGTTAAAGAATATTTACGGTTCCATTTATTAATTAATTAAGAATGGACCAGTGGCACTGGGCAATGCTGAATGATGAAAAGCGAAATTCTGTTTATGCCGAAGCAATGAAACTGGCGATTAAAGACGATTCTCGAGTTTTGGATATTGGTGGAGGAACTGGATTCTTAAGTATGATAGCTTACAAGTTTGTTTTACTTTAACAGCTTTGATATAAATACTTCATCTTTTTCTTTTCTTTTCTCTATTTATTCATTTTGAATTTCCTTTTCCTTTTTTTTCCTTTTTCTTTTTTTTATGCGATTCCTTAATATGCGAAAAATCTGCAGAAATTCTTCAATTGTGTACTGTTGCGAAATGGACGTTAATTTATGTGATTTGGCTGAAAAAATAACCAGTAGCACTAGCATAAGAATTATTCGCAAACATTCGACCACTATGCAACTCTTCGATTTAGAATCTGAAAAAGTTTCTATTTTTTTCATTATTTAGCCGAATTATTTTTAATTTTTTGCATAATTATTAATTATTTATTATTGTTATTTTCATTATTTAATTGTATTTTTTGTATCTCAGGTTGATATACTGGTAACAGAAACAATGGATAGTGGTCTTTTAGGTGAAGGCATCATAATTTCTATTTTGGATGCGCATTATCGGTTTTTATCTGAAAATTCAATAGTAATTCCGAAAAGGGCAAGTTTTTTGTTTTATAGACTTTTACTTTTGTAATTTCAAAAATAAATTTTCAGATATCCGTTCTGAATCTAAGTAGACAAATTTTAGGCGACTATGTATGCGTGCCTCATAGATTCACAATCAATTGTAGTTGAACACAGAGCTTCAATTAATGAATGTTCTTTTGTGTCCAGATATGTTCAATGTATATAACCACTTTTATTTTTAAATTTTCTGGAACAATTAAGCGATTGCTCTTTTTATCTATGTAAATATTTTGACTGAATAATGAGTATCATAAATTTTAGGTGCAGAATCATCACAACTAGCTGAATCTGATCCATATTGGTGTTGCTATGTAAATGAACTGAAAAACGGTTTCACGATTCTCAGTAATTGTGAACCTTTGACCTCGATCGATTTTAATGATATTGGATTATTAGAAGAATTTTACCATGGAACTGAAAATGAAATCCTCCTCTCTTGCTCACAGAATGGTTCTGCAAATGCCATAATGGCCTGGTTCGAGTGCGTGAAGTGTTTCTTTTTTTTTCCATTTCACAATCGTCATCGTAAATTCGAAATTGAAATTTTTTTGCTCATTCCAGTTTACAGTAATTTTATTTGTTGCAGAAATTTTTTGTTTTTTGGAGAAAATAGGACTATATTTTAGTTGTGAATTGTTTCCTGGAGTTCCCAAGTTATGTACTGATCCCGATTCGAAAAGTTGCTGGCAACAAGCAATATATGTATTGCCAGAACCATTGATTGTTCAGTCTGGTCAAATCGTTAAAATAAAATGTCAAATATATAAAGATCGAATTATTTGTACTCTTGCCGACAAAGAGATAAGTGATAAAGTGTGTAATCTTGTTTCGAGCGAAAGTACTTCCCACTTGCGTACTTGTTATTCTAATAACGAAATACAAACTTCATCAAAATGTGAAAATGGCTTATCAAACCTCTATATTGAAAAGTCTCCGACTTCAATTCGTTGCATAAATAATTTGGATTTTTTATTTCTTAATGATGCCTCGATTATTCCTATTTTTACATGCGCATTAGGAATGGATGATATTGCTTTATCGAAAATTATTGTTGATATTACCGAAATACCGAATATTTCGCTTGCAATATTGTCGATGTATCCTCTTTGTCGACTAAAATGTTATTATCAACACGAAGAATTTCTCACAATTTTGAAGACTTCTCAGAATTTTAATCGAATCAATTTTATTTCTCATGAAGGTATCTTGTTTTATGACAGTTCATAAGTTTTTATTTTTGTTGTGATTTCTAAAAATATTAAAATTTTAATGGCTCTGTTCGTTATCTTTATTATTGCTCCCTATTCTTATATTCATATTTTAAGGCATATTTTTGCATATATTTATTGAGGTTCAACCACTTTCTGCCGAAAACATCGGATAAAATTTATTATTGTTTATGTTTTGTCTTTTATTAAAATATTTAGATTTTGAGCTATTAATATATTTTTTCTATTTTTACCTTTAATTTATATAATTCTTTTAGATTTTCCGTGTTTAGCAGATATTGTTTTTTGTTGGCCTATCACATCTTCCGGTACTCTTTTCGTTGATTCATTGAATCATATCGTTGATTTGAAGTTATTGAATCCAGATCTGATCGTGATTCCGACTCGGATATATATTCGGGCTCAGTTAGCTTGCTGTCCAAATATTAGAAAGCGAGCAAAACCGAATCTTCATGCTTATCAAAATATTGATCTAAATGTTATTGATAATTTGGCCATTACTCATTATTTTGACGTTGAGGTTTGGTTTCCAGTGTTTTTTTTAAAATATCTACTACCCATTTCGGGTTTTTCGAAATCAAGTAAGTATTAAAAAGTACCTAATTCGATATAATTTTACCAGCATCTTAAAATATATCACGTTAAAATATAAAGTGGTAGTAACTTTTAGCCATCTACTATGGTTGACAGTTTCCTTTCGGAAGAATTTGAACTTCTGTGCTTGCGATTTGATGAGGTAACTTTCAGTATTTTAATAATCTGGTTTGTTTCATTTTCATATTACATTTTCGCTCAAATACCACTTGCATTGACGTGACACATATTTCTTACTTGCAAAATCATGTAACGGATGGCTTCAAAAACGAGTGAGGCCAATCAAGATCTAGATTTTGATTTTAGATTTTAGATTTGATTTTAGATCTTGGATTTTAAGGTAGGATAAATTAAATTTAAAGTTATAAATTAAAAACTTTTTCTTTAAATGGTATTTTGATGATCAATTTTAGGTGCTGTCTATGGATTCCAACATTCTACCAAATTTTATTTATCAATTAGAAGTGCCCTCAAGCGTTTTGACAACTTTCGAGGGACAAGCTGATGGCATTCTTTATTGGTTTGAAGTAGAATCTGGTGCTTCGCTATATAATAGTAAATCAGAAGAAACATTGGCTCGATGCACTGTATATTTATTTGATAAATGTATTAATGTGACATCTGGTCAAAAAGTCGAGTTTAAGACCTCGCTTTTTCATGGAAATTTGGTAATGGAAATAGTTTGACTGCTTTCTTTTCTTACATTTTTCATAGATCTTTTTGTCCTTGATTCTTACATATGGACCATTTTATATTAATTTTGATCCAGTTGTTATATGAATAGATTCCTACCAATCTTTCTTAGAGAAGACGTATGGATTTTCTTGTTCCTTGATATTTTATCACATTTTCTCAGCTTTACACACGCTTGTTAATATTTTTACATAACTTCGTCTATATTTTTAATAATTTTGTTAATAATTTAATTTTGATTGCAAATAATTTCATAAAGAAACCGAAAATCAAGTAGCATTTATGTGCACGATTAGTTAATTACTAGTTTTTGCATAATTATTTAATATAGAATAGGACCGCTGTTGCGAAATTCGTAGAAAAAGAAGGTATGAAGAGGAAAATGGGAACAGAGAATCAGCTTTAAAACTCAGTTTAGAGTTTATTTCTTTCACTTTTTTCAACGTTCAAAAAGAAATGCGAAATATGACGGTCCATGTATTATTAATCCACATGTTAAAAATAAACTAATAAAAATAGTAACAGTGGATGATCAATAAATTGTTTTAGCTTAGTTTACCTGAGATTTGCGTTTTAGTCCATAGCTGTCTTGAAACTAAGGTGATAACGTTTCTCCTCAGAAATTTTATATCTAATTTTTTTACACTATTCGCATATTTCAAGTTTTAAGCCTATCTTTAAATATCCTATCATTTATCCTTAAGCCTATGATTTTAAAAGGAAAAATGAATTAAAGTCAGCCATTGCAATTGTGTTTTTTTTAAAAAAAAAACAAATATATCGGAGCAAAATTTCAGACTATTAAAAAGATTTTTTAAGAATACCTAGAACATTGAGTTCGTTTTCAATATAAATATTAAATCATCAGTGAATAACGATGAGCTCTTATGACGGATATGGAAAACTACTTAGGCGATTGCGACAATTCCTCGTAGTGGCGTAGAAAATTCCTCGTCGATTGATGCGAAATAATTGGCGAGTGAGCATCATCTGCTTTTCAGAAAATACTCAAATTAACTAAATGTTGAATAAAGGAAATAGCCAAATTTTCTATATAATCTTTAAAAATAATACTATTGAAAACATAGCTGTAATCGGAAATAACTGTTAAACAGAGTAATAACATCGCAAAGAAAAAAGAAAATGAACTATGAATGAGAATAGGAAGTTTTTTGGATTTTTGCTGATATGATAAGGGTTTTAATTAGAATAATTAGAATAATTTATAGGGAATCCCGCAACACAACACCTATCAAATATTGTATATTGAGATATATATTAAATATTGAGCAATAAAGATGAATAAACATGAAAAATGAAATGAACAAATGTCGAGAGTTTAAAAAATACTGAAAAAAATCTCCTTTTGATAAGATTGCTTCGTTTTTTAAAATTTCTTAAAAAGCTGAAGAAATTCAACGACCAGAAAACTAGTGAAAAAATAGAATTATTGCCATTTACATTTATATTTATAAATTACTACAAAGAATTTAGCATTTGAATATTTCTGGAATGAATTTCAGCGAAATACGGGAATCTAATCGAGTTATGAGGATATGTTATTATTGCTATACGATGTGTCAACCGATTCATCAGTTTGGTTAACTGCGCCGGAAGCGAACTGCAACTGGCGATGCTGCATTGCTTGTAGCTGAAAGTTTCACGCAATTTTATCTACTGCAATTCTTCAATTTTTATTCCTCAGCGTTTCAGTTTTGTGGTTCACTTATTATATCAATTATATTTGATCGTTTTAGATGGTCATAGTTTACCGCTAAGAACCATTTTCTTCTTCGAATTGCACTCACCATTTCTTGCTTTGGCCATTGGCTATTTCGCTATTTACATTGGCTATTAGGATGAGATCCTTTCGCCTGCCTGACTGTCGCTTGGGGCAAAAAGGCGAGTGGGTTCAGGTTCGGGTTTCATTTTAAACGATAGATTTATCCAAGGAACTGCTGCTTCAATCGAACCATTATGTTATTCAACCAACTTAAAATTAAATCCAAATGAAAATTTTTTCATTATAGCGAAAACTAACATGTGAATGTGATATACAAGCCATTGCACTGGAGAAGTGACCACTCGTATTCGACAAATTATTGTAATATTTCATTTGAGCATCAAATAACGATGAAATACACTCAATTACAGCAACAAATGCCAGATTGCCGAAGCCGTGTGTCAACTAAAATAATTTTATTCAGGAAACGAAACGAACTTTTTATCACCTATTTTTCGAAAAATCGCGTATGGTCAAAGGATCGATTGGCATTTTGGTTAATCGTTCAATGCCTAATATCCTAATATTTTCTGGCTTGAAAAGTACCAAAGGATGAGACAGATGAGACAGATGTGTGGCATCCTTTTTGTGGACGTAACTAAGCGACCTGAATATTTCGATGTAGATTTTCGAATCTACGACAGTGAGACAAAATCTAAAAACCATAAAAATCTCTATTTAAAAATAAAATATTGTGGCAAAAATTCAATAAGAAAAAAAATTAAACAGACCAGTGAAAACTGTGTGAGAGCGTTTTGTAATTTTGGTGACAAAACTGTAGGTGGATCAGCGGCACAAATCGGACTTCTGTCTGCGTTCATCACATCAGCTATTTCTTTCATCGCTAAGCTAAAAAATGTTGAATGTTAATTTATTTTATAAGTAAAAAAGATGAACAGTCGCTCTGATACCAAATATATATATGTTTCTTCTACGAAGAGTACTGTAGAAGCACTGCGAAAGAGACGAAGACGAGGAACTCTTCGTTTGAAAAATAAAAATTACCTCGTCAGTTCAAGTTTCGATTTTATAATTCCTATATCAATGTTTCCGATACGATTCTTCTCAATGAAAAACTCAGCCAGTTCGTTTGTTGGAAAATGCTTCTGGCTGATTTCTGAAAACGATTTGGCCATATAGAGCGCCTCTTCTGCAAGAATTGTTTTACTATTTATTTTATGCAAACTTTATCAACTTTATCAAGAGAAATACGAAATAATGAAAAAAACATGAGTGAAAAAGATAAATAAATTGAAAAAACGTCACAAACCTTCAACTAGTGCCGTCCATGGAGTAATATCGGTGGTTTTACGACGGCCGACGGGTAATTGAATTCCATGTTTACTTAATTGTTCTCGTAAAGATTTTCCGCCATTTTTCGCTTTTGCTCTAAAAAGAATTTATTTTTCTGGCACTATTTTTCTTGACCAAAAGGATGAATTTTGATATTAAGGCTTAGCATTTTTCCTTCGCTGAGAAGGCAAAACGGAAATTCTAAGCAATAAGTCACTTTCGAAGAAAACTAAAGAGAAGGATCGCCACATATTTTGGAAAATACCCAACAAATGAAAATTCACTTTCATTCTTGTTTTGCGAACCACATATAATATTGTAGTAGAAATTATTTTTTGATTTTAATATTGAAAAGATTGGAGATATCTTTTCGGTAACAATTTATTTCCCAAAGGAGGATTGAACTTTCTAAATAATTCGTACTTTCTAAGCACTCCACCAAGAAGTGAAGCGTTTAGGCATTCCGGTGGTGATATGCGCCGAAATATTTCGCCCACTGTGACGGAGTATTTCGTTGATGAGCTTAAGAGTGAATTACGGCCTGGCACTTGACAAAAAACTTCTGCTTCAATGCCTGGAGGTAGAAAAATTCGATTTGCTGGCAACTGTCGATCGCATGTCGACTGAAGGCCTCGATATAGCTGGAGCTCTAAAATCACTACAAATTTAACTTCAGCTCATCCACAGACGATTGATTCACATGGATGATTAAGAACATGAATGAAGCTAAAGCTATTATCATTTATTTATTAGGATGAAGTAAATTATTGATCTTAACATATGTAAATGTGGGAACTTAAGAGTTGAGTGGTTTAGTGGTTACTCAGTTATGAAAATATTATGAAATTATGCTATTTATGGTTGAACCTAGATGGAAATTATTGCAAGCAGTAATAGGGGCGAGGGGTGATTAGTTTATCATTTTAAAATCATTTTAAGGTCCCTGCATGAGTAGAACCGTCTGTCTACCTTTGTCTTCCGAGTTTCTCCATCGCTAGTAACCATTAATGTTACACTTAGCAGAAATGCTAAAACTAAAACTTTCTATTAAGAACTGTTAGAAAAATGACATTTTAAGTTTACTTTTATCACCATTTCCAAGATCCGGTGAATTCTCTGAGCTCACCTGAAAATAAAAATATGGAAATAAAAATATATAATCTATGATGGCTATTCTCAAAAAAAAAAATTCTCAATCATTATCATTACTGTGGGAAATTGACATACCGAATGCGCACCACTGTCGGTACTCCCGACTAAAGAGCGATCGCGAATTGGAAGCCGTGCTATTGGTTCCCAAAGCTGGTTTCGAGGAGTGATTGAATGACCACTGTTCGCGGAGATCGTATTCGCATAACTGTTTCCAGAACAAGATAAACCGTAAGGTATCTAAAATATTTAATATATGAATTATGCAGAATATTGTAGAAATCGAGGAAATAATAAAAGCAGCAAAATTAATGGTCCATCTAAGAAATTGCAATAAAATCTCTCCTCAATCACTTGACAATGATTTTTAGATGAACAAATAAGCCACTAAATTTCTGAGAATGTAAATTTAAAAAAAAATGAAATAACTGGTGAATATTGATTTCGGTGGGATTTATGAAAGAGATCAGATAAAAATTTCCTTCACCCGGTTACATGAATGTTGTCGACAGGTAGTTGGCCGATTAGTAAAAGGGATAAATAACCTGTTGCTGAGGAAAATTGTTGCAAGACACAAAATCTTGTCCAACAAAAGCACTATTCATGGTTGGAAAATACGTCTGAACAGGGCATGGCATAGGTTGCACTAAATAATAATTTCGTTTTTATTTTTTTCATAAATAATCAAATTATATAAGAATTTAAGAGAATAGATTGCTTACTTCGTGTACTAACGAATTGATGTCGATAGGAAAAATTTTGATTTGTTGGCGAAATTTGAAATTTCTGAAAATTTTTCGTGATATTATCAGAAAATATCAGAAGCAAAAAAATATTATAATATTGATATATTTATAAAAATATTATAATATTGAACGATTAGTGTTATTTTTTTAAAGTTAATTTTACTGATTATTAGTACGGTCAGAAATTTTTCCATAGAGTCACTTGAGAATAAAAATAGTACCTGGGATAGGACATTAGTCACGCAGTAAGTAATTTGCTTAAAATCGCCAGCACCACCCGGAATTATATTATTTATAATTAAAGTTATATTATCTATAGTGTTAATAGCATGAAAAAAAATTAATGCAGATAGGAGTTATTCCTCACTCATGAGCCTTTGAAGTTAAACATTTTAGGATTAAATTTTTTTTCACTTTAGTCTCTTATTTGAAGAAAAATGGCCGAAAAATCTTAAGGTTTTGAGATATTCGAAAAATCTGACAATAAATTGAAGGCTGAAAATAAAAACGTGTTTTTGCCAACTAATTTCTTTTGAACATAGAAGTGGATTATTGACTTCTGAGGGTGCAGACGAACAAGATGAGCTGTCGTTTTGGCCTTCTGGGCTTGTAGATGGTATGCTATCAGAATATTCCTCATTATATTGCTGGCTGTTATTTGTCGATATTCTCCTGCAAATAAAAAATTGGCAAAAGAACCGAAAATAATAGAAATTTTTGCAGGAATTGGATTTTTTTGCAGGATGCTTTATTCAGAATGCGGCTACGCTTATTTCAACATATTTACAATGCGCTCATCACAACTTTTTAAAGTGCTATTTTCTTAAATTTCAATCATCATAATTCAATAGATATTAGCGAAAACATTAACAAGTGAGCAATATTGTTTGACATTAGTAATGACATAATTGATTGTCAGCATCAAAGAAAAATGTTGAAGCACAAGAAATTTTATTATAGTGAATACCTTTTTTTGGCTGGACTTTTCCTAGCTCGATGATTAGCTGAATTGACGATTTGAGGCATTTCACATGCGTCTTGTGGGCAATTCATGATATTACTTGTATGATGTCGTTTATATCCATTTAGAGGCAACATGCGTAATGCTTTTCTATGAAATCCAAATGTTCTCTTGTAGTGTAAAAGCAACGATAGAATCAATAATTCTTCGAATCGAAAAAGTTTTCTAAAAATTCATTTAAAAAAAGTTTTTGCCATACATGATTTGGTTTAGTTTTGAGAATATATGATAAAAACTTTTGTTATTTTTAATTCTGGAAGAAAGACGGAAAAAGTAGGGGAAATCACATATATGCGTGTATCTCAGTAGTATTTTCCATGATCGATATAAGTTTTCTCGGTCGAAATAGAATTTGAATTACAGTATATTTCTTCTTCAGTAATTTCAATCGACTTTTCAAAGCCCAGTGACCAAAGAATTGTTTCTTAAACTAAGCTCTTCATGAGAAACCTCCTTTCTTTTTTGATCAATTCTCATTTATTTGATTGAAATAAAATAATAAGTAAATTTGAATGTTATAGCAAAATGGAAAAAATTTATGGATCCCATCCAGTCAATTAAGTTATTATAACGTAGCATGACGATAATAAATGGTAACAAACGATGAAATTTGGTGAAATGACAATGGAGAAAAAGCTAATACTGATAGAATGTGATGGACTCTCATGCTATGCTATAGTGTTTGGACATAAACTATCGGTTTATATTATTGGATCTTTTATTTGCCTATTTTCTAAATCATCTTTCGCCACAAATTTTAAATATTCCATTCCAGAAAAAATGCCAACCCACTATCAAGCAATATGGTGCATTAACAAGGAAAAGATATATACAAATTATCAATAATATTCTAAAAATCCTTAAATATTAAGCCAGCCTCATCAGCCATTGCGATTTTTCAACAATAAATAAATTTTCATTATATAAAATTGATTTCTCCGACTACAAACAACAAATTAAAAAAAAAAGCCCGGAAAAAATAGTTCAGTGTTCAATTTAATTAGTATATGTTTTAAATCAATGAATATATATGTTTTAAATTTTAAATTATTATCACAAATTTGAAATTCTGGTTTCAGTGCTTCAGTCTATTCTGTCTATTTGCAGTTTTTCATTTGGGAATAGAAGAAGGAAATGCACCCTCGACAGCTAACTGCCGTCTTGACGCTGCTCGCTACTTCCCTCCTTTTATTCAATATTTAGTTTTGTCATAAGTGGGGTGTATTGTTTGCATATCATAATTATGCTTGTGGCATATCAAAACAAGTTGGCTTGCTCATTGCGAAAATTTTAGCGAATAATTAACAATGAAATTATGCGTAAGTAGGTAAGCGGATAATAAAGCCAAATGGATCAAATTCCATTCCTTATTGAGCAGCGATTCTTAACGGTTTTTTTGAGGAGAAGAATATGCGAGTTTCAGATCTTAGCCTTGGCAGTAAGCTTAAGGTTTAAAAATACGAGTGGTGCTGGAGACCTTTTCCTGTCAGAAAATGACTATCTTGAAAAATTTTTGACTATAGCAGTTGGCAGAGCACTTTAGCCAGAAGAAATGATCAATACTAGACAATTTATTTATAATAAATACAATAATTAAATCGTATTACTATATGATAAAAAATGTGATTATTGTATTTGAAAAATAAAGCATTGGAAAAAAAGAAATTAATAAAGAAATAAATGAAATTTCGATTCGATCTATTTTCAGGAATCTAATAAAACTCCGCCCAAACATTCGTAAAATCCATGGATTAATGGGAATGGATGAAAGTATATTGCCAGTTTATATTAACCAATTGCCTTATTGAACTGATCAATCATTCTGTAGCTACCGTAGCCAATTAAAAGTCCATAAAAATTCAGCAAAATCATAAAGGTTAATATTTTAGGTATTTTCATAAAATTATATTTTTTATTTAATAATTTTTCAAATTATATTAGCTTTTTTGACAAAGTTGGCATAAAAAACAATAAAATCGGAATAGGAAACTGATAAACACTTCGGTACAGTGGTTCTCAAAATAAACTTTGAGGATCTCTCGTGCTCCAACGGACTCATTAAGTTGTCCTCGTGACCAAAAAACTATTCCATACTAATTGTAAAATTGATAAGTAGTAATATTTTAAAATGTTTCGTTTGAATTCTCGCAGTAAATCAAGTTTATATGTCATATGCTCTTATAATACTTTTAATAAATTTTAAGTTTTTTAGAAGAATCCCTATAGGCAAAAAACTCTAAAATGGTAAAGCATCTTAGAGTGTCACAATTCACTGATTGAATATTTCTTTCCATGAATTTTATGGATGAGTAAAATTTTGCTGCTAATCAGACTTTAATAAGGGTGCCTATTCGAATTCGCTGTTCGAATTGTTGAAATGCACTGTTTTGAAATGCCAGTTTCAATCTATTCAAGAAACCAGGCTGTGGTTGTGACCCATTTGCATATCCAGGCAAGTATCCTGGCAAAATTTGTCTCATTCCAAGTTTAAAATGTGGTTGCTCTTATAAAAAAGGGATTTAAATCTATCATCACTGAATTTTTTGAAATCACTTTTTTTGAAATGAAATTTATTAGCTTCGGTATTTTGTATTTTTTGATATTTTTGATATATATTTTAAAAACATCCAACTATTGCGTCCTATTTAAAGAAATCTTAAGTCGCGAATTATCTGTATCGAATAATATTCTCTTCTTATACAGCTTAAAGACAATAATTATCGTGTTCAGTACTTTCAATACTTCTTACCTCTACAGTAACTAATGCGCTCGCAAATCGTCAGCAAGGTAACGTTTATAATGTTTTAGAGCCTGAGATTTTGCTTCACTGACCAATATACGATGATTTTGAGTGAGTTAAATGGCAATATTGAAAAAATTGAAAGGTCATGCCAAATTAATTTTTTTATAATAGAATATATCACAGCATTCGCAAATCACCGCTACGATTCTGGAAATAGCAAAATATTCGATTAGGCTGAATGTGAAATTGGTGAATCGTCAGGAAATCGATTTCAAGAAAATATGAATAAATCAAGTATGGTTGTTTTGCTGATTGAGATTGAGAGATATTAATAAATAATAATTATGAGAAGAAATTTTTATTAATTAATGCGAGTGGTGAATATATAAATTGATGGAAAGTAGGAATAGGATTTAGGATGGATATGAAAAACTAAAGTAATTGGGATTATCGCCTCTTAATTGAGAATGCTTAAATGTTCGATAAATCTCTTCCGAATATAACGAATTCATCGTGAATAGTTGCCTCTTCAATTTACCATAATTTGAAGAAGTAAATTTATTTGATATGCAGTGATAATAATCAGACTTTTCCTTAGAGTCCTACTTTAGTGTGAGTATTTTTTTCTTCTTTTACCGAGTGCTTTATTTGGAAATATATTGAAACCTTTACCGAGTGCTTCACTCCAAGAATTCCTTCCCATAAAAATTTATTCATATCGGTTCTGCTTTGGGTGATTCCATCAGTTCATTACGAAACTTTCGCGATATTTAATTAGGGATAAGTAAAGTAAAGATCTTCGAGAAATAGCCCGATTTTTTAATGATAGGTTTATATCGAAAACAAGAGTCCGAACATAGCGACAATCTATGCTACAACTACGCAACTATTCTGTCCTCATCAGTAATTAATTAATTTATATTAATTTATTAATATAGGTGAATAATTATTATTAATCGAATATCTTAGAGATGCGAAGAATTTAAAATATTTATTTTGGCAGATAAAAATAATTTCTACAACTGTCGCTGCACTAAAATTTTTTTCATTTGGCACCCATTTTAAATTTTATTCATCGGACAAATTTTTCAGGAAATTTGCTTAAATGATTTTTAATGTATGTATTTTTTCAGTTATAATACTATTAAATACTATTAAAAGCCAAATGCATGAAAAAATAAGATTTAATTCGTTTACTGATGGAATATGGGCATTTTCTCAAGCATCAATATTTCAAAACGAAGATCTTCTGCCCATTGATTTTTCCATCAATTTTCCATAATTCGGTCTTCTTTTCCAGGAAAAGTATGCAAAATATGTTTGTCAAGGTTTGTTATATTATTTTTTTTTCTTAGAAATCGAAATTTTTTAAATTTTTCGCATTTTTTCACTTCATTATTTCCATTATTGTTATTCTTTTATTAAATTTTAATAAGCCATATCGTTAAAAAAATTCTTCTTGGAATGTGTAGAGAAAAAGTTTGTTTATCAAACTACTTGATGACCGTAAAGCTTGCTGAATATTGCTTTAGGGCATAATATCAATGCATTAGTAATAAAATCGAATCAGACAGCTGCGATTAATTTCAATAAACAATATATATTATTGAACGCAATGAAAAAAGGAATCATGATGCTCACCGATTAGCAATAACTATTCTTATTAAAGAAATCATGGTACTTATTAAGCAACAGCAAACAATCATCTCGGCAAAAATTTAATAATTTGTTCAACTTTTTTGATTTAGAACACCAAAAATCAGAGACCAAAAGTATTGCCATTCTTGTTCGGTGCTGCTGCATTCAGCATGAGAAGTTCAGTAAATATATTAATGTACCGTATCTTCTATATTCTTTAGTTTTTCGTTTAAAATTCGAAATAGATAAAGCCAGTGAAAATAAATAAAACAATTATATTTTATTATTACTAAAACTATTAATTCAGATCAAATTACGAGTTAATTATTAACTAAAAATGTGGTTCTGAAGCAATTATTTGTACTAATAAGACTAGTAATTTGGCCATCTACATTAATTAACTGTTGCATTAATCGAGCACATCTTTGCAATGAAAGTGTAATTTCACGATTTTATGATGGAGTGATAATGATAATGTTAAATATATAAAATACTGATTTTTTATCTTTTCAAATAGTATCAGTTAATAAATATGAGATTAGTTATTATATCGATGGTTGAGGTGAAAAGGGTGAATGCCGCTTAAGATCCAGGAAAAAACTTATCGAAAAAGGCAAGAATATTAAGAAATATTTCCAAATTTTATAGAAAACTAATTACTCGAAGGAACCATATTTGTGACTAATTCAATAATTGCGTCTTATGATCTGATAGCAAATGAAGAAAACTGCGATAAAGAGAAATTTTTCGCCTTCGATTATGAGTTAGAATTTTTGATCCGATAGAGTTTAGACTTTTAGAATTCCGGAAGAACTCCGTAAATGAAGTGGAAAATTTCTTATTAAATCATGCTAGGAAGAAAAATCGCTTTTCTACAAATAAGTCGTAATCGTAATTAGAATATAAAATTATTAGCAAATTGTTATTTTTATTTTTATTGTTATTATTTTTAAATTAATATAAAATTATTATTTTTTTATGAATATTATTGAAATAGATCAATGTATTATTTGCAGCTAATAATCCATTAAAATTCAAAATCTATTAAAATTTCTCACTTTTATTAAATAATTTCCTCAAAAAATTGACAAAAACTGGCTAAAAATAAATAAGATAAAGAAAGAAGTGGAATAAAAAAGATAAAGCAATTTATTACTATAGTCAATTGTTAAACAGTGTATTTTCATTGTAGTGTATTTTCATTATTCAATATTAATATTTCATATTGACTAATAATTACACTCGTTATTTTTTAAGAAGAGACGGCGAAAAGTCGGCATTGGCATGCAGATTTGACGCTTCCTAAAAACTGGCTTATTCTATAAAAAGCAAATTTAGTGGTGCAATCTTCGACTCTCCGCGAAATTTTAAAGTTCTGGAAGAAGGTTCTGTATAAATTTTTAATTTTATTTTTATCAAAGTTTAATTTTCTTAAGAAATTTTTATTTTCTATTTTTAAAGTTTTTATTTAGGTGTTTTGCATTGCTCTTTTTTATTACGAAAAAAATTTTTCGATTATATGTAAAAAACAAACAGTCGAAGAGGAAATTTTAAGTTGAATGGACTGCTTTACTTTAAAAAATTATTTTGTTTGTCACCAAAATATGCAAATGCAAATAGAACGCAATTTGAATTTTTTAAGTAAAATCAGATTTTAGTAAAAAGCATTCCGTCGAATTAAGGACGCTTCTCTACTTTAATGATAGTTAATAATTCAACAATTTATATTTCACTCATTTTTTGATGCATTTTAAACTGGCGCTTCTAATTTAGGGCACACATAAGCACACATGAATGGAGGAGATTTATTATTATTTAAGATATTACAATTGAAACTTTAATGGAATATGTGCACTCCTCTATATTACAGCTTAGAACTGAATGATGGAAGTGCGGAAATAGGGGATAAATTTTTATTTGTTAAACCTGCATTGATCACTCAATCAAAGATTTATCATCTTTAATTTATCAACCCATTATAAATCGAGTCGAAATTTAACAATTAATTTCGAGTCAATTAACTTTTTCTAGATTCGCATTAGAAAAAGCTGGTTGAGTACCACAGTAAACTCTAACCAATAAGTTAGCGATTTAAGGGTTTTGGATCTTAAATTGAGTCAAATTTTGCTATTAGCGAAAAAAACACCGCAAAAATAAATCAAAGTGTAATATAAAAATATTAATTGTTAAAAAATATTAAAAATATTAATATTAAATATAAATACTAATATTAACGTTAAAATTATTAAATATTAATATAAATATTAATGTAAAATATAAAATTATTAAAAAATATTAAAATAGTATTAATTAGTTGCAATTAATTAAAATCAGTAGATTAAAACTATTAAAAAAATATTTTTAAAATATATCTATCTTACTGCTAATCAACTGATAAAAGCATTTATAAAGGATAAAACAATTTTAGCTCATTTATAATCATAATTATTGTAAAGAAAATGGGGTTTAATTAAATTAATTAAATTATTCATTAATTTAATTTATTTATTAATTTATTATCAAATAAAATTTTTCAAATTAAGTTGAATTTTTGAAGTTAAATTTAAAAAAACTTTTAAATTAAGATGAAGATGAAATACAAAATTCACAAAATTAAAAATTTTTTATTTAAATCTATTGAAATTTACGCGAATTCTAAGTTTTAGCGAGCGATTGGCCATTTTTTCTCCAGTAATTTTAAAAATATTATTTAGAGAAATTAATCTTAGAGTATGTAACTTTTCATTGAAGTTATCATCGAAAAATTTATTGGGTGTTGGCGAAGTATCTATTTTTCTGTGCCCTAAAAATAATTTTCCGACAAATTTTGCCCATTTTATTAGCAACGATCGGAATGAGCCTTTGCATAAAAAGAGAAACTATTTACTTATTACTTAGAAATTTTTAATAAATCAATTATTTATTCATTTATTTATTTATCAATTATTTAAGATGAGATGGTTTTTGAAAGGGAATTTCGAAACATTTCTATTATAAAATTTGTTAAAAAATATTTTCATTTCATAAATTATGTCAAAAATTATTCATTAATCTATCATAAAAGTCATAAGATTGTTATCATATAAGCCTCAATCAATCAACAATTTTCCAAAAATTTTTGAAGCATTTTTGACTTTTGACGCAGAATGCTTTGATAATTTATCTATCTTACACACCTAATCTACTGATAATAAAGCGACATTTATTCGAAAAATTTCAGCTTAAATTTCAGTGTATTCTTACTTCACCCAGAAATGCTTATCATTTGCCTTATAATTTTTCTCTTTAACTTTAGTTAAACTATAGTATTAGGCAATATGGCAGAAATATGGCAGAACTGAAATAATAGTTGAAGTTTTTTTGGATTTTAAAATTATGGCCCAATATTATGCTTAAATTATACTTTGCCAGTAAATCAGACCAATCAGTTTGTGTTACTAAAAGAGAATTGCTCTTTCAGTTCATGATAAGATGGCTATAAGAAAAGAACCTTGAAGCTAATAGGTGAAGCTTAATTACTGGTAAAAAGCGCTATTAATAGAATTAGCTTACGTATCTTTAGTTAAAACTTTTGATAGACGAATGAAAGCTTATGAAGAACTCTTCCTTTTTCCTCTTCAGTCAGTGGCTTTGAATTTTTTGATTTTATCACCTGAAATTATATTCTCGCAGAAAATTTAGATAATTTTCAGTACAAATGATTGCTCCACTTATATTTTTTATATTTGCTGATATAATCGCTAGCAATCCATTCCCACTGCAGTCGAATTTATCAAATTGTGACTTCTGCAAGGATGTTGTTGGTGAACTTGAATTCTCTTTAAAAAATGATATGCAAAGTATAGAAAAGGTAACTTAATTCGATGGATTTTTCAAAGCAAAATATATTTACTGGAACAGTAATGAGAAGAATGATTAATTATGAATGAGGAAAAATTTGTAAGAATTATTATTCTTTTATTTGAGAATTGGTTCCAGGCGACTGAAATTAAAATTTTTCCTTTCTTTTATTTCCCTTTATTTTTACAGCTTATAAGTGACTTTTGCGACTTAATAACGGCTTCCAAACCTCGTTTCGATCCACTGTGTAAGTCACTTTTGGACAAAACAATAGAAGAACTTATCGATGTCCTGATCGATTACGTTAAACCTGAAACAATCTGTGTTGGAATCAAAGTGTGCAAGAGAAATGAATTTTTTAAAAATTAACAATTGCCTGGTTGAAAATATTTTAATATTTTAATTTAGCTATGCTAAATTTTTTTAAAATTATTTATTATTAAATTTTTCACCGATTATGTCCAATTGATCATATTTTTCATATTATAGCATCTTTAGGATAAAAATAAACAGAAATTTCAATTTATGCCATGTGATATGATAAGTTATCCTAGAAGAACTATTTTGGTAGCAATGAAATATTTATTTTTTGGACAATTTTGGATAAGGAATTAAATCCATGAGAATGAATTTTCATAAATGCCTAATTGATTCGAGTGATTTATCTTTTGCTGGATTTTTATTCTGATATTAGAATATATTGTGTCAAATAAAATATTTTGCATTAAATAAAGATCTTAAATTGTAAAAGTTTCCTCGCTGTAGTTTATATTAATCTGATAAATATATACCTCTTTTAGATTATAAAGGAGAAATGAAAAAATGGATTATTTTACGGAGAATTCATAAATTCAATTGGAATGGGTTAAAAAATTAACAAATTCTTATGCCAAAATTGTAATTATACAATATATAATTGCAAAATAATAAAATAACAGCAATTGTTACTAGAGTGATAAAAAAAATGATAAAACCTTAACTTATGCACTAATTTTTTTTTGACTTAGATTGCCTCGCTATTAAATATTTTGTAATATTTATACAGTCAGAAATGAACCCATTCGTATATATATATATATATATATATATATACAATTGACTTGCCCAATAAGATAATTTTGCCAAGGAATTATTTGGCGATATAAATACAAGATAGTTGTTAGCATCACCAGGATTTTTTGAAAGACAAATTTGCTCCTGCCGTAGCACCAATGCTCTGAAAAAAATCAGAAGCAAGAAACCACTGAACCATTTTATTCCTACTCATATATATATTTATATAATATTATATACGATTTGCCTAATCTTAGTCTCCTAAGCCTCTGGTAGATGAAATGAGGCTGAAGAAGAGTCATATCACCCTTACATTACAAGTTAAGGAGGAAAATTTTTTTACATTTTATGACAAATATTTTAACTTAGCTAAAAGAATGAAAAATCTAAATCATATAAATTATAGCAAAAAAATATGCATTCTTTCTTATTCTCCATATTTTTCAAAATAAATAACAAAAAAAGCCATGGCTCATTTTTTGAATTGTGTGAGCTTTCATCGTTTATGCATATTTCATAAAATAAATTTCTCTTCCCTCAAACAGCTCTTTATTACTAAACTTATTCCACTGGCTGTAAGACGCTTTCAAGCCTCGATTCGATGGAAATCTGAAAGCAGCAGAAGTAACTCTATTTTCCATTGTTCAAATCAATATATCGAAATTCAATTCGAGAAAAGCAAAAATATCATTTATACAGTCATCCACGATTATACTGATAGAAAACTTTTTTTTCAGACCAGAGAGCGCTTTTTAAGAGATTTTAAAGTTTGGTCATTTTTTCCTGGCAATTGAACGCTTCCATAATGAAAATTTTCCAATTCGAATTTTTCGATAATCTTTGGTGAACTTCAATAAGCTTCATTTCTTTTCCATTTTAAACCATAAATTTTGGCAAGCAGCAAATTTTTTTCTTGCGATTTCTGCTCGAGAAGTCACATGTAATCCAAGAATTATATTTTAGCTTTGCAATTTCTAGGAATTTAAATTTTTTAATTGCAAATTTAAATAAATATTTTCGGAAATAAGAATTCTGTTTCTACACTTTGCGTCAATTTGTTTCATGAATTGAATACTATTGAAACGACTATCGAAACGAGATGGAAATAATTGGAGAGAGATTTTAGGTTTTCTGTACGATTCTAACTGGTTATAACTGATTAGGGCAGCTAGAAATTTTTCCGTTTTTCCAGTCAACGAAACCTTTATGGAATCGTCGTGAGATCACCATAAAAACGAAAGCCCGCATCTATATAGCCGTAATCCGTTCGATCTTGCTATAATGGTTCTGAGAAATGGCCAATGAGAGTGGAAGATATTAAGAAGCTATCTGCCTTTGACCACTTTTGTCTAAGGTACATATTACGGATCCGTCGAGCGGATATATCACATGATCGCATCCACCTTCGTTTAAATACCACTTGCATAAATAATGTTATCACAGAGCGCCGCTGGTTAGGGCACATTTTCCGTCGTCCACCACATATTTCATTACTTGCTAAACCCTATGATAGTTGGCATGAAAAGGTGTGCCTGGACTAATACGCTGAGAAAAGATTTTGAACGTATAGGTGGACCAGCGATATATGGATTTAGACGATGGAAAAAGGAATGGCTTCTATTACTGCAGACGATGGCATCAGACCGCGCCGCTTGGAAGTATTACCCTTTCTTGCCCTTGCCCATGTAGCCGTTGGTGTCAGCCTAACCAGTAATGCTTAGAGCTATTAGATGAAAAAGAAGAAATAACTGGTTATTACCGATATTAAGCTCTACAAGTCCATATAAATAAACTTGAAGGCAATTCAGATGAAGGAGTAATCTTTTTCAATTATCAAAATTTGCGAAATTAAGAAGCAAAATCTTCGATCCTCTTGGCAAGGTTATTTAAGGAGGAATCGTAGGAGCAGAAATTGTGGAATTGCTCGATACTAATAGGATTCCAAAAGAAATCTGCCATTCTTTCAAGCTTTGCACGAGTGGAATAAAATTGCGATATTTTTGTAAATTCATAAATGGCTATTATATAAAAGGTTTTGTCAGTTTCCCAATTTCGTTCCAAGTGAAAGTGGTCTAATTTATTCGTGGTGTTTAAATGCGTATAAAATGGAGACTTATTAGTGTTCCCAACTTTTGAAAGCCATATACCCTTTTCATCTCAGGTGGGAGTAAAATTTCCTGCCGATAGTGCTTATCAGTTGGGAACATTACCTCTATAGCTTTAGATGCTTGCACCTTATTCATAAAGCCCATTACCGTTTTGAATTCTCTCTTAAAATTTCCTGGCATTAATTCTTATGATCTTAGATTTTCTGAAACTATATTCAAACGAAAAATATTGATTAATTCCAATAAAAAAAAATTAAATAAAAATGAAATATAAAAAAAGAAATTAGAATTATTACATAGCTAATTGAGCGATATTCTTAAAATATTTATTATTAAAACTCAATAAATCAAAATTAATACATCTTTAAATTTTTTCTTCTCTCTATGTTTATTTATTTTTGTGAATTTTTTCTGTTTAAAATGATCAATTCAGCCAAAAATCAAAGAAAAAAAAGAAGTGAACACGAAGTCTTACTGATAAGGGATTTTAAGCTATTTTTTTCATGAGGAGACGTTAAAATGATTGGTTGATAATGATAAAAACTTCGTAAAACGCCTAAAAATAATAAGGTATGTCTTCTGCAGAATGCAAAAGGCTCAGTTTAAACTGATAATTTAACTGATAATAAGCGATTGAAATTTTAAAAAAATGATTTTCCTATAAATCACAATTATTTCCATTCAACCGATCGTTTCATATTGGACCAACGAGAACTTAGGCCTTTGCGCTGAAAGGACCATTCATCTGATCTACTTATAAGTAAATGGCATCACTAGTAATTTTGCCATAATGACCGTGCGTTCTTGAATTCTCTAAAAAATTTACGGCGTTCTCTGAGAAATGAAAACTAACCATCGGTGGGAAATGAAATTATTGAAAAATAGATGATTCTTCTGTAAAATGAAGAATATTCAACTAAGAAGTTATCACAGTGAAGTGTGAAGAAAAAATACTAATTTCCATAAAAAGATTGGCGAAAATTGGTATAATAAAGTTAAAGTAATAATCAGAAAGCCTCGAACAATATTGTTCTTCCAATTTTTTGCAGCCATTTTTGACTATCGATTATTTGATTATCGATAAGGCATTCTTCTTATCAAATGGAAGCAAAGCGATATTATATGTCGATGCGTCGCTTATAGGTGATCGATTTTTATTTTTGTAATTTAGATTAATTTGAAATTTAATTAGGACTACTTTTGAAAATTTTTTTGAAAATTGAACCTTTAAGGACCCAGTTTGATCCTCAGGACCCCTTATCAGTTTTAATTATTGAACATGTCGGCTTACATCAACTTGAATTAATTAATAAAATTAAAGAAAGTATTGACGAATCCATTTTCAAAGTATCTAGGCAGTTATTCTAGACCATTAACAATAAACATTTAAGATCCTATGCAATTTTTTAAAGTTTTCAAACTCTGTTTTCCCTGACAACTTCTTCGGAACTTTTACTCCCTCAATCCTTAGAGCATCGCTAAGTCAGATAATGGGGGAGTCTAATGTAAAATGAAGTATATCCAAGTATTTAACTAAAAAGTTATTACCATCTTAATACTTTAATAGACTTCTCGCTGTGCTTTACCTCAAACCTCATTAGTAATATTTACTTTCTTATTTGGATTGACCTGATTGGCAATTCGTCCATTTATAAATTCATTCTCTCAAGATACTTTTTATCTTCTTTGGTCCCTATCAAACCATATTATTTGCAAAACCACTTGATATACCTCCTTAAACTATATTAACTTGACGAAAGAAAATTTCATCGCAATCTTTCGTTGCACCTCTTTTCTTAAAAATCAGCTATATAGAACGAGTCTTTTTTCTAATAATAATAATATTTTTCAAAGTTTTTCATAATTGAAAAAAATTTTCATAATTGAGAATTTAAGAAAATTCAATGATGGAAATAAACTACAGAAAAAAATTGTAAGGAAAAAATCTAAATGGATGAAATAACTGTTTGACGCAAATTGTATGAGTTTGGCATCGTCTTAAATAGGTTTTTGTCAGATGTCTATTAGTAGATTTCCAATGACCTTTATCTTCCCCTAAGGCGCCGTTACAATCCTTTTACATTACCATCAGCACCTGTTATAGCTCCATCTCTCTAAAATCTCTTAACACTCCAAACGCAGCAATGAACATCATTTTAAATTTTCTACGACTAAATTGATAAGTAAAGAGATAAGGTTAAGTTATCTTAGGCTATCGTGCCTACCATATTCGATAGATCTCTTTAAAACCAAATGCTATTCTAACACCTCTGGAATGCCAACATACTTCGATATAATCCATTGATGCATTACTTCCAACTTTTTTAAATTATTTTAATCCTCCAGTTGAATGCCACCTTTCTCGACTTTATTGCCTTAATACTTCATATCGCTGCAGCTGCAATTTATAAATTTCCAATACTTAGAATCATCATAATGACAATTGAAATCAAAGTACTGCAGCAGATGCACCGATTTGAGGATTGAAAATTATAAGATCTTGACAAGCATAGCTCATTCGAATGGATTGTGTGAAACGTAAATGTAATTTCTGTTGAATAAAAATGCAGAGGTAAAGAAGTGGAACCGTCCGTAGACAGGAGTCCTAACTTTTTGCCAGATGTTATTAGTTGTTCGAGAAAACTTCTAATAAAGCATTTTATACTGTCAATTTGCTTTGCTCTATGAACCAAATGGTAATGTGAGATAATTCATGAAAGAATCACTTGGACACAATGTTAAAGAGAAGATACAGAGAAGTACCACCAGCAGTTTAGATTTTATAGATTCCCAAAAATCAATGATGCTCGAACCAAATCGAAGCAATATCAGTTAAACACCAGTAAAGAACAATTTCGGTTTGAAATTTTTTAAATAAAAATCTAGAAGAAAAAATCCGACTGCTCAAAAAAATTATTTAATAAAAATTTATTCATAAAAACTTTAGAAAACATTGAAAAGCCGATCTGAAACTCACAGAAACTCACCGAGGAATCGAATATAACTTCTGAAAAAAAATCGAAAAATGTGGATGTGGTTCCATTTAACAGTGGATGACATAGTTCTTTTCGATTTCTGGATAGTCGATAATGTTTTAAGTGAGATTAAACCTAATTTCTTCGCAATAAATTTTATGGTGTATTAATCTAATTTTCAAGGAGCCATCCAAAAATTTACTTTCAAAATATTGTTATTTCCAACCCTCACAGCAGTTTCCTGGAAGCTAAAACTAATCATTTAGTTATGATGTTCGACTTTCTTCAGAAATGCTTATAACCTGCGTAATTGTTTTTTTCCTCGCAATCGCTTACGAGTTTATCAAAATGTTGCGAATAAAATTAAAGGATTCTAGTGCTTCTGAAAACTGCGACGATAAATCGTTAGTTTTGTAGCTTTTTCAATTCTCCAATACTTTTTTACGCTATTTCCACTTGAATTTTTTTTTAAGGCGCTCACCATTTCTGACTAGGCTCGCTCGGCATCTTTTGCCAGTCTAAACTTTTCACCAGGGTCATTTGGCGATAAAAGAATAAATGAGTTGCAAGTAGAACCTGGATTGTTGTTAAAAGACTTATTAGGCTTATTTCTGCTGGGAGTGGAACGGTGATCAGCAGCAATGCCCAGAAGTGATGGCAATAATCCATTGATCCTCTCTACGTGGTTTTTCAAGAAATACGTCTTAAAAATTTTTTTTTCAAAAATTGCGGAAATGTTTAATCCTTGAAGAATGAAGGATTCAAGGATGAAGGATTGATGTACAGAACCAAATTGAATCTGCTCAATTTATTTTTTATTATTTTAGTTATAAAAGAAGATTATTCTCTTGCTCGCATCTTGTTCAGATATGCCTATTTGCATTGCAAACTATTATTGCCTATTTTCTTATGCTTATATTTATGACTTTCTCAGTTTGGCTTGGTCTAGCGGTGATTTTTGGTGCTTCGTTTGGTTATTATTTTTTCAGTTCATAGTTTGTTCTCCATTTTCATTTAAAAATAAAAACTGCGTAAAAAAAAAATAAAAATAACGAAAATTCAAATACTTTATTACCTTTTAAAGGAATTTTTTAAAACTTTACTTATTCAATGCAAATTTTGCAAAGAGGTCATTTGGTGATAAAAGTGGCCAGCATCATCCAAGTTTTTGAAAATCTAGTTCACTCCTGCTAGAGAGGTCTGTTCCATTTTCGCTAAGCATGGGATCCCAAAATTGATCTCCGAAACGAGATCCACTGAGCAGAGCGAAATCCACGTCAAAAACATGAAAAAATCTTAAACTCGTATCGTTGTTCATAAAATATCTATTAATTGCCGTAATGCCAATTTATTAATTTGATCCTACAAATCAACTGAAAGGCAATTTTTGCGAAATCATTCGTTTCCTACTGCACGACGATCAGCACTTATATGGACGTGCAAGCGAACAAGTGAATCTGAATTTCTCACATATTTTACTTTATTCACTTATTACAGAAATTAAATAGTGGAAAAGAACAGTTCTACGAGAGCGAAATCCTTAGAACAATCGCAAAGGGTTCAATAAATTTGTAAAACGCTTTTGATATTATTTTTTGGATATTTTTATTAAATATTTTATTAAAATTTGTTATTTCATTAAATTAAAAAAATAAACAAATATTATTAAATGTTTTTTTATGAAATAAATAATAATAGGAAAAAAATTCAATAGAAAATTTAATGCTTTGGAAGAATTTTCAGTTTTCTTAAAAATAATTAATTTCTATTTTTTATGAATAAAATATCAGTGCTACCAGTATTAGTATTTGGTAGAAATCTTAAATCAAATCAAACTTAACTACGATGATTTGAAGAAATATCGAAAAAGCCCTATTTCGATACAATTTACTTAACAATCGATTGATTGCAGTGATAAAATTATTCCAGGGAAGTGATAAGAGATAATTTTGCGAATCGATGATTTATAGTCATTTAATAATAGAAAATATAATTGAAAGGAGTCTCCTTTTCCGTCCTTCTTTCATGCCCTTCATTATCTTATTAATTTTCTTAAACGCATTGCTTTAACGTATCGTATTTTACTAAAATAGCAATTATTAATTGCAAATTAGAAAATGAAAAAGGAAACTAAAGGAAAAAAAGGAAAAGAGAAGAGGAAAAACTAAAGACAGTAAAAATATTCCAAAATATAATTAATTAAATGCACTAATTTGCATGTATTTTGCTTATCACCTTCGAAAGTGATAATTTTTCAATGGAAATTTATCATCATAAAAATTGCTTAAAACGTTAATTTCCTCTACTTATATCGCCTCTATTTCTAACTGCAAATAATCAGCAAATGGCTTTTTGCAGTCTGCTCGATTGAATGTTGAAATTTGATAAAGAAAAATTTATGTACGCTTAATTTTCATGCTTTATTCATTCGAATTGCTTATATTGCTTAACGAACTCGAATTAATAGCTCATAAATTCCGGTTTGAAGCCTCGGCCTAGGCCAATTCGACAGCAGCAAAGGCCTCGGCCTAGGCCAATACGCACTGATTTCAGCACTTCCTTGGCTTTTAATTTTAAAATTGCCTCTCACTTGGCCAATTTGTACGTTTCTTGACTCGCATTTCAACGCATACATTTATTCTCGCTAAGAAACGAAATTGAATTCATACTTTTTGAATTGAATATTCTGAATAAATATTATTATTGAGGAATATTTATTATATAAATTATTCACGTAACATTCAAATAACCAAAATGGTTATAACGGAAACACAGCACTTGATTTCCTATGCACTCGGTAGCTATAATAATGTTTATATTTAATAGAGATTCGACAATAAAAATGCAGATGGGCCTCATAACAAAGGCCGAGGGCCGGGGCCGCTATTATATAGAGGCGACAGTGTTGTGAAAATCGCATGGATAAACTAAAATTTGGAAGGTCTGGTGGTGGTGAATTTATGTCGTTCTTAGCAATTTTATTTGATTTTTAATCGCTTCGGATTAATTGGGAAGCTCGGATTAATTTTAGTTGGCAATGAATGGGCATTTTTGTAAATTTTCAAGGGAACAATTTTATCTCAAAAAAGAAAAAATAATAAAAATTCGCCACGAACGAGAAAGCTAAGTTGTGCAAGTTGGGCATTCATTTTATTTATTCATTTTGAATTCATTTTACTCGCAAAAATTCGATGCGTTTCGACTTCGTCGATTTAATCGGAGTCCAACGACGGGGAAAAGTTCGGTGACTGTTCGTGCTTCGCTTTTGTTAGCAGTTAGCAGTTGAGAGGCCAAGCCGGGTTGAGCTGCGCGAACCAAAGCCAGGTAGCCTTGTGTTGTGGGGCCATCATGTCGTTCCTACTAGGGCCAGCGCTAGGGAAAGGACGAATCTTCTGGAGGATCTAAAATTGGTGGCTTTCTCGATCCCCAAGTGTGAATAAGAATTTGTGGTTAGCCACTTCTTGCTCCACTGGCTGTTAGATGGTTGCGAATTTTTGCGGGGAGTCATTTTGGTTAAAAATGCTTCATAAAGATTTTTTCACGAGAATAATGACAGATTTACCCCGTGGTAGTGGGTGAAACTTGGAACCCTCTTCCTAGCGGAAGGATTTCATTTTCCTAGATAATGGGATCAGTTGGACTGTTTAGAAATGATTCGTACTTGTTATAAAGCGAAGAATTTTTTATTTATTTAGTAAATAATTCTATAAAAGCCACTCTGCCATTTCAGTGGTGAATGTTCGAAAAATATTTTTTGTAGCGGAATATTGGTAAACTTCCGCTTATTTTGGAAATTTTTACTGGTTGACAATTCGTTTCAGAATTAAATCGGAAATTTAATAAATTTATTATTTGTAAATTTATTTATTAGCATTTGTTTTTAAATTTATGAATGTTTTCAGTTTCCTTTTACAAAAATTGGATTTTTTTTATTCATAAATTTTGATTGAATAAATTAAATTAAAATATTTTGCCTTATTTTTTCAGATATATTTTTTTTTATTTCAGTCGACAATGATTTCACATCAAATTCGTCGTCTTCAGAGTAAGTTTATTTTTTTTTCCATCTTCCTTTATCTTTCTAGCAGTTCGTACCATTATGAATTAGGTTTATTACGCTTGCTTATTGCAAGTTAAGCACTTTTATCTTTTATCAAAGTGAAGAGTTCAAAAAAAATTGTAAATTAATAACGAGCAGCAGTTGTTAGGAAAAATTAAAGTTCTATTTTGAATGTATTTTAATTCTAATTAGGAACTATAATAAATATAAATTTATAAATCTATTTATTTAGAGAAAAGATGAAAAGCGGAAAACAAACCTTGTTTGAGGCGAAAGTTGATCAAGTGAGTTCATTAAAATTATTTATATTCTTTCTTTTTTTGGGTCTTCAAAAACATTGTTAATTTTTTAGAGTTGATTTTTTTTTCATATATAAATGGCTTAATTCATCATCTAATTATTTTTTTATTTCGATTAATTTACGATGCAAAAATGGAGAAGCAATTAGCTCTTTCAAATTCAAAAATTAATTATATTAATTTTAAATTTTCCTGGCAAAATTTATTTAAGAAGCTTGAAGAAATGTCTGTATTTTTTTTTTCGAATAACACGCACAGTTTCTGATTTGGATGGCTAAAGTTATATTCTTTCGCCAGAGAATGATTTTCGATTTACTCGGTTGACACGACAGTCACGAGATGCAGATGGATCTTCAACAGTCATTCACATTTAGTTTTTTATGGCGGGTTTACTATCGTCAAGGAATTAATGAAGATTATAGCGTGAAGTATAGGGGTAATATAGAATTAGAATTTTTAAGGTGAATTTTTTGGAAAAAATTTTTTGAAATGTTTCGCAGTTTTCATAAAATTTAGATTATGATACATTTCTGCTTATATGAATATTTAAGAATCGTGCCGAATTTGTAAGAGATATTGAAAGTCGAAGTGGTGCACATAATACAACAAATTTGACTCGACAAATTTTTTGTAAGGAATTAGCCACACGTCGTTCAGTTGGTCTAAATGGATATTACATTCCATCACAACAAGCTGCTATTTGCAATATGTTAATTTTTACCAAATTTTTAATTTTCCATTATTCCAGCAAAAAAACTAAAATTTTTTAAGTGAATTGTTATGTTTGTCGTTAGATTTAATTCCGATATATTTGAACGAGTAATTCGTCATAATTCATTAATTTTTCCATTTCTACAGTTTAAAAAAATTTTTCATGGGTCCATAACTGATTTAGAACTTATTTAGAACTAATTTTTATTTCATTTTTTAGATACTTTTTTTCCATATGCAAAGTTAAACAATAATTGGCAAGCCGTAAACGCAAAAATTTATTTTCAGGTTTCGTCCTGTCCGCAAAATTGCTAAATACACAGTAAGCAAAAAAATTTTCTGCTGCCAGTATCTGAGAGAGCGAGATGCATTTCTAATAGCAAGCCAAGGTTCTTTATCAAAATTTTGATAAGTAGAAGTATTTGATCTAATTATTTTATTTTATATTATTATTATATTATATAATTATTTAATATTATTATTACTATTATTATTGTTATTGATATTACTACTATTATTATGTTATTATTACTATTGCTATTTACTTTACTCTTACTATTATTATTTGTTATTATTACTAATTATTATTATTTTATTATTAATTATTATTTTTTGTTATCATTAATTACTATTATTAATTATTATTATAATTAATTGATAATTTATTATTGTTAACCATTATTAATGTCATCATTATTGCATGATCATTATTACTATTTTCTATTATTTATTTTTGATTGTTATTATTTCTATAATTGATTTTATTAATTACTTTCCTTAATTAATTACTTTCATATCTTGTAATTTTCTCTATCATGAGACTGCGAACCGTTCTGCTTATTATCTCTATATACTTTTTGTCATCTCTGATTTTATTTCTAAGAAATCGAAAATCGAAAAAAAAAATTAAATAATAAAATAAAAATAATTCTTCTTAGAATTTTATGGACCTTCCTTGTTGTGAATTTCTTGAGCTTTCGATATCGAGCTTTAGCTGAGCTCGTTTCCATCGAAAGCAATGCCATAAGTCAGTTATAAAGTGCCAGTTATAAGCGCGAAATTCTAATCAGGGCTGTAAATTATGCAATAAATTTTTATATTTTTAAATTTCATTATTTATCCTTATTTTATACAGTTTCATTCAGATGAATCTATTCGACTTTTTAAACGCCCTTTGAATTGGACGAAAATGTCTCATCCATTGATACGTTCCTATCGCGTACCAGAAGTAGGATGGAGCATTCTTGATTTGGCTGTCAGTCCGAATCAGATGTACATGACTTATAGCACGTGGAGCGAACGCAGTTAGATTTTGCTATTTTATGATAACCGTTCTTGATAACGTTTTAGCAGTCGTTTCAGATAATTTCAAAAATTTTGAATAAAAATTGGATAAAAATTTTGTTTGAATCTAGTTAATTTTATATTTTTAGTTTTCACGAGAAAAATTGATAGTGATGAAGAAAATGCTCTTCATTGGAATGGGTTATTGTGTCGAAGAAATTTTCCTTACCGTGATTGGTTCGAACCATTTTAAATGCTTTATTTTTTCATGTGGTGAAAAAAATTATGCAGTGGTAAAAAAAAGTCCAAAATAATACTTTCGAAATTTTAATTTTAGTGCTATATTTTCGATTTGTTACAACTCAGAGGGGACGCAAATCTACTGTGCACGCAATGGTGGTATTTTATCCATATATGATCTAGAAAAACAACAACTTTCCAATGAAGTTAGTTAGTTAATGTTTTTTACTCTAAGTTGTTAATTTCTTATTAATTTCAATAAGAAAAATTCATCTAATATTTATATGAGCTATAAGCACGTATATCACGTATATTTCAGCTATTCTTAAAATGGTTTTCATTTTTTATGTATCAAATTAAGTTGTTGGACAATTGCAGCAATCGATGCATAGAGACGATATCAATGCAGTTTGTTTTATAAATAAGGATTTGTTTGCTACTGGTGGAGACGATTTGCTTTGTAAAGTATGAAATTTTAAATTTTTTAAATTTAAAGTTTTTTAAATTTTAAATTTAAAATTCAGAATTTTTAAATATTCATTCATGTATAATAGATAATGACGATCAAATGTTCCTTAGAGAAATAAATCCGATGAAAATTCTGAATTGAAAATTGGAGAATTCATTTGATCAAATAAGAATCTAACAATAGGGCATTTTTGGACCTGAGTATATGATGGCCATGGCTGATTACAGCAATCGATGCAGAGAGACGATATTAGTGCAGTTTTTTTTAAGTACTCCTCATTACTGGTTAAATTCGCTCCGTTGGCTTGTTACATTGGACAAATATAGCCAGGGAGTTCCTTGTCTATAGAAATACAAGTGAGTCGCTAGCATCACCGAGATTTTTGGACAGGTTTACTTTTGCGGGGAATCGGACCTCATCATCAGCGCTCGAAATTTAACAACAATCCACTGAATTAGCGCAATATATTTTATTAATAAGGATTCTGAGTAAATGTTGACTACATAATAAAATTTTATATTTTTAAATTTTTATATCCTTAAGGTATGGGATCGTCGTCAGTCTGTGTCAGAAAATTCTGTTGGTTTCTTTGGTGGTCATCGAGATGGCATCGTATCTATTGATACAAAAGGTGATGACCGCTATATATTAACTAGTTCAAAGGATCAATCAATCAAAATATGGGATTTGCGAATGTTTTCACCAAATTCAGCATGTGTATGCTTTTAAATTTTCATCTATTATTTCTTCGACTATTTCTCAGTCATTAAATTATTAAGTGGTGTTGTGAGGTGTTATTCAATATTTATTTATCTCCCTTATTTCATTTGAATGGAAACGAAATATATTATCTTAATTATTTTTATTGTATTTTTATATTATTTTTGTAAATACATTGTCTTAATTATTTTTTGTTAGTTTAAAATTCATGATGTGGGATTGGAAACATTATATATAATAAAATATTTACCTTTAATTTATTAGCAAATGAATTATGTAATTTTCACATTAGTATCTGCCTTATCCATTTGTTCAGGCAAAAGCCTTACGGTCAGCAGTTACAAATAATTTCGATTATCGATATGATCTCGTGCCAAATTATAAAAAGGAAAGACAAAAAGGTACCGAATTTATTTCAGAATCCTTTTTTCAGCTCAGGAATAGTTATTTAAAAGCTTCAAATATCTTTCATTCTTTTTTCCTGAAATTTGAAATTTTGACGATTCAAATTTGGTCCTTATTATTTCATTACGTTTTGTGATTCAAGAATTATCAGTTTTTCTTGTATGCAATGTAATTAATGTAATTAATGTAATTGATATAATTGATATAATTGATTATTTTCTATAGTCTTTTTCTTCTCTTTTTGCATTAATTGTCTAATTTATACACTTGTAAATTTTTTAGACGATACTTGGTTGGTGGAAATGCGTGGGCATCTGCTGCTCCACACATTAATTAGAGCTCGTTTTTCACCAGATTACACTGGCAATAGATACGTTTATACAGGATGTGCCAAAGGGCGATGTTTAGGTTTTTCTTGAAAATAACTTCTTTGCTATAAAAATCTTTATTCTGAAAAGTTGAAATTTATAATTTTAACGAGCGATTCGTCTCATTTAGCAAAAATTATCATTATAAAATTCGCGAAAAAAATTGCAGTCTATGATTTATTAACTGGACAGATTGTGCGAGAATATGATGGGCATAAATCTGTCGTGCGAGATTCACTTTGGAATCCTTATGAAAATGAATTAATTACAACTTCGGTCGGTTATCTTATTTATTTTTTTAATGTTATTTATTAATTGTTATAAAAGGAAATTAATTTCATATTCCTGTTTAGTGGGATGGAAATATTATAACATGGAGCCACCATGAACGATGAAAAATATTGAAAATATCGTTTGCTATTTGTCGAATTGCATCTTAATAGCGTTGTAATGATTTAAGGAGAATGTTATGGATGGATGAAATTTGTATACGAAAAAGAATATAGAATTCATATTCCCACATTTAATGTAGTTTATTTGTTGAAGAACGTTTTAGTTCTCGTCTTTTCCATTATAATTTCAATTTCATTATTATATTCGCGTTTTATTTTTCATTTTTTATATTGGATTATTTGTGTACATAGTAATGAAATGAATTTACGTATTTACGTATTGCGCTAGTGATTTTATCTCGTGATAAGATAGTTAAAATAAACAATTTTTTAACAATTTTTGAGTCGTTTTCGACAGAATAAGAAAGAGAACTTTTCATTCTTTCTTTTGAGAAATTTGTTTGTTGTTTCTCTTATAATTCTTTTAGAATGAATAAATATATCAACTATACTTTTTCCATATTTAGGGTTGGAAAAACTGAATAAAGAAATCATTGGAAAAAAAGATGAAAAATAAAAGTAAATGGCTTTGGGAACTTTCATTTTATAGTTGTGCATTGCTCGATAAATTGGGCCCGCAGCTGATAACGAAAAATGGATCAGTTCCAAGAAAGCCACAGGAACGAACCTGCAAGTAAAAGGGATATCCTGCTTGGCCAGGCTTTGCATCACCCATCTTCATCTTTGCCAATTTTGAAAAGTATGAAAATTTCAGGCTCGAATAAAACCCTAACGTAAAGGGTGAAAATTTAGTTGACGTTGTCTGCTACGCCAAATAGTGATTTTTATTCTACGACTGCTACGCGGCTTGTTATATTTTAGAGTCAATTATTGCTCTTTAGATCTGTCGGGGAATATTGTGCGGTTGACCTTGAGAAGTGGTGAGGGTGATATTGCTATCACGAAAAGAAAGAAAGATGACGAAATGACGGAGAATAATCAAATATTTTAAATCTGTAGTGATATGCGCCGACCTTAATGCAGCAATTGTTTGCAGCAGATGGCAAAGTTTTCCTTCATTTTTCTGTTTTGCGGTGACTGATAGAGTTCCTGTGGATAATTTCCTCTTATTCTTTCGGTATTTGTTATTTTTGCCTCTTTTCCGCTGATATTTCTTTTCTTTTCGTCGACTTTGCTCATTCAGGTTTCAGTCAACTGGAAATTTTAAAATGTTGATTTTCTGGGAATCATTTTTTCTCCACAAATGAGCCATTCCTTTAAACGATTTATTTCCAAGTTTCTGTCATTTTACGCTTTAATTTCGAGATCTTTTGCATAGTTTAAAGAAATATTTTCTTTGTTTCGACGGCTGTTTTGTAGTTTTCAGATTAATTAATTTTTTCGTTCTTTCGTCTTATTTTCTACTATTTTCTTTCTTCATTTCACATATTTTTTACATTTTTTCGAATGAAAAAAAAGAAAAAGGATCGCTGAAAATTACTCGTTGCTTTATTCTGGCGAAATCAGCTATTTATCGGCTATTAAATACGAATAAATTTATTTTTTTATGATTTCAGATTTGACTGGAAACTGGACCGTTTAATTAAATCGGTGAATTGATAATACTGATAATAGTCTTGATAACGATTTTTTATATCATATGAAATATGGAATGCACACCAATGAAAGGTTCAAATTTAGATTCCACATCAGCCACAAATATAATGGAAGGTTGTTCGGTTAATCTAAATAAGTTAAAAGAAAGTTCAGAACGAATGAATGAAGTAAAAATTTCATCAAAATATCAAGAATGTCATATCGAATGTCTTGCTGCTGAATTTAATGAAGGTATTAGTTTAAAATCTTGTAATAATGGAGCGATAACGAATTCTATGGAATGCACCACGTCTTACTCTTTAAGCGATGGTGATATTGCAGGTTGTAAGCAGTTTGCAGGAGATTTAAATGAAAAATGTTCTCCAGATCAGTCTTACATAAGCAGTCATAATATCTCTAAAAATATGAACATCAGAACGAAAGATTCTAGTTTTCCCTCTGAAATATCCAAGTTGAATGGGTGCTTTGAAAAGAATTCGATGGAGAAATTATCAGCTACGGTATCCAGTCCAGGAAAATTAAGTCCAGTAGTGAATGAATCGTCTCATTTTTTTCATCAGGCAGAAAATCAAGATTGGGAATCGGGACCATCACATTTATCTCAGATAAATTATGGCAAAAGTTTGCAACAATCAGAAGCAAATCAGCAGTTAGGAAATTACGATGAGTGTTCAGCTTATCAAAACTTTGTCTCATTTGAAAATTGGGTTAAACAAAAATTGATAGAATTTGGCGATAGTGATCAGAGTAGTAAGTTACTTTATCAGCTATTTTTATTTGTGTAGTTTTTTGTAATTTTTTAGGAAAAATATGATAAGATTATGTAGGAATTAAATTAAATGATTTTTTAAAACCTCGGGTATTATGTACTAATGAATTGATTTTTATTGATTATTAAGACTTTTCTAATCATTGCTATTGTAGCATTGACATTTGAGCCAATGCCGAAAGAACAACGCGAGGAAATTCATCGAATAGCGATGTGGATGGGTTTCAAGACTCGTAGTATTGGGTTATAATTTTTATATATTCTTTGTATAATCGAAAAAAATTATTTTTTATTACTTATTTTGCCTTGTTTGCCTGTTTGTTTTGCCTTGCATTCCGGAAAAGGTGAATTTTGCTTATTATATTGTCTCGAAAAAGTGGTTATGAATCATTTGAAATATTGTGCTTATAAAAAAATTCGACTTTCATCGGTGGTTATTTTTTAGATCAAAAAAAAATAGAAGAGTTGTCGTGAAACATTTCTCAGTTGATTCATCAAAGTATATCTCAAAGGATTCGAAGTCTTTAAAGTTGGACTTTACTCAGAAACAAGCACTTTTTGATTATTTTAAAAAATACACTGTTGATTCCAATGTTATAAAACAGCATCTCGCCAAAGGATATGCAAGTGAGTTATTTTCCTCTGTTGCTTTCTTATATATCCAACGGAATTTTATCATTAGCTTTGAATATTTTCAAATTATTCTTTTTTTTTCATTTTCCTATATATTTCCAATCTTTGATCGTTTTTATACGAAGATTCCCAGATTTGCTGCATTTAAAGTTAAAAAATTATTTGGTATAATTTTTGATGCTCCAAATATAATTGGTTTATTATAAAATTTAATAAATTTTTTTCAGCTGATCGGCGCGATAATTCAATTTGCGCTTTTGTTACAACGATGTTAATTCCACCATCTACCACTATTGATCATACTTCTCAAGCGCAACAGTTTCGAACGTCTTTACCTGCCTATAAAATGCGCAAACAAATTATACAGACAATTCGTGATAACCAAGTGACGATTATTACCGGTGGAACTGGTTGTGGCAAGACAACTCAGGTTTATATTCTTTTCTGATTTCCTAACTAAATATTGAAATTTAAAAGCAAGAGCAAACGTACCTTAATTCTTGTGCATATTATCGCATACACAGAGTGCATATTTGATTAATTGACAAGTAATTTTCCTTTCAGGTACCACAATTTATTTTGGAAGATGCAGCGTCTAGGCAACAGCCAATTCGTATTTTTTGCACACAACCGCGTCGTTTACCGGCGGTCGCAGTTGCAAATCGCGTTGCGATGGAAAGAAATGAAAAACTTGGAGCAACCGTTGGTTATCACATTCGGCTTGAGCAAAAGTATTTTTTCTTATGGTTTTTTATTTAAAAGCAAAATTTTAATTTCTCATATAATATTTATTTTTATTTTACTTTTCATTTTGCCTAATAACCAATAATTTTAAATAATTTTGACTGAAATTTGCAATTTAGAACTTCAAAATCGACGATTCTAACTTATTCAACTAGTGGAGTCCTTCTTCGGTTATTGGCGAATGAAACAGCTTTTAAAAACATTTCACATATTATTTTGGTATGTGGCGATCATCCTTTTTTGTCTATTTATTCAACTTAATGCAATTGTATTTCTTATATGATTTCAGGATGAAATCCACGAACGAGAACAAAAAACTGATTTTATACTTATAACCCTAAGGAAAGCATTAAAGGAGCGAAATGACTTGAAGGTACTTTTTTAAATATGTTTATATTCTTTAAATATTCATATTCCAATATTTTCATTCCTTATAGTTTGCTTTTTAAAATTTTCAGATTGTTCTAATGTCTGCCACCTTAGGAGAGAATCAAGAATTATTTAGTACTTATTTTGGGAAAATTGCTTTTGGTTTTGTCAATAGTATGGTTTAATTTTTATTTTTTAAGTAATATTCTATTTTATTATTCTATTATTATTATGATAGTGCATTTTAGTTTATTGGTCAATTGATGAGGGATCAGCGCTCACCATAGGCTATCCACAATTATTTATTGTTTATTTATTCTTTTATTATTTATTGATATTGCCGTTAATTGATTCCTGCTGTTTTTCAGTTTCTTATTCCTAATTTTTTATGTTTTATGTTTTAATTTTTTTCTTTTTACTTTTACTTTTTTTAATTTTTCACGTTTTCTAGGTATTTTTTAGTTAATTTTCAGTTCCATCTGATTTATTCCGTGTTGACGTTCTACATCTTCCTGAAATTTTGGCTTTGACTAGTTATCAACCTCGTTCAGCTTTTCCTGGGAGTCAGTATTTTGGGCGCACTCCAAGAAGTTTAAATGATAGGAATTTGGCAGTTTATAATAGGTTAAAAATTCGAATGAATTAATAATTTTCAATTTATCTGTCCATTTCTGTACCTCTGTAAATTCATTTTTATAGTTAGAAATTGGACATTTAGTACATACATTTTCCTTTTTGCCACTCATTTGCTCGGTTAATATTCATATAATTTTTAGTTTTCCGGCTATCGATATGTTTCATAGTGAAAAAATCAACCAGAATCATAACGAAAGGTAGCTTTATATTTTTTATATTTGATTAATTTTATATTCTTATATTTCTATTTATTTATTTAAATCTTTTATTTTTTTCAGTTTCCCAGCTGTTGATGTTTTTCGCAGTGGAAAAATTAATCAAAATCATAGTGAAAGGTAATTTTCGAAACCAATCTTTTGCGAAATTTTTAGGATCTTTTTTCTCGCTTTTAATTTTAATTTTTTTAATTTTAATTTTTTTTCAAAGAAACATCTTCGAATTTTTATAATTGATGCAATATATAGTGAATAAAACGAATGAAATTTCTCTTGGTTCTGTTATTGGTTCTGGTTTTCAAAATTTTATATCATTTGATACGTTGTTTTATCTGCGGGCGAACATATGCTTAATTATCTACCTATTGACAAGAATAAATCTCTCATTAATATATAAACTATTACTAAACTATTACAGATTCCCACAGGTCGACGTATTTCATAGCGAAAATTTGGGGAGAGGTGACCACTGTATACTTTCAAAACATCAGCAGCTTGAAATAAATAAAACGGTTATTTACTGAATTTGTACTATATAAATTTATATAGTACAAATATATATAAAAATATATGTAATATATATGTACTATACAAATTTGATATGAATTAATATTAGATTGAGAAATATTAGATCGAGAAAACTTTTGATAGTGTCTAGTGAATGATTCTTATCATTATTTAAATGAATTTTCTCTTTCCTATATGAACAAAAATCGAATGAAATTAGAAATTTTTTCGTGCTTTTATTTTTTATTTATTCTGCAATATCTATTTTATCTGTCGTTCAAAATAAATAGAAAAATTTCTTATTTTTTATTATTCTTATTTTTAATGGATAAAATTTCATCTTTAGTTTTTTAAACCCTTTGCGAGTTATTTTTAGGTGTTACTTATTTTTTCGAAAATTTTTTAATGGGCAAGCAATAAGAAGAAGGAATTAAATAAATATGATTAGAATTAATAAAGCCTCAATCTAAATCTAAGAAAAATTTGAAGAATCTATATTTACCTCATTATTTTTCAGCTGGGCTGCAATTTGTACAGCCCTCGTCCGTCTTTTTATATTTCTGAAGGTAATGATATACCTCAGTCGAACATTCAAAATCCAAATAAATTTGTTCCATCATTAGGGTATGTAAGTTATTATAATTGTAATTTAAAATAGATCATTGTATTGGTTTATTTTATTCTTTATTTTTTTCGCTCTAAGAAATTTATTTATTTTAAAATTTTCAGATTGAATTCATTGAAAATTCCAGCATTTCATCCATACTCGGTTCATTTTTCTAATTATATTCAATAGTTTTTATATTTTGCTGATTTTTTCAATGAAAACGGGTGTATAAAATTTTCCATCAATGATCCACATTTTCAGAATAATCAGTGGCCTGATGTAAATATTCAAGGGAATATTTGGAACTCTCCAAATGCTCAGAATAATCAATGGCATAGAGAAAACACTTATGTAACAAAACTGCCTCAAAGACCTGTTTCATTCGATTCTGTTTGTATCGAAATTTTGCGTAAAACCAGACTGGATACCCTTCATCTTGTTGATGTGATTTCTTTTTGAGTTCATAGCAACAAATATTTTTATGCTTCTGTTATAATTTTTTAGATATTTGCTTACTATAATAGTGATGAAATAATATACGCGGAAGTAGACCTGTCCAAAAGTTCAGGTGATGCTGGCCACTCACCTGTATTTTCGCCAAGGGGACTTCTTGGCATGTCTATTTAAAAAATGAAATGGTACTATCGGATTATTCATAATCAACATAATTTATTCAAAAAATAGTCTCAGAGTTAGAATTAATAAGGATTTACAATCATATAATGAGGAATTCTAGAATAGTTTCAGCGTTCTCTCTTTTCATTAACTAATTAATTCCTTTTAAAATAATCTCTTTTTTTTGGTATCTTTAACGGTTTTTTCTTGCTAAATTTTTCATTTAATTAATTCTACGGTTTAATAAAATTTTAATATTTTAGTCTTATTTAAATAGTGGCGGTGCACAGTGGGTGGATGGCATTGATGTCGATTTAACCGTTGCTGTAATAAAATATTGTGTAGATAGTCCCATTGATGGTTTGTATTTGAAAGATTTGTCATAAATATAATAAATTTTCAATATTTATTTAATTTTCCATATTATGAAAATCAATGATAAATTTGTAAATGAGATTTCTGAAATATATATAAGATAAAAAAAACTTTTCATTTAAGAAACTTATAAATAAATTTAGTAAATAAAGTAATAAATAAGTTTTTTTTTAAAAAATTTCCAACGATTTTTTCATAGGTGCCATCCTCGTTTTTTTACCTGGTTATGACGATATAATATCAGTTTCGGAAAAAGTTAATACGATAGGTGGATGCCGAAGAAAATTGTTTGTTTATCCGCTTCACTCACAAATTGGGAATCAAGATCAACTTAAGATTTTTGATCCAGTTCCTCGTAATTGTCGGAAAGTGGTCAGTTAAATTTTACTATTATTATTTTGGTCATCAGAAATGATCGTTGTACCTTCATTTTGATTGTTTTGATTTTGATTGATCGTGCAGTGATTAATTAATTCTTCAGTTGAATATAACGTTAAATTCTTATAGCAAATTATTGGGTCATCCTAAAAATTTCTGCCATTTTGTGTCGTTTATTTTATTAGAGTATATGGGGAATATAGGTAGGGAGAACATAAGAAAACTTTTGCAGAATATTCGGAAAATCTTTGTAAAATGATCATGGGATTATGTAAAATTATCATGGGAAATGATTATACATTATCATGGGAATTTGATGAGATCTTTTCTCTTGATCAGCGCTAGATATTTTGTTTGTTTGAAACGATTTCTCAGACTTTCTATCATCATTCTTCAGTCATTTCGTCGATCTTTTCTTTCTATCATACATTATATCCATTATATCCATTTTCATCGCAGTTCAAGTAAAAATTCTTTAAAGAAAGGGATCATATATCATATTAGCAATAAACAAAAGGTCTTTAAATTGTTTCTTTGAACCTTAGTCAATTTGTACCTATTTGTCGAACTTTTTTTTTCCACACTATAGGTGATTTTTCACGGCATTTAATATATGAAACAATATCAACAATAAAGCTCTTTGGTTAAATTTGTGATCATTTTCTGCGATCATTTTCCACCATTTGCTTCATGATCAATCTGTACAACTTGAGAGCCGTTCACGTGGGGCACTTTCGAACCTCGCGAATCAATCTATTTTTTATTTAGGTGCATCGTCATAAAAAATTATATACATATTGCCAGCTGTCTCCATGGCTCCATAGCCCAATTTTCCTTGAAATGCCACTATCCGAAAATCACATTGTTGCATTAAATCAAATTTGAATCAAATTACTCAAAAAATATTAAAATCTGAAAATATTAAAATCAATTTTTTCCTACGAAAAGAACTAGAGATTAAAGAGCAAAACTATACATGATATATCAACGTGATTATGGCCTGACAGCAACTTTGAGAATATTTTATTTTCTTTGACTTTGGCTTTAAATTTTTCTGTTAAAGCCATAGTGTTTAATATGCCTTAAGAATTTTTTGAAATATTTACGGACTGAAAGTTTCGAAGGAAATTTAGATTATAACGAATAAATGAAAATAAATGAAAAAGTGGCTTGAAATTAAAATTTTTTGTCTGAAATTATCGATGAAATAATAAGAAAATAAGAAAAAATGAAATTTCTTTTTTTAAATTATCAATTTAATAATTTATTTAGATATTAAGCACGAATATCGCAGAGGCGAGTTTGACAATAGATGATGTTGTATTTGTGATCGATTGTGGAAAAGTCAAAGAAGTTAGCTTTTCAGTTTTTAAATAGAGATTCAAGTTAATTTCTAAGATTATTTCTAAAATGCAGATTGAATGAAATATTTATCTCTTTCTTCAAGAGATCTTTTATTTGTCTATTATTTGTAGAAAGTTTATGATCACTCATCAAGAATTAGTGAGTTGAAAGTAGTCTGGATCGCAAAATCAAATGCACAACAACGCACAGGGCGTGCTGGACGATGCAGAAATGGTTATTGCTTTAGGCTATACACTACCGATGATTACGATCGAATGAGTACGACTCAAGTAAGTTTTTTTGATTAAGTTTTTTGACTTCTATAAACATTGATTGAAAATTACTTTTATAATTTCGATATCTTCATTCAAGCAGTAAGAAAATTATGCATGATTCAACGTTACTAATAGGCGGTTTATTTGCCCGATTAATAGTTGACTGTTCAGGCACCAGAAATGCAAAGAATTGCAATTCACGAAGTTTGTTTACATGCAAAAATGTTTTCTCCCCGAAATACGACTGTTCACCATTTCCTGTCATTAGCACCTGAACCGCCATTATCTCAATCAGTGGAGAAGAGTCTGGAATTCCTTGAGGTTTGCTTGCTTTTGAAATCTTTTGAAATAAATTAATATTCTATATTGTTTTTTTTTCTTATTTGTTTCTGTTGCAGATATTAGGAGCGTTGTTCCAGTCATCAAGTGTTAACCATGCGAACTTTGACGGAAGAAATAAAGTTGAATCTGAATTAACTGATCTTGGATTTCATATTGCACGTCTTCCACTGGATCCGCAGTTGGCTAGGCTTCTTCTTTTTGGAGTTGCTCTTAAGTGTTTGGATCCAGTTATTACTTTAGTTGCCGTTCTTTCCTATCGGGATCCATGTTAGTATCACATATATTTATTTTTAAGTATATGAAATAGGACAATAGCGTAACTTTAACTGAGTATTTAAATACGAATTTCACCAAATTCTAATGGCCAAATTACTGTCGATTACTAATTAGCTAAAATCCTGTCTTATTTTCGGATTTCAGGAAAAGTTTGATGCGTTCTTATAAATTCTTTTACTTTCTGGCTTTAGCCTGCTATTTTAAATTATAGATAGCTATGTTTAGTTATCTTACCACCCAATGGCGATGCTCGGTCTGCAGCTGCAGCGGCACGTGAAATTTTCGCTGAAAATCATTGTTCCGATCATTTGGCGCTTATGCGTGCATTTTACTTATATGACCACCACAATTACAAGCCAACTTTCTGTCGCGCACATTTTATTTCGTTAAGTTCAATGAGAATGGTGGCTGGAATCAGGTATTCATTGTCTCATTTTAATTCGGTTTAGTGATCAGAACAGATTAATATAATTAAAGTTAAATAAGCCAAGCAATTTATTAAAATTTTCAGGAAACAATTGTTCTTCGAGTTGAAACGTTTGAAATTACTACCTTTGAGTTGTAAGTCAATAATGGATACAAATCTTAATCTATTCAGTCACTGTTGGCCAATGGTACTTTGTGCTATTGTTGCTGGTAGCTATCCTGGTATTGGCGTTACTCGCGATACTTGTAATATACGAAAGATACGAACAAAGTACTTTCTCTTTTTAAAAATTCATTATTTTTATGCTTTATTATACCAGCTTTTTTATTTTTCCTTATGTTAAATTTTTCAATTAAAAAATAAAGTGAAAAAAGAGAAATTGCAGCAATGAGTTGGCTTCAATAAAGTCAGGTAGTGCTATAAAGCGATCAGTTATTGAAAGTATAGATGGTTTAATGATTGATTATCTTGCATATAAAGATTTGCACATGGCAAACGGCGGTCTTTTTGTAAAATTTTTTAAAATTTCTTTTCTTTTTAAGATATGATGACACAAAAAGCGATTGTTATCATTTTTTTCGAACATATTTTTCAATCTGAATTTTTTTTATGTTAACTTTTAATTTTATTTGATTTTATCTTTATTTGCAGTTGCGTACGGCTTCTGTCGTTCCTCCCTTATCAGTTTTTCTTTTCGCTGGTCCGTTGCACTTGCAGCAGAGCATTATTGAGCGATTTGAACTTGGTAAAACTTTAATGATTGAATAGCTGAAAGTCTTTGAAGTCTCAGTTTTCTTGATTAAAAATTTAAATTTTAAGGTAGTGAAATAACAACTGATGACGATTTGGAAACATTATCCAGTTGCGAAAATTCCGTGTTTGAGTTGGAACCATGGCTTTCTTTTAAATGTGCTGATGAAGTAAAGAATTTTTCTATAAACTAACTCTTAGAAACTAGTGAAATTCTAGTGATTAAAATAAATTCCGCCATATTTAACCAGTTTATAAGATTCAATAAATAAATATTTCCTTAAAATTATTTAGAATTATTATTTTAATTTACAGGATCTTCGGTTGCTCTTGAAATTTAAAATTAAGTTGATGTCCTATTTCTTGGATGTCATGAAACAACCTAGTTGCCTGCAGCATATTGAAGGGCATGATGTATGTATTTAAATATTTTGAAGCAAATCGTAATAACGCAGGAATAGCGACTGATAATAACTATGAAGAATAAAATGTGATTCGTGGAAAGTGAAATGATTCTGAAATTATGAAATTCTTACTTATATTCCCTTTCTTTAGATTTGTTCTTCCTAGATTATCGAATTTTGAAAATATCAGCCGTATAATAAATAAATTAACGAAGCTGAATCGTAAAACATTTCGGAAATATTTCTTGAACCATTGTTTTTCGCTTTATTTCATTTTTCTTGTAGGATTTATTGTCTACGCTTGAGAAGATCATTTGTGCAGATTATAGAAGACAAAATTTACCATCTTGCAGTTTGTCGTTCACCTTGCCGAACTTATCGACTTCTTATAATGATTTTGATTATGAGGTATGAGGTATTTCTTCAGAGCTGTTGAATTTTTTATGAACTATTAGAATTTAAATATAACTTCTGTCGATTAAAGTTGCAATATTTCGCTTTTTCTTATTGTCATTAGGTAGAATTAAGGTTTGGGAATTGCCTGAGCATTTTGCCAAAGCAAATTCTGACGACGAACAGTTATCAGTAGAATCTGAAGAAGGCGATAGATCTCTTCGTTTACCTGGTTTGTTTGTTTTGAAAGTTCTGATCGGAAAAAATCTTTTATTATTAATTCGATCAATTGATTTAATCATTTTTTGCACTTCCTTAGTTTAATTTCTTTGTTTTTTGATTTGCTAATTTTCAGATGATGCAAGAAGTAATAAAATATCGGAAAAAAGCGATTTGAAAAATGGGGGCCATTTCGGTTTAACAGAAGATTTGAATACATTAGCTGATTGCTCGAATGCCGATGATGAACAGGTCAATTATTTTGAATAAATATTTATTAAAGTTTATAATAGAAGTTGCTAATAATTTTTTAGCCTGTACTTGTGGATTTTTTTTATTTATCTAATATTTATTTGCATTGTTTCAAGGGAATTTTAAAGGAATTAACTACTGAGGATTTTTCAACTTAAAAACAAAATTTGATTTTCAATCAGAAAAAATATGTTAAATCAAATTGCTTTTTAATGCAGATACCTGAAGATCCATGTTCCTCATCGCATTATAATAGTAACTCAAAGAAACAGACTAACATTGGAAGAAATGGTTGCATTGCGAATAAAACTAGAAAAGAATACAGTCAAAAATCTAATCATGATTGTGCTTGTTTATCATATGCATCAAGAAGAAAAAGTTACGAGAAGTCTTATACATCAAAATGTTTTTGGCGATCAGGATTATCTCAGCAAAATAATGGTTTCATTTTTAATCGTTTATTTTTTAAAAAATGTCGCCAAGCTGAGCCTTTTGCAAACAAATCCTTTTTCTTTTATTTTTATATCTTATTTGACATAAATACGAACAGAGGATTTCCTGCCTAAATTTATTCTCTGCTCATCAAATTGGGAAAATAATTTTTATTTGAGATTTTTAATTAATTTTTTGTTCATTTAATATTGGCCTTTCAACATCAAAATATAAAAATATAAATCAAAATTTAAAAATCGATCATAAAATTTTATGCATAGATGGAAACGAGCGAAAGGATTCTTTCCAAACGCGTGATCAAGTATTTCATGATAATCGACGTGACAATCCGAAGTTTTATTTTGAAATTTGTTTAGATTGATTATCCTCATTTCTATTAGAAATTTTATATTTCTAAATATTTCTATATATATTTCTATAAGAAAAATTTTTATAAGATTGATTTAATATCTTTATTCATATGGTTTAGTTGGTTTAAAATTTACAAAATGCGATAGTAGGGAATTTTATATTTATAGAATTATAAATTATTAAATCATAGATTTTCTGGGAAACAATTTTAAGAGAAAGGAATTTAGAATTTTTTAGAATTTTTTGAGAAAAAATTTTAGATCATTTTAGATTTTATGACGTTAATTCATAAAAATAAGGAAATTTTTAAAAAAATAGATTTAAATAGGAAAGTTTTTCGGACATTAACTTATTAAGAAAAATATTAAGCTATTTCCATATTTTAGCCATTTGTACAGTGAAAAACCGAGCAGTTGGTCTAGAAACAAAAGGCTATATTCAAATAGTAATTGCAGTTCTGCTGGAAGAGGAAGATCTTATTTTAGGCGAGGAGAAGGTACGCAATACTATTTTCATTTTTTTATTTATATTTAATAATTAAAGTGAAATGGTTCATTTGTTCTAGATTCTTTATTAAATCTGAATATTGAGTAAGAGATATGGGCTATTTCCTATCCTTCTGCAGGCAATGATCAGGTTTGAAGGCTCATCAAGCTTTATAAATATTTCCTATTAATATCTTTTTTTCAAGAATTTTTCTTTTCTCTTTATGATTTTCGAAATTTATTTATTTAATTCAATTTAATTTAGGTACAAAACGTGGCTTTGCTTCATCCATTCATCGTCGACCTCCTCGGAAAAGCTTTCATGATTGATGTTTAAAATATATAATTTTTACTTTTCCCTTTTATTTTATTTTTGTTTCATTGTGTTTGTGTTGGTATATTAGTTGTTTATAACTGTGGAATTGAATTTTTTTACTTTTATAACTTATTTTTCTTTAGAAAATTTAATTTGATGAATTTTGTGAGTTTATTTTCGTATGGATCAAAACGGATTTTGTAGATATTGGAATTTCTGTAGATAATTTCTTTTCTTAGTAATATCGATATTTATGTCTTTTAGAATTGCAATATCCTATATATTATTGCGTAGAAGTGTAAATTAATGCAGTTGTTAAACTGCAAATAATTTTTCCTTATTGTTCATGTTCATGTTGAGAGAAAAAGTATGAGTAAGATTTCGACTAATTCGAAGTTCTTGCATTGTTACTTCTTTAACTTAAGTATTTTTTTCTTTAATTCTCTTCTTTGGTTTTTTGGTTTCAGTTGGGCGCTAATTAAAACGTATCCCCTCCATATTTCTCTTAAATTTATTTTTTTGTCTTTTTTTTATTATGAAAAAAGTATATAAAATTTCTTTCCTTTAAAATCAGTGCCTACTCTCAAATAGGCATTTAATTCATGAAATATTGTATTCGTTTTCTTCCACTTTTTTGATAAAATGTGGTTTCATTTCAATTATCTTAAGGATTCAGTGATTAATTTTTAATTTTATTCATTTCCGCTGACAAATTTTCCCGGTTTCATTTTTATTTTCTTTTGACCTTTTCGATTTTTGATTTTCTCTTTATTATATTTTACCTCTTTTTTTCGTATTATACTATCAGAGAATTTAATTTCAATACCATTCTTTTAAATGAAATATATTAGATTAAGTTTAGGTTTCGAATCTTTCATTTATTTTGCTTGTTTTACAAAATTTTTCTAAATCAGTCCAAATTTTGTATTCCAAAAATTATGAAATTATTCGATTATCGATTATTCGAAATTTTTTCACTCATCTTGAATACCGTGGATCTAAAAGAGGTTATTTTAATTTAGGCTAATTTTTCATTCTTAGTTTGTGTTTTTATTAATATTTTTTAATTTATTGTGTATGATTGTCAAAAATTTATCAGATCATCGGAGCATTGTCCTTAAATTATTTTTCCAAAACTTTTTATAAGATTTTTTCGCATAATTTTTGCAAATGGAAATAATGGAAAATGATGAAAAAATACAGAAGGATTGAAGTTATATTTTTGCTTCGCTGGGTGAGAATCCATTTTCAAACCCACTTTGTTGTTAATTCAGTAATTGGCTTTGTTAATAATGCAATTTGGATTAAATATTTCTAAAATTGTTACTTATTACGCACTTTCAAAGAATTTAGGAACAATGAGAAACGATATTCGATAGCGATTTTATATTGAAGTTTCTATAGTTTGTCAATGGTTTTGATGTGGCTTCTTATAAATTTGGAAAACATGGTCAAGTGTTGCGATGCCTCAACTGACGTCAGCCGTCATGGGTTCGATTTGTTGATGCGAATAAGTTCGTCGTTAAAAGTTGATGGTGAGGTTCCGCTTGCTTGCATTTGTTATTTCAAGATGGTAAAGGAATCTCATTTTCAATATTCAATAAGTTCAGTCGAACCGACTGAAAAACAGTATTATTATTGTTAGAAGAATATTGAGTATAACTGAGTATTGTTAGAAGAAAATCTGAAACGGAATTTTTTATGGTATTTAATTAATTATGAATTGAAAAGGATAAATAAGCTCGAAATGCTTGACGAAACAGCTGCTACTTTATTATCGGTTTAGGTTTGCAGCGGATATATTAAACTTGTGTTTATTTTGTCTCTGCTTCAGAGAGCTCGGTGAATTGGTCTTTCGTAATTTTTCATTTATTTTGGTTTTTATTTTTTATTAAAATTAAAACTTTTCAGTATTTATCAGTTAATGAATTATCAAATTAACAGCTTTATTCCGAATTCATTTAGGTTAATTTTTATGTTTTAATCCTATATTTCATGTGATTCGTTTCTTTTATTGAAGAATTCTAATAAAATTATTTTTAAAATTGGCTTTAAATATGGCTTTTTCAAAGGCTTTTTACTTCTCGTTTTCTTTTCTAAATCGGCTCCTCTGCGTTTGAATGTTTTGTGAGAATGCGAATATCCATTTATTGCTTAACTTCTCTACTTTTGCTAATAAGCGAAGAATCAGAAGCGAATAAATTTCTATGCTATAGATATATGCATTATGGACAACGAGACAGGTAAAATACCTTTAAAATATTCATAATGATATTTGATTATTATAAAATTAGAAAAAAGAAAAGAAATGTGTACTTACGTATAGTTGTAAGAGAAGGTTGGCTATGGTTATTTGCTCAGTTATTTATTTCAGAGTTCCATGTCGAATGAGCGGTGCGGGTTGTCTTATAGCAATAAGTGACGAAGGTGATTACATAACAGGTGGACGTGATTATCATTGCGCTCTCCGACGTGGACGACCAAAATGCTGGAATGAAAATCATCAACGAAAATGTTGCTGTTTTACTCATTTGTGCAATATTAAAATTTTATAGAAATTTTATAGAAATTTAAATTTTTGCTAAAATTTCTCATACAAAAATTTCAATGAACTGAAATCATTTTCAGCATTTTAATTCACCTGATTTTTCTAAATTAAACCATTTATATAATGAATAATGGAAATAATAAATAAAATATTCTAAAGAATTTGCGCGTCAATTTTGTCAAAAAGTTGGAAAATTGAATTATAAAATTAATATTGAAGGAAGTGTTCCCGCCAGGAAATGAAAATTTATAAGAAAAAAATTTTATAGGAAAATTTCAAATTCTGGTAAAATTATAAAATCGTTCCACTGTAAATATTTTACAATATTTGCAATATTCTATAGGCAATTCGATTATTATAAAAAATAAATCGCTTTACGGTTAAATCGCTGATTTGTAGAAGGTGAGACGCTTTTTTCATAGAACCATTTGGGGATCGAAGTGCAACTAGTGATGATTACCATTAGCCAATTGGGTCTCACTTCTAACTGCTAAGGTTCGCCAAAGAAATGGAAACCATATCGGTGATTATCGATGGATTATCAACGATTCATCCAATTCCTTTATCGCTAGAAATTTAATATTTTTCTTACATTTGGAATTATTCATCAGCGCATTTTGGATTAGAAAATAATTGTCCGATGTTTCCCGGGGAAAAATTCATTTCTCCTTCCATCAAAAAGGAAGCAAAAGGCTTAAAATTGGGCTTAGCGCTTAGCACTTACGGATTAGCGATTTAGAATAAAGAAGGAATTCTTGCTGATCGACGAAAAAATGTCCATTTCATCCAATCGTTTCTCTTTTTTCTAAAATATAAAAATATTTTCTACATTTCATAAAAAAGAAAATTTTTAGAAAAAATTGTTTGCTTAACTCTCCTCTCGCGAAATAAAAAGGATTTTAGAGATAACTTTATTTTAAAAATAAAAAGTGGCTTAAAACATAAAAATTAAAAACTGCTCTCGCTCTAGTTTCTGCTTTACTTGGCTGCGCTGACAATTAGAAGTGAGAAATTGCGCTGCAGTGCGACGATGATGAGTAGTAGGAGGAGGTATGGACGTATACTGTCGGGGTTTGAGTTTACTGCCAGGCTAAGGGGGTGGTGGAAGTCGACGCTGCAGTAATCGTTTGAGAAGCAGTCAAGTAACTATTCACTTTCTCATAGTTTTACATATTTTTTTCTTTTTTTTAACTTATGAAATAAATCCGTTAAACGATATTCCAAAAATAATGTAAAAATATTTCATTCTTTTTTTTGATTATATTACATTTATATTATTATTATATATTATTATTATTTATATTATTATATTTCATTCATTCCACAAAAATTGGATAAAAGTTTTTGGAAAATATTGCAAAAAAAATTTTAGTGAAAGAGTGTGAGAAAAGAAGAGAGACGAGGGAGAGGAGAGATAAAAAGGAGAAAACGTGACGTTATAAAACTGAATTTTGATGATTTTTTTATTAAATTTTTCAGTAAAAATTGTGAAACTTATAAAAAAAACTTAATAAAAATTGATAAAAAAATTTAATAAAAAAATTTTCCTTTTTTTGAAGTATTTTAGTTTTATTGCAATAGTCCAATTTCTTTTTTATTAAAAATAAAATTTTTGAATGATTTTATTGTCACAGAAATATTCGTATCTTATTCGTACCTCCACGAGTAGGTCGGTTATAGTTCTTTGGCAAAAATTTCTATTCGCCCACAAATTCAATGAGAGTTTGCTGAGTGCTATCTTAGCACTCAGCAAACTCTCATTCAGTCCACATAACTGAGTGGTTCTTTGGTGAAAGGCTCTTCACTCTTCTAATTAGTAGTCAGTAGAAAGAACCAATTCAGAAATGTTGAGCGATGTTTGAAGAACGAAGCCTGGCGCTAAGTGCTCTAAGTTCAGTGTCTATTCTATTGCTATTTCCTCAAGTCGCATAATTCGGAAGGGCCAGATAAATAAGAAAACGAAAAACTTAATTCTGTCCGGAAAGTGCCAATCTTAGAGGCCATTCTAGGTCATTCTAGATACGTGTATGTTGTTAAGCAGGGCGTGGGACTTTTTCGAATCTCATTCTTTGAATTTTTAATAAGTGGAAGAGTATGGAAAGAGGAGAGAAGAGAGACGAGAAATTTCTGTTTCTTGCTTTAGATAGTTGTTTAGTTCATTTGTTAGGTCAGTGCAGTTTATAGTTGGGGCAAAGGTGGATTATTCTAATTTCTAATCTAAAAATTTAATTTAATTTATTTCATTGTTCTAATTTATTTCATTTTAGTAATCATTTTCTCTAATTTTTATATCTTTGATAAATTTTCTAAAAAAAATTTCGAAAAAATTTGTTCCGGAAATTTTCTTCTATTTTTTCATAATTTCCTTCCTTTTTTAAATAATTTTTTGTGTCTTTTAAAATTTTCTAATTTTTATTTTTTTTTTGCTAATTTACCATCAATATTTTTTATTTCTCTTTCCTATTTTTTTAAAGTTAAATAGAATAATCGAACGAAATTTTGCTTTGACCGATTATCGAGAAGCATAACTTTCTATTCATCTCTCTTGATACTTCCATTGCTAAATGTATATTGTTAAAATGAAACTCATATGATGCTGGAGATCTGCCTTTTTTCTGTCTCTTGCGTACGATGGAATTTTACTCCAAATAATTAGTAAAGGTGCTGCTGGAAATGGGATCCCAGCATCACTCTGAAGCGGAATTTGGCTTGGCGACATAGCCCATTCACTCAATTTTGCTTATTCACTTATCCTTGGTCAATTATATGAAGTGGCTAACGAGTTCACCACTGAGCCATTTTGCTTTCCATTTAAAAAATTTTTCCATTTAAGAAATTTTTGAATGAAAAAAAGCTTACGAATGAAAAATTATTTATAAGGGATGAAACAAATTCAAACGTACGCTTCTAAGAGAAATAAAAAAAAGAAAAAATAATTAAATAATTATAATTTAATAACAATTTAATTAAATATAATAATTTAATTAAACTTTTAATAATTTTAATAAACAGATGCAAGAAAAAAAAAATTATACTATTTTTATAATCCTTTCTTTTTCTTTTGTATATTATTTCTATGCTTTTTTTCTATTTTTTTATATTTATTTTTGCAAATAGTAGTATTTCAGTTTTATCGTATAAAATTGAAGAAAATTCCAAGTTCGAGTTATTTGTTTCCGGAAATGTTTTTAGACAAAGCTGCAATGCGTGTCCAATCTTACAACTCTTCCCATTTTGAAAATTGGGTACAACAGACGTTGTTCGAATTCATCGAGAGTGATCATCTTAGTATATTATTACATTATATATTTGATTTTAATTTACTTTTGAGTATTTAATTTGCATAGATTTGTGATTTCTATATGTGATTTTGAAAAGAATAATTATGAATATATATATTTTAGCAAATTTAAATCGATATTTGAGTTGAGATTAAATTTTAATAGAATTTTAGTTTTTAATTTTAAAGGTCATAATTTGAAGCGTATGTAATTATTTAAATCATCAGAGAAAGATATTAATTTTCCAATTGCAGCACTAACCTTTTTGTCAGTGTCAACCGAACGAGGAAAGAAGATTCAGGAAATGGCAATATCTATGAATCTTAAGGCTCGTATTACAAGGTCAATCTTTTGTTCAAATCGCAGTACAACTTTTGAAATAAACGAAATTTTCTTATAGGTTGACGTTAAAAAGTGTTAGATTGAAAAGATTGCATATTTTTTTTAGATCGAAAGAAAATAAGAATGTTATTGTCAAACGTTGCCGCCGAAGTTCTAGAAAAGATTTTTTGGAAGATTCGAAGTCGTTGGAATTGGACTCAAATCAAAAGCAGATTCTCTTCGATTATTTCAGAAAATATGGTGTTAATTTAAACACTATAAACCAATATTTCTCCAAGGGATATGCAAGTAATTTATCTAACACTATTTTTTTATGGCCTTTTTAAATTATTCATGAATGGTTAGAAAATTGAGAAATGGTTACGAAATTCCTGCATAAATTCAAATTGTATTTACTGGCTATTACAATGAGAACACTTCATCAGAGATTTTTAAGGGAAGGGTAAGGATAGCACTGAATCCTCAGCATAACTTAAATTTCATTTTTAACAGATGTAGTACGTTTGACTTTAGTCATATTAGCCTACCATTATGCCATAGTATCTCTATCTATGCCATACTACCTTTATGTTTTAATTATGAATTTACATTTGGTGAATGTTTTTAATTTGGAACCATGTCTTTATTTAATTTAGAATGAAAAACATGAGGTTTGATAGTTTAGAAATTATTAAAATTTCTTTCAGCTAGCCAGCGCGATGTTTTTTCGAATTTCCCATCCAGTTCGACAATGCTAGTTCCACCACATGTCACTATTGATCTTGATTCTCGAATACAGCGATTTCGAACAACATTACCTGCATATAAAATGCGTGATCATATCATACAAACGATTCGTAATAATCAAGTGACAATTATTACCGGTGGTACGGGTTGTGGGAAGACAACTCAGGTTTTTAAAATACTTGATAAAAATTAAGCTTTTTATTCAAATTTTAATTTAAAAGTTTGAAGATTAAAAAATAAACTGAACTAAAACTCAAAAAAACCTGAATTTAAAACAGATTTAAAAGAAAATATAATTTAGTTTTCATGGGGTTTCAAGCAATTCTCTAACGACTTAACTGGCAAAACCCAAAGAATTAGAAAATAAATCTGAGATTTGTTTATTTTCTAATTCTTTGGGTTCTGCCAGTTAAGTCGTTAGAGAATTGCTTGAAAGTTCAGTTGTTCAAACCTATTTCTTTCACCATCGAGTTTTTAATGGACTGTTAATCCCCCTCAAGAGATTAAGACCTAACCATTATGCTTGAAATAAAAATTAAAATCTAAGCAGCTAGTCTTGATTATGCTGCTGATTTTTACGTGAAAAATTGTGAAAAATTTCTTTTTGCATGGTTTTATGGTTTTCAGGTACCACAGTTCATTTTGGAAGAAGCAACATTCAGACGGCAACCGATTCGTATCTTCTGCACGCAGCCTCGGCGTTTGCCAGCAGTGACAGTTGCAGGTCGCGTTGCAGCTGAACGAAATGAAGAGCTTGGTAGAACAGTTGGTTACCATATTCGATTGGAACAAAAGTATTATTATTCTTATAAAATTTGAAATGTATGAAATAGGCATTGTTAAATCTTTTCATTATTATTATGTTATGTATATTTTAGGACATCAAATTCCACAATTTTAACATATTCAACAAGTGGAGTTCTTCTGCGATTGTTGTCGGACAAATTTGCATTAGAGAATATTTCGCATGTTATTTTGGTAATATTCGTTTTATTTTTACATTTTATTTTTATAATCGTTCCTTTCCTTTATCATTTTCTTACTTTAAATTTCAGGATGAAATCCACGAAAGGGAACAAAAAACTGATTTTCTGCTTATAATTTTAAGGAAGGCACTAAGATATCGTAATGATTTGAAGGTATTTTTCACAAATATAATTTTTTAAAATTTCTCATATTAATATTCAAATAATTTTTTCAATTTTTTGCATTCAGGTAATCCTAATGTCAGCCACATTAGGAGAAAATGAAAAATTATTCACCACTTATTTCAACAACACATCTGTTGGTTTCGTTAATAGTACGTTTTATTTGTTGTTATTATATTTTCCTATTATTATTGTATTATAATTGTTATTCATTACTTAACAGTCATAATTATTGTCCTTTGCGTTTATAGCGATTATCATTATTCTTTTCTTCTAGCAGCTCTCACCATTATTAGTTAGGCTGACTCCTTTGGCTATAAGATGTTTCCAAGCTATTCAATCCGATGACATCGTAGTAATATAAGTAATATAAGCCTTTTTCCACTGTCTAAATCCATAAATCGGTGATCTACCTATACATTCAAAATCTATATCAGTTCAGATTGGTCCTCCTTATTTTTGACGCTATCCATTACAGGGATTATTATTAATTGATTCATTTTAAGTTCCATCAAACTTATTCCATGTTGAAGTGTTGCATCTTCCTGAAATACTGGCTTTAACTGATTATCTATCAAATTTCCATAGAAATCATGAATGGATTTCGGGAAGTTTGAATGATTTGAGTCCATTCACTGAATCGAATCGAAACAACAGGTATAATCCATATTTTTGAAGATTTTCAATTTTGCAGTTTTATCAGTGTTAATGTCAATGTCAATTTTTTCATTGATTTATATAAATTCAACGTTTTATTAATATTTCTTTTATTTATTTACTTGTTCGTCAAAATATTTTTATTATTATTATTTTTTTATTTATTTAAATATTAAATATTATTTAATATTTTAATATTAAATATTTAATATTTAACATTATTTAATATTTACTTATTTAAATATTAAATATTATTTATTTAAATATTATTTTTTTCTTCAGTATTTTACACTTCTACAATTTTTTTTATAGTTTTCTGTATAATTTTTTTCTTATTTCCCACTTATATTTCCATTTCCCATTGTTTCATTTTTGTTTTTCTTAAATTTTTAGCTTTGATTATTTTAATTAAAAAGTTGTTTTTCAGTTTCGATCCACAAATGACGATGTTTAATACATATACGGTTCGCTTTTCTAATGCTTCATAGGATCAAATATTCAGTTTAATCTTTTCGGTTAAGTTCCTGATAAACTGACTCATTTTTATTCTCTTTCTTATTTTACTCGTTAATTTACAGAATAATCAATTATGCAATGCAAATTTCGGACGTAGTTTTCCGAATGCTTCAAATTTCCAGAACAATTGCTGGTACAGTGGAAATTTCTATACGACAAAACTTCCTTATAGGCCATTATCATTTGAACCTATTTGTGTGGCGATTTTACGTGAAACCAAATTGGATACGCGCCAACTTGTCGATGTAATTTCTTTTAAAAGTCAATGTAAAAATATGGAGGAAAACTGAATTATTCCCTTATTTTCCTTATTATTTTGAAATAGTAAAAATTTCACTTTTTTTAAATACCTCTTGCTTTCCTAACAGCTACGACAATAGATTGCTAGGAATATTTGGAATATTAATTAAATTAAATTGTTTAAATTTTAAATTGTTTAAATTGTTAAAATTTTTTATTTAAATTAATTTTTTAAAATCATTGAAAGAAATAATCGATTAATATAATAGTACAAGAAAAATGCTGTTTTTTTTCGGAGTTTTTACGAACAATTAATTGAAATTTTTTTAGTCCTACTTAAGCAATTGTTATGAACGATGTACTGATGGAATTGACATTGATCTAATTGTTGCTGTAATTAAATATTGCATAGATAGTCCTATCAATGGTTCGTTAATTAATTCCGTTTTTTTTTTCTTTTCATTTTCATTTCTTTCTTTCGACGTCAGTGAGAATTTACAAAAGAGACCAATAAAATGGTCTATTTTAATAAACGAGAGTATTAGGTTATTATCTATTTCCATAATTTCCATAATTTTTCATATTATTATTATTATGATTATTTCCATAATTTTTTAGAAATAATATCCATTTTGGATTTTTTAACAGGTGCCATCCTTGTTTTTTTACCGGGCTATGATGATTTAATATCAGTAGCCGAAAAGATTAAATGCATTCAAAATGGATTCAAAAGAAAACCATTTATTTATCTTCTTCATTCACAGATTGGAAATCAGGACCAACTTAAAGTTTTCCAGCCTGCTGCTTATCAATATCGCAAAGTGGTTAGTAATAGATTCAAACGTTTCTTTAATAATAATCAGAAAATGAAGTTAATGCCTGAAGTTAATATTTTTTATGAAGATATTTCTATTAATTTTCATTCCAATGAATATTTCTTTAGATTTTAAGTACGAATATCGCGGAGGCGAGTTTGACAATAGATGATGTTGTATTTGTTATCGACTGTGGAAAAGTAAAAGAAGTCAGTTCCTTGAAAGTTTTTTCCACAGCTTTTATGACTTTTCCAGAGCTTTATTTTATATGGTTTTGGTTTTTGAAAACAATTATTTTCGTATAAATTAATTAATCCGTTTTATTTGTAGAAAGGTTTTAATCATCTCTCAAGAATTAGTGAGTTGAGAGAAGTTTGGATTGCAAAATCGAATGCGCAACAACGTACAGGGCGTGCTGGACGATGTAGAAATGGATACTGTTTTAGATTATATACCATTGATGAATACGACATGATGAGCTCGATTCAGGCGAGTTTTATAAATAATCGACTTGAACTCGTTATTTTTTTGCTTTTCTTAGATTTTTTTCCCAGATATTAACAAGAAATATTTTATAATTTAGTTTTATAATGAAATATTTCGACTATTTATGAATAAAAATAAATATTTTTTCAGAAACCAGAAATGCAGAGAATTGCAATTCATGAAGTTTGTCTGCATGCAAAAATGTTCTGTCCTCGGAATATGACTATCCATAATTTTTTATCACTGGCACCAGAACCTCCGTCTTCTGAGTCAGTGGAGAAAAGTGTGGAGTTCCTTGAGGTTATATGAAATTTTTTGAAATCGATTTGATATCAATGACGATTTCTCTATAATTTCTATATAATTCTAAATAACATTACATACATTATATAATTATTATAGATGTTGGGAGCATTTTTTCAACCATCGATTGGCAGACGTTTGAATTTTCAACCTGGTTGTACCCAGACTGAATTATCTGATCTTGGATTTCACATTGCGCATCTTCCATTAGAACCACAGTTGGCCAGACTTCTCCTTTTTGGAATTGCTCTTAAATGTTTGGATCCAGTCATTACTTTAGTTGCAGTCCTTTCATATCGAGATCCTTGTTAGTATCACCTTTATTTTATTTATTTTCCTAGATTTTTTTTCATTGCTTAGGTGCTAACTGTATAAATTGCTCATCAAAAATTTCTTTCGTTATCTTAAATGTTTTCCTGAAATATGAGATAAATGGCCCATTAATTTGCTCGAATTATTAGTTAAGTTTGGCTCGAAATGAATTATAATAGCTTGGTTAATACGAAGAAATCCAGCTTCTTTTAGAATTGCTTCTTTTAATTTTTCTAAATTTAGTCATTTTACCAGCCAGCGGCGATGTTCGATCTCGAGCTGCAGCTGCTCGTGAAATTTTTGCAGGAACCTATTGTTCCGACCATTTGGCCTTAATACATGCTTTTTATATGTATGAGCGGCACAATCGTAAACCATCTTTTTGCCGGGAACATTTTATCTCTTTGAATTCGATGAGAATGATTGCTGGAATTCGGTAACTCTTTTCAACTCGATTTATCCATTTTTACATTTATGGAGAATTTTGGAAAAAATTTTTTAAATTGCATCATTTAGGAAACAATTATTTGATGAATTGAAACGTTTGAATCTGTTACCGCTGAATTGTAAGTCAATTAACGATGGAAACCTTAATCGGTACAGTCACAGTTGGGCAATGATAGTGTGTGCCATAGTTGCTGGTAGCTATCCTGGTGTTGGTATGACACGTCGCAATAATATAAGAAGAATTCTTACAAAGTAGTCATTTTAGCTTTAATACTGGTTTTTGGAATTTTTATTTTTCGTGCTTTAATCATCACATTTTTAAATCGTTTTTCTTCATATTTCGCTTATTTCTTTTATAATGAAAAATATAATGAAAAATTTATAATGAAAAATTATACCAAATAAATTATAGTAATGTATTTGGATCGGTGAAATTTGGTAGTGCTATTTGTCGATCAGTTATAGAAAATCGAGATGAAATATGCATTGATTATATTGTATATCAAGATATATACTTGACGAGTGGCGATATTCAAGTACGAATTTTATCTTTTTATTTTGAATGATTGGGCGATCGTCGAAGAATGTGTCGCTTTGACTGTGTTGAGTTTAGTTTTTTTCTTTTCATTCGATTAGGAATAATTTTTTGCACTACAACTGGAGACATTATGAGGCAGTGCTTCAACTTCAGCTTCAATTCCTTCATAGAAATAAAATTAAAATTGAAACTCAATTTGCTTTATAGATTTATAGATTTATTTATTTGTATTTCTACTATCAAGTAACATCCAAGTCTTGAGACATGGAGGAATAATGCAGATTTGAGTTCAGATTTTTTTCACAAAAATTGGTAGTTTTATAAAATCAATTATTGTTTTATAAAACATCCAGCTTTTAATTGACTTGTCTTCGAATGCTTAAATGAAGCTTTGTAATCTTTTTTCGGATAATCTGTTTGCAGTTGCGTACAGCTTCTGTTGCTTCGCCATTATCAGTTTTTCTTTTCGCTGGCCCATTACATTTGCAACCAAGTATAATTGAAGAATTTGAACTCAGTAAGCACCCTTCTTTAATGATAAAATTGAAATTATTCGTTTTTTGAAAAAAAGAAATTTACCGATTTATTTTCAAAATTTTGTTGTAGTTTTCGTTACATCATAAGATGAATAATTAAGGTGATGAAATAATTGAAAATGGTGATGATAATGATTGTTGTGATAATGATAACGATAACAATGATGATTGGGAAACATTCTCTAACTATGGACAATCAGTATTCGAACTGGATCCATACCTTTATTTTAAATCGGCCAATGAGGTAAAAATTCTTATTTTCATCTTATTTTATTTTATCATCACCTAATTTATAAGGGATCATGAAACTGTAATTCTTAAAGCAAATTATTAAAATTCCTGTATTTGCAGGAACTTCGCCTGCTTTTGAAGTTCCGAATTATGCTAATGTCATATTTTTTGGATGTCATGAAACATCCAAATTATTTGGAAGAAAATGAACAATGTCAGGTGAATTTTTGAAAATTATATTAGAATTCAGTGGCTGAAAATCTTTAATTTGGTTACTTTTAGTTTACCATATGACTTATTTTTGCAATCTTCTTAAATTTTTAAAGCTAAAAAATTGAGTGTTGAGTGTTTGATTTCAAGTGTATTTTTTGGTTTTTAGAATTTATTATCTACGCTTGAAAAAATTATTTCGGAAGACTTTAAGAGAAAAAATTTACCATTGTGTAATCTGCCACTGTCATTGGCCATTTGTGAGATGAATTTGCTAAATTCTTCGCGCAGCGACAGTCGTTACCAGGTAATTTCTCAGTGATCTTGAAATTTCTATTTAATACTTAATTCGATTTTAAATCTAGCGTATTATAAATTTCTTTTATTTATTTATTTATTTATTTAGTATATTTTATTTATTTAGTCTTCCGGATTTGAATCCTTTACCAGAGCAAATTATGGCTTTCAACAGCGAGCAACGAATTTTGAAGAAAATGTTTCATCACATCGTTTGATTGGTATTTTTCATTAAACGTTAATTTCATATGAATTTTAAAAAGAATTGTTTGTTTTTTGATTTGTTTTATTTGAACTTTGTCGTAAATTTTTATGAAAGCAAAGAGATTTGAGAAATGTTTTTGCTCAAATTATTTTCATCCCGTTCCATATTTTCTCTTTTTGCCTTTTATTCAAAGTTATCAAAATGAGTTCAATTTTTTAAATTTTAGAATGCTGATGTCTAATTTAAGAAATTGATTAACAGTCATAAATGATTTTTCAGTTGATACAAAGGATGAAGAAACGAAAGATGAAACTGCTTCGGGGAATATTGACCAATTCTTTAACAATTCTACTGAGAAGTCATCTTGCACATTAAATAATCAGTTTTGTAGTAAAGATAGTGAAAAGGTTGAATTTCCAATGTCATTAGATGGTTTCAATTTTTAATTTGTTTTTGAAATTTTATTCGTTTGAATTAAATTAAATTTGATTCAGATACATAATGATGCATCTTTCTTATCAAATTCATCTGTCAACAATTCGAAGGAGCCACTCGACATTGTGCGCTATACTAGAATTAAAAAGCGATATTTAAAGAATCCTGCTGGAAAACCATGGTTTAAACGAACAAGTAATTATAATTATTGTTATCATTGTTTTTATCATTTGGTTATCAAATATTTTTTAAAATTTGATTAGGAGAATATATCTTAAATGAACCTTACAATTTCAGATAAATGAATTATTTGGAAAGAAAAGTTTTAGTCAATCTATATTTCTTTATTTATATTACAATGGGAAGAGCGACTTATTACTCAGTTTTTTCGATCGTTTTATTGTAAATATGATTGCCTCTTGTCTTACGAAATTGTTTTTCTTAGTGCTTTCAAACTACTTGTAAAATAATTTATTCTAATTTATTCTTTTTTTATATTTTTTCTGTTTGTTTTATTGCAATTATTTATTTCTCTCTTAGTGGTTACTCGAAACGATCTTAAAAACTGCTGTTGTCGTTGTTTTAAAATGTGTTTTTTGTTTTATTTTGTAGTTTATTGCATTTTACATTGTATTTGAAGATTTTTCATTAAAATTACAATTTACTTTCATTTAATTTAATTCAGTGCAACTTTAGAAATTGAAATTACAAAACTCGAAAAAACTTCTCCAACTTTTAAAAAACCTTTAAAACTTTTAAAAGTGCGAAGGTTTCGAGGAAATGCGGTCGGTGCTTTACAGGGAAGGCTTTGGGCCAAGTTCGGGAAGACGGCTTTGAATTTTTAGAAGATCTCAAAATCCGTTCCGTTTGCTATTGGGTAGAAATAAAATTATTTTTATTGCATCAGTTCGATGACTGATTGGTTGAATGCGGGAGTCGTCGTTTTCACCTTCTAGCGACCATTCAAAGGTGCAAAATGTTCGCGACAATTCTTATCCGAGCTTCATCGTTCAAATCTAATAATGGCGCACCGATCTCCTCTGAAATCTGTTAAATCTCTTCGCCTCGTTGCAATCTATAAACGAATATTTCTCAAGTAATTTTTCTAAAATTATTTTTATTCAAAGCAAAAGTGGCAAATTTTGCTAAGAAAATTTTATTCAAAAAAATCCCAACTTTACTATTTTAAACGACTTTCGAAGCACCTTGGCTGATTGCCATTAGGCTTGGTTGCCTGGCATTAGCCTTGGCCGCTTGGCATTCATCTTGGCACTATTATTGCCGGTTTCATCAATTTAAAATGGGGCCTATTTCGGTCTCCGCAGCATCAAATTTTGTAGTCCGCAACGATTGTTAGCATTCGAGAAATATCAGATTGCGTTATTTTTGAATGTTTTCTGCGGTGATTTAAATGCTAAAAATTTATGTTTCGAATTTTGAATTTGTAATAAAAACATTAAAAAAATTCGATTTACGCGAAAACTCATTAATATGGAAAAGTTAATTGACGAACTGAATTCGACGAGTTTGTTAATTTCTCTTTAAATTTGGAATTTTAAAAATTTTCAAATTCGAATATTTTTATTTAAAAAAATTTGCTATTTTATCGTTTAATTTACGAACGAAAGCGAGGAAATTCGATAAATTTCTTTTCATTTTCACTCATTGAAAATATTCATTGAAAATATTTATTGTTCATTGAAAAAATATTTTAAAAATTTGAAAATATTCGAATTTTTAAAATTTAAAAAGAAAATTGCAAATTTTGCATAAAATAAAATGAATCGATTCTCGTCTTCCTATATTTTTTAGACGTAAAATTGCGTTCGTACCAAATCGATGGAATAAAAAAAATTTTAAATTGGTATGAAAATAATCGCGGCGGTATTATCGCTGATGAAATGGGACTCGGTAAAACTTTCCAAGCGATATCGATTTTATCGATTCTGATCAATCAACGAAAATTGAAACCACATCTGATTGTTTGTCCATTATCAATCATAAATCAATGGCGAGACGAAATAAATAAGTAAATAAGATTTTCTTCTTCGCTTTTTTTCGCATAAAAATTGTAAAATTGAGTTTAAATATATTTAATTGCAGATTTTCAGCGCGAAAATTAAAAGTCGTTAGGTATACGGGCAATTGCGATGAAAGAGATGCTATAAGGAAGAAACTGAATGAAACAAGTGATTGGCAAATATTGCTAACGACCTTTCAAGTTTTCTACGTTTTATTTCTCACCACACATATGCTTTTAATTTTCTTCATTTATTCCGCTCAATTGTTTTATCTCGAATTCTATTCGCTGATTTTCAGTAATAGCGAGCATAAAGCCCTCCACGGCGTTTGCTTCGGATTATCCATATTTTAGTCGCGTGATGTGAAGAAAAAACTCGCTGAAATAATTCGATTTTTGAAAAGATTGAAAAATAAAACTCGAATCTTTTTTGATAAAAATTTCAGTATGTTCTAAAAGATGCTGCTATCTTCTTTTATAAGAATGCTTGGGAATCGTTAGTCTTTGATGAAGCCCATCGGTTAAAATCCTCCGATTCAATGTTGCATTCAATTATCCAGCAGGTCGTTTTCATTATTATTATTGTTCATTATTATTTTAATTATCAATTGTTTATTTATTATTAATTATTATTAATAATTATATTATTATTATTAGTATTTTTATAGTATTTTTGATGGTGAATTTGGGTATTTAGAATAGAATTTAGAATTTTCGTATATTTGTACCAGGAATAAATTTCAGTTGTCAATAAAATTTATTATTTTATTAACTGGCACTCCTATTCAAAATAACATTGGAGAACTTTTTTCTCTGCTATGTTTGGCCGATTGCAAGAATTTTTCGATAGATCATAAAGATGCTTTTATTATGAAATATGGTGATGCAAAAAATCAGCAAGGTATACTCAATGAATTATAAAAACCAAAAAAACCAAAAATATAATCAACAAATTAAAATATTTTGAAAAGTGAGTATTTCGAAGCAGTGTTAATTATAAAAGTAAAATAATTATCATAACTGTAGCCCGTGCTGAACTTCATGATATAATAAACAGTTATATGATACGAAGAACAAAGGAAGAAGTTAATATTGATATACCGAACTGTATGCAGACTATTCTATATCATGGTATAAATAATTTACAGAAAAAGCTTTATAGAGCAATACTTTTGAAGAACTATGGTATATTTTTTATTTTTTATTTTTTTCTATTTTCTATCCTGTTTATTTAAATTTATCAATATGAATATATCGGAGTTCTCCAATGATTTTTTGTCCCTTTGAATTTTATATTTTTGAAAATATTTTCAGAATTCTTTGATTCACTTGAATGCCAATTGAATAAATCATCTGATAAATACAAAGCATCATTGCTGAATGTATTAATGCAACTTCGAAAATGTGTAGCTCATCCTTACCTTTTTTCTGGTTAATCTTTGTGAAATTACTAATTTTTCTAAATTTACATTTTAAATTTGTCATATTGAAAATTTAGGAGTTGAACCAGAACCTTTCGAAGAAGGCGAACATATTATTGAAGCTAGCGAAAAATTTGTAATATTGGATCATTTATTGTCAATATTATATGTTGAAAAGCATCGTGTATTAATTTTTTCGCAAATGACTCGATTGCTCGATATCGTCCAAGATTATCTTAATTATCGAGGTTATTTTCAGTAAGCATTATAAATATTATTAAAGTTATTGTTATTGTTACAGTGATTTTCCTTATATAAAAGTACAACTGGCTTTTACGTCTCTTCTCGATCGTGAATTTTAAGCCATTCTAATTGTTTATCATTCGTATTTTTCTTCCTATTGTAATCTATTTTTTGTAATCTATTTTTAATCTATATTCATGAATGCTCCGGGAATTCAGGATTTTCATATGAACGTCTCGATGGAAGTGTTCGTGATAAAGAAAGATTTATCGCGATAAAAAATTTTGAATCCAATTCTTCTGATAGTTTTTGCTTCTTATTGTCCACCAAAGCTGGAGGAATAGGTTTAAATTTGATATCAGCTGATACTGTTATTTTCATGGATTCAGATTTTAATCCTCAAAATGACGTTCAAGCAGCATCTCGTTGTCATCGTATCGGTCAAACCAAGTATTATTATTGTTTGTTCAATTAATATCCTTTCATTCACCTGAATGTGTAATAAATATTTTATATTTGAATAAAATATTTTATATTTTTGGGTATTTTTTAGACCAGTTAAGATATTTCGACTTGTTGCTAAACACACCGTTGAAGAAATGATATATTTTCGCGCCAATAAAAAATTGCAAATGGCCAACAAACTTATGGAAACCAATTCTTCGCACACTGGTATCTTCATTATTATTTTAAAATGATCCTTCAAATTTTTTCTCCGATTATTTTTACCATTTTTCTTTTCGCTTTCATTTTTGTTATAGCTATTTTTTGCAAATTTTCAATTCATTTCGTTGTTCAATTTTCAGAGGATAAGTTAACAGCAGCAGAAATAACTGATACAGTACTCCATGGTTTATCTCATCTTTGTGAAGCTACAAATAAATTCTCAATAAGCCAAAATGATATAAAAAAATTAATTGGAGAAACAGATGCTAACTCGCATTGGATTATACCTTCAGTTCCCAGTGGTTTTAATGTGGTTCATATTTACGCATATCTTTTCGCTTTTAAATTAAACATTATTTAAATTTCTCTTCGCCATTTTTTTAATATATTATTATTCTTGGTATTTGTTATGCATTCCCTTGTTTTAGGTTCAGAATTCCTATACAAATAATAAAACGGAAAATGAAAATGTCGACAATATTTATTTATTTGAAGGGAGAGATTACAAGAAAGAACGTGAAGTACTGAAAGAAATTATTGAAAGTGCTAAAAATGAACTAATAAACCATAATAAACCATATAAATCTAATGGTTTTGGTTTTTCATTATTATTTTTATTTTATTTTTTATTTTATTTCATTGCTTTGAATCGTTTCTGTTACGTAATTTTTGCTTTTTTATTATATCTTTCTTTTTTTCAGTATTTTTCATAATTCTTTAATTTTTTAATTTTTATGCTTTAATCGATCTTTTTAGAAAAGCAAATGAAGATTTCTCTGAAGAAATTGAGAAAACCTCTGGCTAAAGAACAAATTGAAGCCATTGTACAAAAGCGTAAAGAAACAATATTAAAAAAACAACAATTAATTGCTGAAGTAAGACTGGAACGAATGAAGCAAAGAGAAGAGAAGAAAAAAAAATTTTGGCTAGACAATGGTTTGATCTAATGTTAATATGAAGGAACATGATTAGTGGTTACCACTTCTAAGTCATTACGCTAACTGTTAGTTTGGATGGAAATTTTTCAAGAAGGTCAGTTGACAATAGAAGTACAGATGGCTCGCCTACATCACGGGGTTAGATTCATTCTTATTGAAGACAGTAGTGGAACCACTGACTCTTATGGTCACATTTTAATACCTGTGTTGTTACCAAACCTTAGAAATTTTGAAGGAATTTTCTAGTTTCTTCACTTTTTTTTAGTTTCTCTTTGATTCATGATATAATTTTGTTGGAAAAAAATTGCTGTATTATTCTATTTAGGTTATACAAGTTTATCATTGCCTGCGATATCGAGCATAAGCGAAGAGTCCAATGATATCGAATCATTTGATTCTTATGGTCCATATTTTATTACTGGTGACGTTACTAAGCCTCAAAGATCGTCTTCTGATCAGTTTAATCATTTTATAATCGCACATATTATAGATAATAGTGGTTAGTCCAATTTTCCGTTCAAATGAATTATTTTGTTCTAATTTTTTAATTTATAAATTTTATTTTGTTTAAATATGTTCTTCTAATTTTGCATTCCGAAATATTTGTCATTATTTTATTGTTGCAGGTATATTTGGTAATGGTGGAGTTTTCACTGCATTGAGAAAAAAAAATATTTCTATTGTCAATGCATATCACATGGCTTCAAAAATGAAAGATTTATCTTTGGGTGATGTTCATTTGATAGAGAATATATCTAATTCTCGGCATGACTCTTGTGAGTAGTTTTCATATAGCAATTTGCTTGCTAAGGAGTTTATGGATGCGTTCGAAATAATTATATACCTGATGCTATAAAATCTCGATCATTCTTGTTGAAATTCTTTTAATATCCTTAATATCAAATTTTAAGATCGGTTCCAAACTCCTTTATATATTCCCTATCTCAACTTCCCAAACTGTTTTTTATTTTTTATACTCTGTTCTTCATGTTTTAAATCCTTTCCACCTCTTAAATTTTTTTGCTCGGGTCCTAATTAACATTATCTATTTCCATTATTTAACATTATTTTCTCATTAAATCTCGTAAATCTTGCACTTCTGCCATAATTATGATTTATAAAGTGAAGTGAAGCAAAAAGTGAAGTAAGTGGTATCATGCAAGTTTAACGTAAAGTGGGATAGAGAGAAAGAAGAATATTGAGCAAAAATAATGAGGATAATGAAAGTTAGCGAGTTTGAAGAATAAATTGAAGGATTATTAAGGGAATGCAAGTTTTTATCACCAGAAGATCAGTCCTGATTTCGAAGACAATCCTATTCATTCTTAGATTTTTTATTATAATTTTTATAACTTTTAATATTTTCACGGAATAATTTCCACCTGTCAATTTTTGGAACTTTCAAATGTCAACTTTCAGTTTTCGTTTCTAGAATTTGATTTCTTATCTCTATTTCTTTATAAATATAATGGTTGTGAAATTTGGATGTATCATTTCGATATCGTCTTTCCATAGTATTTTCTGAGTTCTCGAGGTCTATATCAGAATAATTTTTGTTTTAAGTTGTCGATTTCGATGAACAAGACATTTCATATAATGCCGTAATTGGTAATGATACTGATTTGGTACAAGGGAAGGAGTCAGTTGCTCTTCTTATTGCGCAAAGAAAAGGTCGAAGAGGTAAGGAAATAAAGGTTTTTAAATGTATTCATCTTAACATCCTTTAAAGTATTTTTTGAAGGTTCTTCAACCGTAATTTTCAGACGAAATCGATTTGCATCATTTATCAGAATGTTTCTCTCGCCTCGCGGAATATGCAGTCAAAAATGCTTCAGTTAGCATACATATGCCACGTTATAGCTATGGTATGTGCAATGTTAAATGGTATTCAGTTGAACGATTAATTCGAAAATATTTCACTGCTAAATCCATTCCTGTCTATATTTATTATTTTCAAAGAAAATAATTCATTTTATATTTCGTTGTTCTGCGAAAGAAAAAAAATTGTTTTTCATTAAATATTTGATATCTTTGGCCAATTTTTAGTGGTAAATTTCTTTTCATGAAATTTTTTTTGTTGATTCCTTTTTTATCAAAATTTGCTGTAAAGAATATGCACTGTCAAAATATTTATTAAAATCGCGTAGATCTCAGTTATTATTATATCATTTATATGCTGTTATAAATTATCCAGTTGGAATATTTTGTTAAATTGCACATAAAGGGTTTTAAAAATATTTGTTATAATTTATAATTGCTATATTTTATGATAAAACTGTGAAAATTTATAATTTCAAACTATCATTATGTATTTTGCAAATTATTTCAGTAGTTTTGTTTTATAGGTGAAATAACTGAATTTCCTTCCATTAATAGCTCTGACAAAAATTATAAATAAATAATTCCTAAAAAAAATTTCTTTAGATTAGTTAAGCTATCAAAAAAAAAAGTCAAAAATAGTTCCTTATGTAAATTTTTTTATTGTAAATAGAAAATAAGGAAAGAAAGGAATTCGAGAAAAAATTTCGATCAAATAATTTGCGTTCGCTCGTGTCATCGCACCTATTGAAAAAAGTTATTTGCCAGAAAAATATTTAGTACCTATAATTTTCAACGGACAAAGGGTATTTGAAGGATAAAATTTAAAACTTGAAAACAAAAATTTCTTGTCTAAGCGATTGGCTGCTTCGTAGAGAAAGAGAAGCGTGCTGGTCATTTTCGTTTGTGCTTTGCTCAGATGCTCGTCTTGTTTAGGAGTGGCCAAATTACTTGAAAATTTTGCATCTGCATTTCAGCGATTATCGGTTCATCGTGTGGCACTAATGGTGTGAATGTCTGAATTTGGATTTAAAATCCGATTATGCAAGTCATTTTTTCGGATCCTTCGAATTTACTAATTTTTTCTGATAAGGATTGATAAGAATTGATTTAAGAAAATTTATTTATAAAACTCGTTTATTTTTATTCGTGTTCATTAAAGTTGGATTTGGTCAGTCACGCACTATTTATTATCGATAAAACTATTTTTAATTCAATTTATTCTATTATTTAGAAATACAATGATAATGAAACGATCCGATAAAATTTCAGTTTTACGAAAATTTTTTTTCATTTTTCCCTTTCAATAGCATCAATTTTTACAATTGAATCGAAAATTTATAAAATTTTTTCCCTTTTATTCATCATTAATTAAACGAAAATCAGTGATTAATATACAAATTAATCACTGATAAATTTAATAAATTAAATTTTATGATCATATCTATTGATTTATAAATTTATATAATTATAATTAATTATAATTTTATATAAATTCAATTCATTTTTTATTATTAATTTTTATTGTTTTATTATTTATGAAATAATAAAAAATTAAATTTATGAAATCTGTTGCAGCTAAAATTAATAAATTTTTGGCCTAAAAAACTACAAAATAAAAGAATCCTCGTATGGCACCGAGTTGGTGAGAAACGGTTTTCGTTTCCCATTTATTTATTTTAGAAAAATTATTAATTTAAAAAAATTTTATTAAAGGTAAATGTATCGATTTATAATTTTAATTCTAACGACTGCCTGCTTATCATTAATGATGGCAAATGTATTAACGTTAAATTTTTCAATAATTTGTATGACTGAAGAAATTTATAGAAACAATGAACATATTATCGAGAAACCACCGTGTAACTCAGACATTTTTCATATAAAATTTTTAATTTGCTTTTCAATATTTTTCTTTTAAAAATATTTTTGAGAAAAATATAAAAAAAGTAATTTCACATAAAATTGAAATAAACTTAAAGATAATTTTAATGCATCGAATTCGAATGAAATAAATGAAGTGAAGAGATATATACTTGATAGAATTATTGAAAATCATCCGAACAGTTCAATCGAGGTATTTTTTAATATTCAAATTAAAAGCTTAAAACTTAATGTTCATAATGAAAGAATTCATTGTGACTTAATGGAATAACAACCGTAAGAACAAGGCGCTTCTGGATCGCGTGAAACTCGATTTCGACCTCTTGGCAGGGCTAAACTTGTTATCACAAGTAAAAGCCCAGGTGATACACATCGATATTTTTTGCTCCAAAGTGATCCTATGGCAAATTGGTCTCGTCTTAATAGCCTTTGGAGCCAGAAATTGAGTGCTGAAAAGGAGAAAGAAGATGGTGTAACAATTAAAGATAAAACTAACCTTTAACATCGGTTTTGTCGTTTAACATTTATATATGAAAAGCAACGCTGATGAATTACACGAATGGCAGATAATGATAGTTGTAGTAAACCACTGGTCACTCGCTATATCGGGTTAAACTATTTCAACTGGCAGTTAGTGCGGTTAGAAATTTTTGTCACTGTTGATAAGGAGTTGTTGTTAGAAGCGGAAATAAGCCATCAACCCTATCCGTATTTTTCAATGATGAATTTATCCTTAACGAGGGCAGAAGCCAAATTTTTGCCTCTCAACACGATTACCCGAGCCACTATTCTATTATTTTGCACTCCTAGTGATAAATGATAATAAAATTTTATCATTTTTGAAATAATTATAAAAAAACTTCGCAGTAAATTTTTCTATAATGTATTTTCTACAATAACTTAATTTCAAACAATTTGGCAATTTTCGATATTTTAAATTCAAATAATTTAATGCATTTTTTCAATAATTTAACTTTTCCGATTTTTTAAAAAATAATTACAGAATATAGAAATAATTTCTGAGAATCAAAATGGTACATTAACAATAAATCACCGTAATTTACTTCGACCAGCTGATTATCGATACGCTTCCAGTGAACGTTCGTTGTTATTTGGTTCCATAGCTATTGGAGCTATTATTTCGATATTACCGATTAGCTTTGCCATTCAACATTTTGGCCCGAAGTAATTCTTTCTTTTTTCCTTGCAACGATCCGCCAGCTATGGACCGTAATGTTACCAGTCATTTATTTCTTTTCCTGGCTTATTTTATTTGAGATATGCGAAACTCATTTGCAACATATTTCCTAAGCAACATAGACTACCATAATAATTAACGAGGAAAAATTGGCGAAAAAAAATATTTATGAAAATTTCCAGAATAACATTTGCCGTTGTTGCTGCAATTAGTGGTATTTCAACGGCTTTTTGCCCGTTGGCTGCATCATATGGTATCGTCGCTTTTATTATTTGCCGAATTCTTCAAGGTGACTTTTCAGTGAACTTGTGCCAGCTATGGACCGTAATATTACCAGTGATTTACAGTTAATCGACTCCCTTTAGTTCTGAGTTCCCCAAATTGCATTCGCAGAATATTCCGCAATAATTTATCCCCAATTTCATAGTTTATAAGTTAAACTAAGATATGCAATAAATTTCAATTATTTTTTCATTATTTTTTGCGCAATTATTTTTGTTTATATTTTGCATGAACAATTGCAAAACATATTTACTTGTTATAATAATCAATTCTTATAAAGCGTTTCGCTTGGAAAAAAGCGAAAAGTTGCTTTAGGCGTTTATCATTCACTGTAAATGTTTAAGGTGTTGGATTTGGTGTATGTATGCCAATAATTGGCTCAACGACATCAACTTGGGCTCGTTTTGATGAAAATGGTTTATTTAGTGGTGCACTTACGGGATTTATACAAGTCACTTACTTTCCTTAATGAAGAATTGTTAAAAGTTAAAAATTTTAACAATATTATTAAAAACGAACAAAAATTTGATGAAACCGGTTTTTTTTTTTCGTTTCCGATTTATTCAGTGCAACAATTTCAATGCATTTCACACTTTTTATAATAGTGAAAAACTGCAGTTAAATCAGTCGCGCTATGAGAAATTTGCAAATTAATCTGGCAATAATTATTCGTAAAGCATATCGCAATTTGCTTGTTGAGCGTCGAGATAGAAAGCAATTAGAATTCCCTCATATAATTCCAGAATGGCAAATTAATTCAATCAATTGCCTTAGGTAAATTCATAAAATGCAAATGCAGAAACGTACGAATTGATCAGATAAATTAAGATCAGCCCGGTGATCACAATGCCGATGTCGGGCTTACTATGTGTGTCCTCGCTAAGATGGCCATTTATATATTACGTACATGCTATTATAACTTTTGTGCTAATCCTTCTTTGGCTTATTTTTTATAGGTTTGTTTTCATATTCAATTAATTGCGAAGAATTGATTTTATATATTTTTATATTTTATATATTTTATGACTTTTGCGAATAAATTCAGTGAAATTAAATCCAAAAAAATTGTATGGCTTTTAAGACAAGAAAATTGCGATATCCTAATTTTAGTAAAATAATTTTACAGAAAAAAGTGAACGAAGAAATTCCCCTTCTAATCCTCAAAACTAAGAAATATAAAGCGTGATTTATGAATTTATTTAAGCGATTCACCAACGAAAAATCGTTTCATCGAAAAGATCGAAATCGATGAAATTCAAAGGAACAAAACTGTTAATGAAAAAGCAAAAAAAGTAAGTTAGTGAATGCTCTCACAGGCTGAAAAATGGGCAAAAATAGTCGTCGTCGACGATATGATAATTGACTACACTGCGAGTCGAACGAGAAAGGAATCTTTCGATTTAAAATTTATTTCAGATTCCATTTTTGGAAATCTTTAAAACTCGATCAGTATGGGCATTGTGGATTGCTGCCGTTGGCAATATGTATAGCATACAAATGATGATCGTTTTCTCACCAACATATATCAACCAGGTTAATATTTTTTTTAATATTTAATCTTATAGATCCTTTGACATAATTCCATAATTCCACACTTTTTAATATGCAATTTGAAACACTTAATTTGCGATTAATAAATGAATTCATTTATTTTAATTTATAAAAATTCATCGATTACTTGCAAAGAGCTCAAGCAAAATGGATTTATAAAAATTCATGCGAAAGACCGAATATTCAAAGAAAGAGAGGAAAGAAATTCCGAAATTTTTGGATTTTTGTTTCAGTTGAAACTTCGCTCATCGATTTTTCATCATATTTCTGCAGTAGTCTGACGAAAAAAATGTTTTAATTTTTGATAATTTAATATTTTAATGAATTAAAATTGCTTTTTCTCAATTTATATTCTTTACTTGACAAAAAAAATTAAACGGTTGAAAATCGTTTGATAAATAGGATTTCATCCGAACTCCCAAAGGAGAGGTAGGATAGCCGAGTGAATTGTGGCATAAAGGCAATGATGTACAGAGAAGCAAAAAACTCGCGACGGTCTATATGACGATTTAAGCCACTCGGCATGAGAGGATTTGTCGCCACCTGCCTCTGCTTCTCAGCTTCTCTGGGAAAAGCTTCTAGTCGTACTGAAAGGGAGCTAGTCTGCCCAGGAATGATGATGAGCGCAAACTTATCTTCTTAGGCCTACAAAATTTTTTAAAATTTGATTTAAGAACAATTAAATTGATTGTATCCTTTTAAGAAATTTTTTCGTTCCGTCAAAATTATTTATTGCAAATTAAAATGAAAATTAATTTTAGCTTTATTCCTCAATTTGCCATTTAATTGACAAAAATTATTCAAATTTTTAAATTATTAATATTATAATTAATTCATAAATTTTTATCGAAATTTTAAATTAAATTTAAATTTAAATAAAAGTTATTTCATTGAGAGGAAAAAATTCTTTTGTTTCTTATAAATTTACATTTTAGGCCTTTGGGCAACGTTTGCTGTTTCTTTTTCAAATATTTTTTTATTTGGTTGTTTACGGAGCAGGCGAGGTGTACGACATGAGTTCCATATTAATAAACAGAAATAGCGAATATAATAATAAAGAATAAGAAAAAATGCTAGATGTATATTCCAATTTTCTGCTCTATTTCGATTTTGTACCAAAGAGAAATTTCATAAGTGAGCAAATAGGCGCATAATTGCCGGCTAGGCTCGTTCCGCTCCTAAGACGAGAAATTTCCGCAAAATAGTCACTTAATGATATAAATGTAAATATAAATAATTTAATTTTTGACAACTTTAACGTTGTCCACGACACAATCCTCTGCATTATTTTATCAATAATTGATAATATTTAGTATTTATTAACAATTTGACATTTAGATTCTGTTAATTCCAATTGTGAATGTGGGTTTTGCTTCTGCATTACCAACTCTTTTGCAATTTGTTGTAAAATTATTTGCTGGTTATATTAGCGATAAAATTTACTTTCTTGGCGAGGCTTCTAAGGTTTATTTTAAATTTATTGCTTTTTTTAAATTTTTTATCGATGAAAATGACCTAATGACCTTGATTTCGAAAAATTAAACAATTGAAAACCGCTGTAAATGCAAGCAAATTAATTTGGAAAAAAATTCATTTCTTTAATCGCATGCGAACCATAATATTATTATCACTAAATTATATATAATCGATTAAAATTAAGCCATAATTTAAGATTCGTTTATTTAATTCAATAGCATTTCTTGGAATGGGTGCATTTATGATTGCCTTGGCTATAGCGCAGAATTTCTCCTCGACATTATCAATAATTTTCCTTATCAGTTCGGTTACGATACTTGGATTTAATACGGGTGGATTTTTTAAAGGCTCAACAATTATTGGCCAACAATACAGCTATTTTATTAACGCTATTATTCAGGTATTTTATTAGATCTTATTGCATTTATGCTATAAGGTGAGGCAAGATAGGTGAATGATGGTTTGATCTACGTCGACTTAAGCACTATGTCTGTCACCTTGTCATTAGAAATCTGCATTAAATAAATACCCAGTTATCCTTGTTCTTTAAGCTAATAAAACAGATCTGCTAGGGATCTGCAAGTGCTAGGGGCTCATCTGCATCTCTATCACTGAGTGATTCTCTGGCGAAAATTTCTCATCACATTTGTAATCAGAGTGGGTTTAACCAGAAATGATAAGCGTTGACGACTAACAAGTTTTTTCATGAAAATAGTGAAAGAGATATTTGTTATAAATACACATTATTTCGATATGCTATATGGAGTTTTTTGAGATATTTTTTAATCTCAAATTTATTTCCACTTTAATTTTAATTTTATTATGATTTTAGTTCATAATGTGCATATCAATGTTAACGACGCCAATAATTATATTTCAATTAACAAAAAATGGCGAAAAATCCGAATGGCTTATCGTATTTGTAGCGCACGCTTTACTTTTATTCCTTACTAATGCTATATTTTGTATTTTTGGAAATGCTATTCCTGCTAGTTTCACTAAAACTCAAATAAATAAATCAAATGGCTTAGATTATGTGCCTTGTCCAAAATAGAATTTTCGCTGGCATTTGTTTCAATATGAATTTTATATATCCATTTATTCACATAAGGAAACACGGCAATAATAAAGAATTTCTAAATTTAGCATAAAATTTTTGGAAAATTTAAAACAATAAGTGATCAAAAACATTTCAAGAAAAAGTAATTTATATAATTGCGATTAAATAATTATATATTTATATAATTAATTATATAATTACGATTATTACGATTATTATGGTGAATGATTCAAAAGAACTATTTTTCCAAAAAACTTCTGGAAATATACATTATTTTTTTTGCTTTAGGTTTATTCTTGCGATGTTGACATTTAAAAAAGCCTATTTATTTATTTATAGTTGAATCGACTTTGAGGCTATAATTCAACTTTTGATTTATAAAAAGGAGAGAGGATTTATAAAGAAATCGTTTTTTGATTGAAAAGATCCTTTTGAAAAAGAAAGGTTTCGAAGGATTTTTTATTTTTTTCATTAAAGAAAAATAAACAAAGGTGTCAAAATTTGTATTCTTGCACATTCACATTCACATATATTTATCTAAGGCTTCGATAAGCTTTCATTCACATATTATCAATCGAAAATTAATGTTAAAAGTAGTCGAAGGCAAAGGTTGAAAGGTTTTAGAGATATTTAATCTTTTTTCATCTTTTCGCCATTCGGCTTTGGTTGATTACTCTGATTATTAGGATAAGACGCCTCCGTCAGAACGTTTTGGAGGTAGCGCCACAGATCTGTCTCGAGCATTATTCGAATTCCACTTTTAATGATACGAATTAAATATACAATGGCTTTGCTTTAATCAAAACAAGTGCAACCTCGCAATTCACTGATATTTCTTTTTATCAGTTTTGAATTTTAAGAAAACTATAGACTAATTGCAAAAATTTAAATATTTTAAACATTTAAATTAAATTTAAATATATTTTTTAAATATATTTATATAAAATTTAAATATATTTATATAAAATCAATATATTTAAATATTATTATATGTATTTAAATATATTTATATAAAATTATATAATGTAGGTGGAGGAGGTGAAATATTAGTCGGTAGTGGTCTGAAAAGCGTGCAAATAATGAAAAACTAGTAATAAGTAAGAAAGATTTGGGTAGCATTTTGTAATGTTTTTTGGTATGTGATCGTTGTTTGCCAATGTAATCACCTGATAAGGTAAGGTGTCATAATAGAAGAATTACACAGACATTTAACATTTTATGGCAGTAAAATATAAAAGGGAATTGTATTGCTATGCAATTCTGGTTATAACGAAGCACATTTTAAATAGTTCTCGCATAAAATTCTCAAGTGATCACTGAGAACTCTGAACTTTTTTCCACCATCCATTCTTACTTAATTTATTCTTCTTCAATATAAAATTCTATTTTATGAAAATCAAGTGAATATAAACAGTAAATGCAATTGGGTACACAAAAATATTGGCATTCTACCAACAATCTAGAAAATTTTTTCTCAAAAATAAATATCAAAACGATTGATGGATGTGTACTATTGAATATTTTAGTGATCTAAGTAAGTGATTAGCGCTCACCATTTCTGGTTAGCTCCACTGGCTGCCAATAGTTAAGGTTAGAAATTTTTATCAGAGATTTACTTGGCAATAGAAGTAAGGGTTAGGTTCATTGCCAGCACTAATTGGACCGTTCTGCTGGAGTGAATGCTAGAAAATATTCCTGTTTTTCTTCTGCTTCCTAATATTCGACTCCTTAACTCCTTACGTTATTTTCTCGATCATCCATCAGAACAGCAACGTTATTATCTTTTTTACCTTTCTGCATCGTATGGCTTTGCTGGCAAGAAGCTTTGCTCATTTAGATTTTTAAGAGATATTTTGCTATTCTCTAAAAATATACAAAAACTTGTTTTGCTCTATTATAATTGTTTCGCATAGGAAAATGCGCAGTTGCCCTTGGCAAATATACTATTACATCAATTTTTTTTTATATCGTGTAGTATGATTTTTCTTATAAAACTCATTGATTATATTTTTAAATAAAAATTAAAAATTTCACTTTCTGAAATAGATAAACCGAAAGAAATCACTTTAAAATACATGCTTAGGGTGACTCTTTTGGTAGAAAATTGTGGTAGAGCAAAAAATTTTTATTAAAATCACAATATTTGAAATATTCTGTGAATTTTTCACAACCGACTTGGTAGTTTCATCAATAGTTTTTAGTAGCAGCTTAACTATTCTTACGAATTGTTTACAATTACTATTAGCAGTTAATATCGTCGGGGAAGGGAATTTTGGTGACTTTCCGATACCAATAGGTAACATTTTCGATAATCCATTCACTTACAACCTATTATTTAAAAGTTGAGAAAATTAAAAATTTACGGTAAAGACGTAACGCACTCATTGTGGTTTTTGTGGTTATTTTTTATAATTAATATTTATAATTAATTTTCATAAATGATAAGTTTGATCAAAATGTTTGAAACATGTTACATTTGAATGGCTGAATTTCACCTTACCCCGTCGCCGTTCAATTTTCCTGGTTATTCTCCTACCTCCTCACCCTCCCTTTTCTCCGCTGTTAAGGAAAATCAATAAAAATAATTAAAATTATTAAAATCGCTACCGATGGAAATCGATTTTCGTTGCTAGTAAGATTAAAAGTGATCAACTGACATTGCGATTTACATAAATAATTATTGTTATAACAAATGAATAATTTTTGAAATTTTCAGAAAACGTTATCCATTGTTGATTTTATTGTAATTATTATTTTTTATTTGCTTTATCATAATTTGCTTGTAAATATATAATATAATTATAATGTTTTTAATGAGTAGATGAAGCGAATAAACTTTTCTCCTAATCCTTCCACTTCTTCCTTCTCTTTTCCTCCTTTTTCTTCACATCCTTCTCATATTTAACAAGAAAAAAGATCAAAAACTAAATTTTTTGCAAATAAATTTCATTACTTCTTTCTTTAATTTATTTTATATATATAACTTCCTTGTCACTTATGATTTTTTTTTTATAAAATTTAATTAAAATATAATTCATTTATTGAAGTCATTATTATAAAATATTAAATGTTTTATTATATTCATTATTAATATTTATTATATAATTTAAATTTACAAAAAATTTTGCAAAAAAGTTTTATTTTATATCATTAAAATTAATATGGTGCTGTACATAAATAAAATTTATGAAATTCCATCGACAGCATTACAAATTATAAAATTTTGTATGAAAAATCTTATTATTATCACAATAATAATTTAATATATCAAATATCAAACAATTAATGAATAAATTAAATAATAAATTAAATTAATAAATCACGTTAGATTAAAATTTCACAATAATATTTTTTTTTAAAATATGAATAACGAATAAGATTTCCAACAGCTAATTTCATTAACATTTTAACAGTTAATTATAATTATTGACATTGATTACCATCCATCAATTAATTCATATAAATTATTTAACGAAGACAATTAATAGGGTGAATAAGAAAGAAAAACGGTGCGGTAAATTATAAGAAAAAACTGGTTAGCATGAGAGGCTAATTATGAACAATTTTCATAGGCGCATTCAGTGATCTCTTCTTGTGAGAATAATTTAAATAATTCTAAATTTTTAATTTAATTTAATTTATAAGAGAAAGGCTTTCTTTTACAATGAATTGCAATTTCATTTTTCTCATCGTTCGGTTTGTTAGTTTTATTAAAATCAATTTTCTTTCTTCATTTCCACGATGTGGAAAAAATTCCAGATTTTTATCATAAAAAAAGGATTTCTTGCGAAATAAGTGCGATGAGCTGTGAAAACTATTGTATCATTGAAGAAGAAATATACATGTACAATATATATATATATGCATGAACATTAAGAAAACAAGTGACGTTTGAAAAGTGAAATGATATTAAATTTAGCGACAAATAACGACAAATAACGATGTGATATGATGATAAAGTGTGATAAAGGCTGAGTGGTTTATTGCAGCTTTCATTAATGTCAAACAGTCATAAAGTTTGCCAGCCCACTGAAATTCGAGTGAATTCATATTCCTATTCCTAAACAACTCTTTGGCTCATCCAAAATAGTCAGTGCAGATAGCCAAATCAGAGTGAATAAAATTAGTGGATTAGTACAACTGAAGAAAGTATGATTCTTTAAATATATGATTAACAGCGATATTGGAATTACTTATGATAATTTTATTGAACATTATTTCTTAAAATAATTTACATATCAAAATTTTTACGAAATAAGAAAAGTCTTCAAAAAGAATCGAGAATCATCGTGAATTTTATGTATACATTTATGCTGCAAGTATATTTACTTGAGACTACGCAAGCATATGCAAGCGAACATCAATTCAAGAAGAATTTTCCTGCCTTTGTTGATGTATAAACATAAAAATACACGTGCCAGTTTAAAAAATCTGGTATTTTTTCCAGCGATAAAATTTAAGAAAAATGGTGCGAGCAGTTTAAGTTATAAGGCTAAAAGATTGTTTGGACAATGAATGTGAGTCGTTGCCGTCGTATTTACTATTTTTCATCACAATAGCATGGATAAACGGATGCATCGACCAGCCTTATTCGCCAAGCAACAGGCAAATTTGCCCATTTACTGAGTCATTGAGAATAGTTCATTAGGCAACCAAAATGATTATTTGCATAAATCAATTTAATCTTAAATATTGAAATTATTTGAATAAAAATTGAGTATTTGAGAAATTTAGCATTCGATTCGATCGAAATCATTCATACTTATAACCCTGTTTTTTACGTTGTACTTTTATTTTACTTCAATTTTTGAGGTACGGAAATTGAACTTATTGAATGGAATTTTTTTTATAGAGCTTTTATAGCTCACCGAATTATCGTCGATCATTTGTATTATCCACAGATTATTGCAAAAAAAAAAAATTGAAATCAATTAAAACTTTAGAATATAAAATAATAATTATAATGGCATATTTACCTAGCAATGTTCATCATTTTTGTAGTTTTTTTTCTTTTCAATTTTCTATTTACTCATTTATCTTTTGATTGATTTTTACTTTTCATAAATTTTTTTAATACCATTGTTATTTTTTTTCCCACCTATTTTAATATTATAATTAGTATTCGACGTTTAGTAAAGTTTTATCTCTTTTTATCATTTTTATTCAATATTACGACAAAATAAAAATTTTTTTGAAGAATTTTTTATAACCATTATATATCAACTTTATTTATTATTTTAAATTTATTACTTTATTTTATTTTATATTGAAATTTTTTTCCTATTTCCTATTACCGTAATTTTGGTTATTTATCATTCATACTTAAATTAAATTATTCAATCGTTTATTATGTTACTTTTGAATTCATTGTTTAGAGAAATCTCCAATTCTGCACGACGCTGGATAACCGCATGTATTCTAGTTCGTCCCAGTAGAACCAGCTAAACCAGGAATGATAAGAGATAGAAAGAGGAAGAAGACGAGCAATCGTAATACTGCATTTTATAGAAAAGTAGTTCAGCATTAGTGTTACTATAAAGTAGTAATTTTAATAATATTTCTTTAGTGAGATAAAAATTCTTTATAAATTGTAAAAACCGCTGTTTAATTTTTCCCCGAAAAAAGTTCCAATTCTATCCTTAATATCCTTAATCCGATTCCAATTTATAGACTGTCTTCATTCCAAATTTGAATTATTTTAATCGCTATTTTTGAAAACATCAGACATTTTTAACTTCGAAAAAGTTCAAAATTAGTAGTCCAAATAATAAATTTTTTGGTAAAAGTTCTTTCGTGAGAATTCGATTAAATAAAACTGAAAGAAACCTTAAAAAACTTTTTAGAAAACTATTTGACTTTGTTGTAAAAAATATAGATTTCATTGTTGAAAAATATGAAAATAATTTATTGAGCAATAATTTATTTTCCTAAATTTTCTATCTTTTAATTCGCTCATTTTCGAGATAATTATTGAAAAAAAAGTTAAAAAAATAAAAAACGAAACTAGTTACTATCGAAATGATTTATTTAACTTATTTCTTACGATAGTTATATAGATGGAAAGCGCAAAAGACAGGTTGATGAGGCTTTATTAAAGGATATTTATTATTCCTGTTATTTATTTATTTTTTAAATAATTCAAAATTTCTAGTTTGGTTGGTTGCACTGATTATTAGAGACATCAGCGATTTTTCAGCATCACCAAGATTTTAAAAGATTTCAATGATGGGTTTATCGTTATCACGAGAGATGAATCGAACTCTAGTTGACCATCATTAATCGTTTGAAGTAACACTACACAGTACACGATCGAACTGTAGCTGATAAGAAATCTGTTAAGTTTTCAAGAGGATGAATAAATTTCATTTAATCTCAGTTAATTTAGTTGAAAAAATTTAGTTATAGAGTTTTTTCTAAAGTGTTTTCTTCTTGTTAACTTTATTTAATCGTACTTAATCTTTCTTGACTTTCCTAAATTTTTTGTTGTATTTGCACAACAAAAATATTAAATGTGCGATTAATTTGCTATTATTTGCGTTCTTGTGGTTCATTTGGTTTTTAATTCATTCCTTGAATGGATTTCAACTTTTAAACGATTTTATTTTAATTAATCTTATAAATAAATTAAAAATTTTGATTTATTTTGCAAATTTACAAATTTTAAATTCTGTCAAAGAATTTATTTCTATTAGAGATTCGAATACTTTGTTCTGGCGGAAAAAAGTCTGTCATTAAAAAATGCTGATAACGCTGGTACCCCATCTGTACCCAAGCGATTTCCTAGCAAAAGCTTTTAACCGTATTAGCAATCAGAGGAGACAGCTTAGCCAGAAATGGTGAACACCTTACTTAACTAATATGAAAAAATATAAATTTTTTATATTTTTATAAAGAATTTTTAATAAATTGGATTTTCTTTTAAATTTTTAATATTTCAAAAAATCTTTTAAATTTGCCTAAAATTTTATTCGTTTTTTTTATCTTTCACCTTTCTGAATTTTGCTATAATTTTTGTTAAAGTTTTCATTTTTGGTCAAATCTGATTTTCAATTTAAAATAATAATTGAGGAATTTTGTCTGCCACTGAATCTCAAAAAGAAATTTCATTCCCCATACAAATTTTCCATAAATACTTCATCGCTATTACTTAAAATTGATTTTTCCAAATTAATGCTTCCCAATGGTTGTGAAAGACAGGAAAACACAGGAAAACCGACTGGTTGTTGGCCATCTTAGGATCAAAGTTTGACAAAAATAAACATTAAAATAAATCCGAGTGGCGATCCTCCCGTACTTCTGTCATCCATGTGGCTTACCGGCGAGAATATTTTTCTGAATTAATCTGAATGAAAAATAAAAAAAAAATTATCCAGTGGAGTGATTTTAAATAGAAATACTGAACACCAACTAGTCAAGTCAATTAGTCAATTTTTATGCATAAGTCGCTGTTATTTTTATCGATATTATAAATTTAATATTTTTCCTCCATAAATTTTTTCAGCTTCTGTCGTCCTTCTTTTATCCACGAACAACTTTATAACTCCCATCTACCATCCAGAATCCAGTTCGTTCCAGCCATAAATTTTTTTTTTAGCATCGTCTTTATGACTTTTTATTTATTATTAAATATTTAGAGAACTGTGCTAAATACGAAAATATTTTTGCAAAAATTTTTATTCAATTATAAAGTGCCATGCTACCAAAAATATTTATTTATTATTTATTGATATTTTTATTGCCACTATTATTCACACAAACACTGGCCGAAGAAGAAACAAACCTGAATGAAGGACATAGAAATGAAATCGTTGAAAAAAAAGAAAAAAAGGAAGTGCCAAAACGATTCCAGGTTACTTTCTTCTTTATCCAAAGTAAATTAGATATAATACATTATCTAAATAATTTGAACTTTTTCGCATTTTCTTGGTAAACAATCATCTAAGTAAACTGATTTTAATGAATGTAATTAGTTTGGCAAATAGATTTGTACAAAATTTAATCTTCTTAGGATAATTTTTTATGAATTTGTATAATAAATGAAATGATTTCTGATATTTCACTGATCTGACTCTGAGAAGAGCAAAAGAAAATTATTAAATTATTAAGAAGATTCGAGAAATGTTTAAGACCCACTGGTACTTCTATCATTGAGTGATTAAAAATTAAAATTTTATATTAAAATTTCCTGGTAAAATTTCTACTTTAAAATTATTTAAATTATATTCGAAAAATTTCAATAAAATTTGCGACAAAAATAGACTTGTCAAATTTTTGAAAATAAGTCCAAATTTTTCCAAATTTTTATGCGATTCGTGGAGAAATTTCAAAAATTCACTCTCAAAATTTATTGAAAAAAAAGAGTTTTAAATCGAAATTCTTTTTTCTCTTCTCGCTTAGCAATTTTATTAATCTTCTGGAATTGCCCTAATAAATTTAAGATTATATCGATCAATTGGGATGAAGTTGAAAATCCATTTACAATAGCAGTTTGGTTATTGCTGGCCGGTGTTTCAAAAATTGGTAATTTTCGACCTTTGTGTATTTATCTTCGATGAAATTAAATCACTCATCGAAACATTATTGAAATTTTTACTTTTGAATAACTATGGTAACAAAAATGGTAATAATGATGGTGGTACCAATATAAATAGTAACAATAATAATGGTACCAACAGAAATAGGAACAATGATAATGTACCAATGATGATAATAATGGTAATAAATAATAGAAACAATGATAACAATAATTAATAATGTGGCTTTTTCAATTTTTTTTACTTTTACTATTACCTTTTTTTGAAGGTAAAGGTTATTTGAAAATTATTTGGTTAAATTCAAATTCTCGCATATTTTTAGTATTTCACCTTTCAAAGAAAATATCAGATATATTTCCTGATTCATCGCTACTAATTGTTGTTGGCTTAATACTCGGAGTACTCTTAAAATTATCGCATGTGAACGAGCAAGCATTTTCATTACAAGCCAATGTATTCTTTCTTTATCTGTTACCACCTATTATATTTGAAGCAGGTTTATTTTTATTGTCCTGCTTTTCTGTTTTTTGTCTTAAATTCTCCTCATTGAGACGATTGACCATCAAGTTCCTCTGTGTACTAAATATAAATTAATAATAGCTTTCTGGAAGATAAATGGATATTTGGACAAATATTAATA